GACACAAAAACTAGACACAACAAATTTATATTGAACAATTATATAATAGGTATTATTAAACTTAAATAAATATTGTATACTTCTTGATACTCTCCAGTGGGAACCAGATATTTAAGACTATAAATCATTTTTGTAGTTAATGTGAGTGGATAAATGTGTACACAGTTAATTGAGTTGGTATCAGCAGATACACATGATGAATTACTATCGCCACTATTGCTGTTTTCTTCTAAACATTTAAATTAAATACTCTTTAGCAATAAAAAAAAATTAAATAAGACAGAATTATTATACTTGTTTCATTGGGTAAATCATCGACATTCATTTTTGAGTTCTGGGTAGTGTTTTCAACAATTGCATCATTGGTATCAGTATTAAGAGTATTTGTTGATATTTTCCGCACTAAGAAGCAATAATAAATATCAATTATTCTGATGAGTTATTAGGTATTTTATTATTAATATTATTCAATACAAGATAATAGATCAGTGTTTCCCAACCTTTTCTTACTCAACGCCCCTTATAGATTTTAAAAATCTCACCCCCTCCCCTAATCAATTATTTCAAAAGATAAATATTTTAGTTAATTTTATATTTAAATACCTACTAATAATATAATTTGATTTTCGAAATTGCTAATATAAAATTACTGTTCTGAGGTTGATAGTTTTCTGCTAATGAAATTTTATGTGGCTCAATAGATGTCAGTATAAATCTTAAATCTCCTCTTTCACATATTTCTTATTTGTTTCGTGATTTGGTCAAAAATTGTTGATCCCCGCTAAAGCCTTTTTCGACCATGTATGTTGACGGAAAAACCATAATAAGTCATTCCACTTCTTTCCCAAGTTGAGGATACATGTTTAGAATTTTGTTTGAGCAAAACAACTAGTATCCATTACGTTTAAAATCGATTTTAGCTTCTTTATTGTGCTTCACTTCGAGTAGTTCTTCTTGAATTGATGGTTGGAGATTTTTTATATATGCTAAAAATGAGTTTAACACCTATTCTAGTATAATTTAGTTTTTGATATCTTTAAATCTTGTACTCACATCATCTTTAAGGGATTCAAGGTGTGCACAGTATATGTCTAAGTTAGAATGTAAAATTTGTTTTGAGCTTGATAAGTTAGTTAAATTATTAAATTCACGTCGACTAAATTTTTCTTTAAAAAGACTTTTTTAAAAATAAATCCACTTATAATGGATTTATATTTGATAAAATTAATATTATCGCCTTGCAAATTTTTATTGAATTCATTATGTTTTTCAAAAATATATGCTGGGTATGCGATATTCATCTCTCTTTTACATAATTCATTGTTAAGTTGTTTATCAAGTGGCTGCAGAAATTCTAGTATAGTTTGAAATAAATTATAAAAGAGTGTCAAACAATTTCTCATTGATAGTCACCTAACTTTGGTGTGTAGAACAAGGCGTTCAAAGTCTTCATTATTTTCGTGACATAATTGTCAAACAAACGGTCATTCAATGATTTAGCTTTGATTTTATCAACAGCATTTATGACAAATCACACCAAAAAGTTTATATACTAAATGTTGACACAATAAAACCACATTAGACATCACATTGCTGATGCTCCGTCAGTCACACAAGCTATACAATTTGTGATATGAATACTCTTTTTTGTGAAAAAGTTATCTACTACTTTAAATATGGTTAATTCTTCAGTATCTGTGTTTAATGATTTCTTCAGTAGTTCTTCAGTTATTTTTTTGTTGATGTTTACATAACACACATACGCAAGTAACAGGGCTTTGTTATCTCATAAAATGGATTCATTAATAAGTTGTAGGAAAATTTTGTAATTTTTATAATATCACACAATTTTATTTCAACATGATACGCCATTTCACCTGGACACATTACAGTATTATTACTGAGAGGAATATATGAAATTCTGTCAGTTACATTTAAATTTGTTATTGATTTTAATATTGCTTCTACAGCAGGTAAAATAAATGTTTCGCCGATAGTGTGGTTTTCCACATTTCTTAACTAAAAGAGACACTTTATAGAATTTAAGGAGACCTTTATTGGTTATATAGATGTGTTTTATTAGTCCATTCACTGTTTCTTGTTTTTCAAATTTATCATTTAGGTCATTAAAATATGAAATAATTTTGTTACTTTTATCTGAATTTTTTTTCACAAAATGCTCTTACATTCTTGAAGGTTTCATAGCTTCATTACTTAATGTTTTTTCACAAAAGAGACACAAGGGTAATTTTTTATTCGTCGGAGATACAATAAAACCAAATTTCAAATATTCAATGGAATATTTTCTACATTTTTTGTTCTCGGACATAATATAATATACAATATTTTATTTAAACAAATAAAACTTCTACGGACACACGCACAATAATAACGTCAAGTACCTACCTAGTACCAAATACAACTACACATAACATTGTCAGAATCAGATATCCGCCGCTAACTGGAATTTATACGATAAGTCCCATATTATAATAATAACGTCTAGTTATTATTGTCACCTACCTAGTACCTAGAATCTTTAGTTCGGTAATATAATTCTTTAGATTTTATTTAAGTGTCTATAAATATTATACCTACATAATTTTGTATGTTACTTTTGGTATTTTAAAATAATTTTTATTCTATACAGTTATACACTTCATTGCAATCAGTTATAAACAATAAAAATGTAAATGATAAAAGAGCGCCCTTCTCAGAAAAACGGCCCCTTCAAAATAAAATATGCCCACATGAGGTGGTAGAGCCCACATTGGGGGTCACTGTATTAGATATTTTGTGAGAAATGTATTGCATTTTTAAAAAATAATAAATATTTTAAAATTATTTTATGCAAATATATTTTACAGAGTATATGTCAATACATATGTTCTTTATATACCTCTGCACTAATATTAATTTATTCAAATATCGAAAATATCAAACACCAAATACAAACAATTAAGAATTTGTTATAATAGATATTAACTACTATTATAATATTGAAGTATGAAAAATTACTTTTTTTATTTGGAGAACGTTTGATAGAAGCATCATCATCATTAGTCCGACCATTATTTAGATTTGAAAATGGTTGAACATTTTCCATTTCTTCACAAAATTGAGTATAGTATGATTTCAAATGATCCAGTACTACTGGGACAAGTCTATTGTTTTTTTCCCTACACAAAATTGAAAATACATTATAATATTATTTACAACAATAGATTATAAACCCTACTTAAAATTGGCTGCAATATCTGGTAATTCCATACATGTTGCTAATAGTCCTATAGCATATGTTTGTAAAGGTTCAGAATTTGTTTGAGCCCAAAAGAATAGCCGATGGATAAGTTCATCATTTGCAGGCTGAACAAATCATTTTAATTATTACTAAATAAAGAAGTATCGTAACAAATTTAAATTTTACTTACACTTTCAAAAACAACAGTAGTCTCTAAGCCTGGAATAAGACTCATCATAAGTCTACATGCGGCTACATTTAGTTCATGATTGTCTCTAGGTCTTCTGGCCCAATAATTATCTTTTAAGTAATCCATAACCAACTAAAAATATTTAACGTAAATAATATAATATAAAATATCAACTTATATTACATTAATATATTTACACTATTCATTAGCACATCCTTACGAAACAGAATTTTATACATCTGACCAAGTATACAAGTAGGATCTATCCGTGATGGATGACGATTATCAAAAGGGTCTGGATCTTTTTTAAGATAACTTTTTGTTTCGGTTTCAAATAATTCACATAATCTGTAAATAGTTACAATAACAAAGATTTATTAGAATGATTGAAAACTTGAAATTAAAAAAAACAATTAGCAGAGTATGGTACCTATCTAATTTTTTTTTTTAAATTTAGCAGATCATACTAAGAATATTTATGGGTAGTAATAAATTCAATACATAAAAAACATGAGCTTTGACATTAAATAGATATTTGGAAAAATATTCATACTATATAATAGATTAAATATTAAAACCATAATATTTTTACATATAAAGTTGGTCCCACCATGTTCGACAGATTTTCTTAGTGCTCTTAATAATAAATTCTTATAGATTTTTTTTTTTTCAATCGGTTTGTCTTCAACAAACAAATGAATAACGAATGAAGCAGTAGTAAAGAAAAAGAGAGTACTATGGTATACTATAAAAGTTAGAAGAGCTATGATATTCTATTAAAAATATTTATAGAGTGACATTGAAGGCCGTATTGGAAGAAGACCAAGGATGGAGTACATGAAGCAAATTATAATTGACATGAGGAAGAATAGTTATAAGGAATTTAAGGAATTGAGTAATGATAAGGACACATGGAGAACTGCTGCAAACCAATCAAACGATTGAAGACGTAAAGAAGATTTAATTTAAGGTAAAGAGTAATTCTTGTAAATGTGTTATTTTATTGAATATTAATTGTTTTCACGTATATTTTCTAGAAATTAAAACAAATAAAACTAAGAAATTATTCATCGGATATGAATGTGATAAATTCAAATTTTTTTCCAAATCGGCATCCCTTCTTTGAAGAAAAACAGATTGAAAATAGAAATTAAAATAAAATTCAATATTAACAGCGCTAGAAAAACGTATCGAACACAGTAGAACACTGTACAACTATTTAATTGTATATTTAATACATAACGATAGGCCCAGTCAAAAATAGAATGGGTCACATAAAATCATTACTAATTATTAATTAAATTTAAGTCAATTTTACACATTTTTAAGCAAATGTAAACACTAAATTTTGATGGGACAATACAGCACTATCCAGCAATGCATAACAGTAGGGTATCTCATAAATGTTTATAACAATAAAACAATTTTGAAAATCCAAACACAATAAGAAAGCGAGATATTTAAAAAACATTTTCAATAGATAAATAAATAGTATTAAGTAATTTGAGGATTTCAATTACTTGATCAATGTTGGCGTGGGATTGAAGTTGGGCGATTGTAACTCTTCTTCCCATTTCCGGAGTGTGTTTGTTAATTCACTAATAGACTGATCCATAACTCGTGTCAACTAATAATGAAATATCAAATTGTTACGGATATATAGTTCTTACTATCGAAACAAAATGCGATAAACCAAAAAACGTACCTACTGCAAATAGAAGCAAGACAGCAACAGTAGTCAAATTTCAAATTCAATTTTCAAACAAGATATCAATTTTTTTAGTTCACAACAATGTTAACTAACATGGCAAAATGCACGATGTTACAATTTCATTTTTGGTACAATCGAGACGAGAACAGTGCACAATTAATGACTGTGTTTGAGAATAGCGTACCGCGTACCTATGTCATGAAATGAAGCCTTACGAACTGCGAATATGAAGTAGATTCAAGTGTGAGACTGAACACGAACCGCAGTACCGTAAAATTTTTCGAGGTTAAGTGGTTCATCTCTTTGGTTATTGGTCACATCGAGAGCGTTAGCATCGAAATTTTTTAACGTCCATGCCTATAATGCAGTAGGTAATGTTGTTATAGGTGCATCCGCAGAAAATATATTATCACATTGATACGGTATGGTCCATACAAAATACATAATAATACTGGGTTAATATTCAAGGTCACCGGTGGAAACACCTTGATAGTTGTTACCAATTAGCCCCTTATAATGGTATCATGGTTGTGGTACAACTGGTAAACAATAATGAAAACCAGGTAACAATAAACATAAACGGCTGTTGTGCTCACTATTGTTGTTCTCGTAGTTGTTACTGATAAACCCGGAATTGCGTGTTTTCGGTTACGAGTAGTGTGCAATTGCAGCTGTTGTTTTGTTTTCGAAGATTTCTGCCGACACGGTTTTTAACTTAGCTACGTAGCTCCGTATTTTAGATTGATTAGAAGTGCACGTGAAAGGCGAGGTCCATCAGATTGTTCAGCGTTTCCGAGTCTACGGGAAATACGTCAAACCGCTTGTACAAGTAATCACAGGTAGGTAGATACCTAAAATCCTCGCGGTTTATGCAATTTTTATTAATACTTATGGGATACGGTCGAACTTGAAGTAGCAGTAAAACATGAACGATAAAAATTGACCAATGCTTCCGTTCGTCCGTTTTTGTTTTTCGCCCCCTTTCGCTTTTTCATTCTCGCGCATGCACACAGTTCCGAGGTCAAGTACGCGCGCGAACAACACGCAAAGCTGTGTGGCCAACTCGTTTAATACCTTTTCGGAATACATTTTGATTGTTCAATGCCGTCCACGGTCTTGTTCAATATCGTTATTCAAGCGAATGCTCATTACTTCTTTGCTGTTCATGATACGTAAATAGATTAGTATAATACTGCTATAAGGTACTAGATAACATTTAATCCGTTCATTTTTTTTTTTTCATTGTTGACTTTAGTTTTAACTTATTGGATCTTTCAATACGACAATAAATATTTACTGTCATTTATTTTTTTTTCATCTAATCTATACTTAATTTTTACTGAATTGTTGGTTTTGTACAGTTCCTGCTAATCAACGACCGTCATTATCGACTATTTAAAAAATGGCTGATCAAAAACCAACAGAAAATCAAAATCCTGAATTCTGTAAACCCAAGGTATATAATACATTATTAATCAACATTATTATTTAGGCATTCGCCTAAAGTTTATTCATTGTGAATCTTATTCCCTTAGGACCCCAAAGACGTTGAAAAAGCCCAAGAAGAATGCATGAAAAAACAATACCAAATGAAATCAAATTGGGCTCCAGTCAGTGGCCATTCTGCGTTACTCCAAAAACGTTTAGCCAAAGGGGTATACATAATTTAATAATTTATAATTAGGTTGTAAATTGGTAGGTACTTGAGAAAATAGGGACTTAGTTGTGTTATATTATTTATTGTTGAGTCAGTGTTCTAATAATTATTGCTTTTGTTATTATTTACACTTAGTTTACTGTATAATTAGGAATCTTATTATTTACCTATTTTATAAATTTGTTTGAGTAACAAAAAAACTTTTATAATATTAACCTAGAATAATAAATCTTATGAAAGACCTTTAATAATATGTACTTCTCAAAAAATGTTTCAGCACTATTAATAACTTCTATAATTATGAAATATTTGATTCTGTGATTAATTTGTTGTTTTTTGGTTAAAATAATGTCTATGATAATTTTTTACTTATAAGTGGTTATGAATTCAGACTTCTATGATAACAATTAAAAATATTTTAAATATTAACATTAGAATACTTTGCTTACACAAATAACATAGTTTTATTGAATATATAATATAGGTAATTTGTATGTTGCAAAAACAGTAGATTCACCATTATCAGATTATTTATACTTGTTTAGGAAATTTTATACGAATGTATAAACTCGACAATATTCTTATGTGAGGAAAATGTTTTGTTAACCATTGTTTCTCTTTTGTTTGATTAAATAAGACCATGTGTGATGTTAATATTAATAGTCTATTCTAACTTTTACTGAATTGTATTAAGTATAGTTTATAAATAATTTGTTACAAAAAACATTGAGTAATAATTATTTTTTATTTTTTCTTTTAGCAAAAGTTTTTTGATTCCGGTGATTATCAAATGGCTAAACAGGCAAACACTGGTAACAAATTTGCCCAGAATCGTCCAGTGCAACAAGTTTTAGGTTTTGGTACAGGAGACACAATACCAACACCAGAAACAGTTCCAGCACGCAAGACGTCTATTATTCAACCAAAGTTTACCCCAAGTTCTACTCCATCTTCCACTACGTGATTTTGCATTTAAACTTATTTTTATTTGATTCAGTAACTTAGTTTAATTAAATGTTTTATTCATTTTAATTTTGTTAATATTATACGGTCCATGAATTAAACACAATATGGCCATTTGGTTAAGCTATTTTTTAATGTAATATTCATTGTATCATTATGTGTAATTTAATTATGTGTATTATTAACTGCGTTATTTTTCAATATTATATGAATGTGGTATTGACATTGTGATTAAAGCTCATAAAGCATTTTAATATTTTAACACTATTCAAGTATGATTAAAAAAAAAAAAAATCATTACTCAATTCATATTATCAGTCCATAAAGTTGTTTAATGTGTTTAGTTGAAATATAATTTCTATCGGTAATGAAGTACGATAAGTTGAATTTTCCAAAAATGTATTTTATATTATACAACAAAATGAACATTTTTTTTTAAAAAATAAAGTAATTTAAATATTAATCAAAAATTTTATTGTGTTTATTATGATTTATCAAATAAAAAACTAATAATTCTTTATTTAAATATTGCAGATCAAAAAATACTGGAATTGCCACACAAATAAATACATTTTTTTATTAGAAAACAGATTCATTATTTTTTGTAGCTGAAAGAAATGGAATTATTATATTATGACCCTAACATAGATTGCCTTAATATTTAATTTTTTGTTTAAAACTTTTTAAATTTTGCTCTCATCATCAAGTTGATCTATTAATCAACAAAAATAATTTATTTGAAAATACCAATAGTCTTATGTCAGTCCTTAAAGAGGTTGAATACTAGGGGAAAGATAATGATGGTCAACTGTATATATGCAAAGTTTTATCTCAATCCATTCAGTAGTTTGGGTGAAAAAAATTATCATACACATCCACCTTAACTTTCTAATTTTTAATTTTTTTTATTCTAATTGAAGCGAGGAATGTTTTGGTTTTATTATGAAGTGTATCAGTGAACAATGTTTTAATTTATGAAGTAAGCAGCTTTAAAATGTTATATTCTGTTTACTTTTTGTCATTCTTACTTTGATGGTTAAAATCAATATTTACTTTTTAAATAGCCATTTATTCCAAAAATTTCATAAATAGATGAAGTTTTGATTTAATTACATTTGGGAGGTAAAATGTTTAATTTTTGTCAACCCTTTGACGATAATCAATTACCACTTTCTATGAAAAGTTAAAATTGAGATATCTTATCAAGAGGTTGACAGAAATAAAAAATTCAACATCAAATCTTTAAATATTTATACAATTTTTATTATTTTAATCATTGTTTATTTCTTCAAAAAGATAATAGACACCACTGAACAGGTTTGTGTGTGAGGGGGGTCTATGAGATCACAATTTATAATAAGGAAAATAATGTATTCAAATAATAATTTACATTTAACTTTTTTTTTTTTTTTTAAATTTTAGACTTATTGGATGAAACTTATTTTAGCATATATAATGGAAGTAACAATAATTAAAAAATAAATAATAAAGTAAAAACAAAATTATTAAATGGTTAATACTCGCAAATAAATATATAAATAAATTCTATGTAAATTTTGACTTTTTGACTTACCTGATAATGAATTTTAAATTCGAAACTAGTCGTACAACACGCATAATATCATAATACTCTAGATGACGGATTCATTTATTAATTTAATAATTAATAAATGGAAACTTAATGTATAATATAGGTTGGTATTTAAAGATTTAAAGTCAGTTGCGATTTTACACCCAAAAATATGGATAACAAAATAATAATGATAATATGGCTCAATAACATTATAACGTTATTTAGCCATGGGTAATATAACATTTTAGATCTACTTGTTTATTAAATTGTCTAAAAAAAATTCTGAAAAATGTTAATACTTTCAAGATAATAAGTGTCTTATTTAGGTATCTATCTATCTAGTATCTTATCATTGATTACTCTATGTAAGACATTTATAGCATAGTGATAAATATATTTTGAATTAAAGCCATAACTATAGGCATTAGGGTAAAATAAATACAAATGGGATCACTATAACTTATTTTTTGAAAAATTATGACTAAAATTCTGCATATTGTAATATGAAGTTTAGTTCTAACAGACTATTATTTTCAAATATTATGTGGAATAAATATGGTAGATACTAGGTAGGTATACAATAATTTTGGAGGATATTCTTTATCTATATAAGGAAGAGGGTGGCACAAGCCAAGGCAAGGACTATCCGAAGGGCAGTTCAATGACCAAGTCGACTCCAGGTGTGTGGGTGCCACAAAACTTGGCCATCAAAACCGACAGTTTCAGAACCAAGTCGTAAATTCAACAAAGGGAAGTCAGTGTCGGGATCCAGGCCGAATTGTCTGATTGTGTACACATTATTTTATGTGATATTTTATCACCAAATTGTTTGGGGGTGTAACAGGGAGATCCTGCTCACATTATATGTATCTATCTATAATGAAAATAGCAGCAGTGGGATAGCAATGTTAACACAAATCCGTTACTGCTGCCGGTTAACCAGAAAAAAAAAAGGAAAATTTATATAATAATAGTATGTACGTCAAATTTCCAACATGAGTACTTTCACATAGACTATAGAAATATGGAAACATTTTGGGTACATCAAAACATTTTTCCAGTTTTTTATTTCGGTACTCATTTCATTTTTTAAACAATTTTTTGAAGTCTAGGAGGGAAAAATTTGAAAAATTGATTAAGTCAATATCAGATCAAAGACCCAGACTTCAACCAAATTATTATTTAATAGTTAATGACCACAATAATTACCTTTGAAAGTAGCATGGTTAATAAATAAGTGAATACAGCTGATGAAAATACTAATGATAAGATTTATTTAAATCAAATAGTTATTAAAATAATGGTGTATAAATCTAAATCAAACAAATTCATGTTTGTGTATATATTTATCAACATTTAATGTTTTTAATTTAATAGTTTTTAAGAACACTATATCGTTTAACATGAATAATAATTAATGATTTATTTATTTTTTTACTTCCTTTGGGAATTTTGTATTGTAGTAGGGCACATATTGCAAAAGTAATTTCCAGTCGGTAAAGTAGCACACGAGGGTGAATCCAGTGGCACCATAGAAACCGGCACTAGGAACACTAAAATATTAAATTTACAGATTACTTTTTTTTTGTATTGCAAACAGATATCTATAATAATTTAAACAAAATCAAGATTTAACCTTAGGAAATTAACATCTAAGTAAAAACATAATACTTTTGTTTCAAAATCATACTTACAATTGAACCGCCTGTTCAATGTACCGTTTGCCAATTAATTTCGATATTAGACTCATGTTGACTGGAAGATATACTTGAAATTTGACTTTAATACAAGACCGACCAGGCAGTTTTAGGAATATTAGAAATTAAATTCTATTTAGTTAATACTAGAAAAATTAAAATATTTTATATTGACATTGATATTAACATATGATTCTTATCCTATTATTACTCATCAGTAAACATTATTGATAAAGTTACCATATTAGTTTTGTAATATCTTTGATATATTGAATGGGTTTCGGTGGTAAATTCGTTTCAAATACCTTAGGAAAAATAAAAAGGATTTCAATAAATGGCCTATCTAATACACCAACTAGATCAATAATTTTTTTAAAATAAAGTTTTTGATTGGAGCAAATATTCTAATTGTAACTCTAAAGTAAAATCGGAAAAATGTCCAGGTGTGGGAAGGGGGAAATATTAATATTATTTTTAGGTTCATAGGTAATTAATTATTTTGAATACCTATTTTAGCATGAAAATGCAATACATTTTGTTAAATAAAAATGGCATTACTCATATAGGCACGATCAGGTGCGGATTAACTAGTGTGCTGGGATGTTACAGCATTCTATGCCTCAAAAACGTATTTGTCCCAATCGGGATTGAACTCGCTTTAATCAATCAACTTACAATTAATATGCATTTTTAATAAGAAAGTTATAGTTATCTGATAATAAAATAAAAAGTATTCAATTCATAATAAATAGATTATAATTAATTTGTTTATAACAATTTAATATAGATATCATTGATTATTTTACATTATATTATACTAATTTTATAGAAGACGTGTTATTTTCAATACATTCGGTGGATATTTGACATTTTCGATACTCTTTCAATTTAAATGTGTCGATATACACGCTGAATCGAACTTGCTTCAAAGTCGTTCTTCGTTTGCACTGATTTAATCATTGTATACAGATATAAACTAAATTACTTTTGTGTATTTTACGTTCCCATTTTACATAAGTGATCCACTAATTGTACAGAGAATAGTAGTTATTTTAAATTTGTCGTATCATTATAATTCACGTCAATAATTGTTGATATTTGCCTTTAACTCTATGTAGCTCTTTTTACTTTTATACCAGTTCACGCCTGAGAACAATCTATACGTACTTAACATAATAATATACTTATGTACCTACGTATAATATATCAAATAATGTAGTTATTCGTGAATGTGAGCTAAAACAATAACAATTTTTTATTACTTTACTGTAGAAAATATTATTTATCTATGGTGGACTGTAATATCATGTCTATGGTAGTTTTATGATTCTAATTTTGTTTGAAACTATTAATTACATAGAAATAAAAAAATTAATAGTGGTGGTGAATCGATGAAGGGAATCATGGATTATATAGAGGGTGGTCCGGACCCCTGTCCCCCCAGTAAATATCCCACTGCCATAAATTCCCCAAACAATATGACACTGGTCGTTTGTCCTATCTTATTTGAGTAGGTACATGTTGCCATGATATAAATTTTAAATATTAAAATTTAAAATTGTGGTTATACAACTAATAATGAGTATCGAAAATCCAAAAATAAGTTAAACTTAATTGATTGTAACTTATATGACTTGTATAAGAAACTATATACGTTAAGGGTAAAGTACTAAAACGGGTATTTATAAATACTTATAATGTAAATTACTATGTTGTAAAAGTACTTTATGAAATCGACATATTGACGAAATATGCCCGTTTTCGTGGAGTGTGAAGTGGAAACAGCTTTATCATGTTACAAATTTTAAAATTTTCAGTTATCTAGGAAGCGCCGAATTAGCGAAAGTTCAGTATAAGTATATATGTATATTGTATATCTATTCCTACAAACAATCACTTTGCATCGTGTCGTTTTACTCGTCCAAATGATAAGGCACTATATTATTCTGACCGCTGTTGCTTAGCAGGACAATTAATTCAGGCGACTGTAGTACTTACTTGTATATCATATAGTTATAGCCCATAGAGTATAAGTGTACTTAATTCGCAAAAATGACGCATATATCATCGACTTTATTCTCGTAACGTTAAAAATATGTTTTTTTTTTTTTGTTTATGCTATTTCCAATTAAAATAAATAATAACGCACCGTTTAACAGAACGCTGACTAAAAAAAAACTCACATTTAATTCTTCCATGAAAGTGCTGATAAAAATATTAAAGTACAACGAAATTTTCACGTAAAGGAAAAGTCTTAACTCCATCGGATCTCCAATATAAAATATTGTAATTTTTAAGTTAAGATTTGTGCAACAAAAACTGTTTGTGTTTCTCTTGAACAATTGCGATTTCGGAGGACAATCGGGAATCCAGCGGACGATAATATTATACCGAAATATAACGACGCGTAATGTAATTTAATTTGGATTTTATCTTCCAGGATGCCCGTCACCTTGCCAGTGCGTAGAGAATAATAATAACGGCCGTTGGGTCATAATATTGTACGGGACGGAGATCGCCGGAAACCACATATCCGCAGACCTAAACACCCTGCATGCACGACAGACTGAAAATATGGACCACCTGCCAAGCCAGTTGAATCTGCACGCATGGGTGATGTTTGAAACTTACTATTATAGGTAAAACGGGGTTAGGTAAGCAAATAAAATATTATTAAACTGTATAATATTATATAGGTATGATATAAATTGGAATATCTATATTATATCGTATAAAATTATATTGAACGTCCTGTCCACAAACGGTTTTTATTTTTTGCTCGAAACGATGCTATACGGAAATAACTCTCATGCTTCGTAGAGTGAATCGATTTAGATCATTTTTTATTTGTTGAAAAGAGGAAGGCTTCTTATGGAGCACATTGTACTTAACCTTAGGATATTATATTTTTAAACGCTATAATTAGAGTATGAATATGATCAATGTTACCAATATTATTATTTTAGATTCTTAGCGGAGTGAGGAATGCATTGGTTTTATAGTGATGTTTATTTATTTATTTTTTTATAACTGCGAACAACTTTTTTATCATAAATCTAGCTCTGATTTTTAAGTGTAACAACTTTTCTGAGAAGAAATTTTATCTGGGTGGAAATTAAGAGAGGTAATTATTTGAATTTCCAAGCGGTGGTTTTCATAATAATTGGAAAAAAACGGGAAAATTTACATTATGTATTATTTTAAATTCTGTTTTATTTTGTTGTGATTCAGTTCAAAATATTCGTAGAGACTTGACATTTTGACAAAAAACTGATATTTGATTTTTCTAGACGCGGCAAAATTTTTAAAACATTTTGGCCATTTTTGAGCTATTTATAGATATTTTAATTTTGCGAGGATTTTACGTAATTTTTATTCGGTAGGTACTACGTAGACAACATTTTTAGACCAAAAAAATGTTTGATAATTTAACAAGAGGTTCATTAGGAGTCATACTTGGTGGTAAAAAAAAATTGATTATAATGTAGAATTTTTTTTTATAAGAATTTTAATAGATATCAAATTTTGATGAAAATCGTAAATTGTACGGCCTTTCAAAATATGTATAACTGAATTCCGCTCAGAATCGCTTTTCGTTATCAATGATTAATTGTTGCGTACAGATATACATTAAATTCTCCTCAATATCCTACTTTCTCAACTACTCATCTAAAACAGTGGGCCACCTATCGTGCGAAGTTCCTTTGTCTGTTTTTTTCAATAAAAATCATAAAAGATAGGCGAGCACTTGGATATTAGATATAAATTTGAATATAAAATATAATCGATTTTGTCGAAAAGCCACGTTCTGTAACCGTATAACGTAGTCATGTTCACAAAATAAAATATCTTTTTTCCGATTTCAAGTTTGTGTAGGGATATTATTATAGTATTTCACATAGGCAGGTAATCAAAAGTTTAACGTAATGGTACGGAGTGCAATTATTTTTAAGACTCGGGACTTTAGAGGAGCATAGGTACCCCTGTATAGTGCGTATATTATAGCGTAAGGGATGAGTTCGTTTTAGGGGAAACCCTTACAAGTTAGATTGGAAAAATAAAGCAATTGTCTGACGTGTAATTAGGGTTTCGTACTGCTCGACTTAACATCAATGCCGCGTAACGGCATAGGGTGCCAGGTGATATTTTATTTTATTTCCACTAGAAAATTCACTGTGTTCAAATATGTTTTTTATCATTATTATTATTATTATTATTATTATTGTTATTACAATATACATACACCTGGAATCGGCATAATATTCGGTTGTTTAATTGCTGCAATAGTAATAAAAATAATAATTTACAGCTGATCCGATTCTGAGACTCGACACGGGCAATTAAACTTCTATCTAAGTATGTTGGAAAAAAAAAATCGTTTTTCACAAATGTCCCTTACGAAAGTGTATATAAGAACGATAAGTACGCATCCTATAATTATTTAACGATTCTTACATAGACAAATTACAGCCTTTTTGTTGTTCTTTAGAAAATCTGATGGCTAATTGAATCATCCGATATTGGATGGTACATTAAGAAAATATAATCACGACATTTATTACTTTATATTATCATTCCGCATCTAGCAAAAAAAATTGTTGTGTCCCGCGATCAAATATCTTAATATTAGTTGGGTCTCGGGTTTGTAAGGGTGGTATGCTATAGTTTAGTCCCGAGTTCCCGCAGCTAGTAGTTGACTAGTACGTACCGCAATATTAATAATAATTAAAATAGTTTGGAAGTTTAGAAAAATAAAATACAATATTCATCCTAAGATCTGCCAGTTTATAGAAATTTGAAAATTCCCGAATATAGTTACTTATATTAAAATGAGAAGTTCAGAAAAAAACAAAGAGACTGTATTATACAAAAAAGAAAAACGTAAAATGGATAAAATGACTGGAAAAATCACTGGAATAGATCCTAAGTCTTAAGTAAAAAAAATGTGTCGGAAAATGTTTATATTGCTTTTAAACGACAAACGTTCGAATATAAACCTACAATTACTCATCCATAGTAAGTATCCTTATGTTTTTTCGAGAATATTATTGTTACATTAATATGATTTTTTTGTGAGAAGCTTAAATTTCGGGGGGAGGGACCGTGGGGTTTGGTTCCCCCTGGCTACGTGACAGATGGGTAAAACGCAAAGTGCACATTATACTTGTGCAAAAGTCATATTTTGGCTTTTTCCCGAAAAAACCTATAGTAGTGACTAATATTATTGGGCAAAACCGTAGCGTCCGTTAATTTTCAATTTTTAACAGTAAAGATTGGTATCGCATTTTTTTCTTTTTGATTATTATATAAAAAATATTATTATTCCAACATAATTAAATATGATATTAAAAGTTTAAGAATTAAAAAAGTTAATACTTTTAATTATAAAAACACGACAAAAGTATATTTTCGTTTATTAGTTGATACTATTACAATAATGTATAACCGTACATTGTATTGTATAATATACGTACTTTCTGTAATGTGCTCAGCATAATTATTTGAAACTATCAAAAAATTGAAATTTACGTACGCCAGTCACGTGCGCAGGTGGAGGAGGTTAGGAGTTATATCCTCCCTCCCCGTTGGCTTTAAAATACAAACAAACATATGAGAAGTCTAATATCGAAATGCATATTGCATTTCAGCCAAGTTACGAGGAAAAGCTTGATGCATATTGATTAGAAATTGGCTTTTTTTTTAAGATTTGACTTTTAAATTACCTATTCCCATAAAAGAGTTGAGCAGAGAAGACGATTTTACTCTTTATTCGTGATTTTTATTACGCCACTGATAGACGCTATAATACGGTTTCAACCGAAACAGGCAAGGGCCGTGATACGACGTTCTTATGGGCATAGATACGGGGGGATATGGCGGATCGATCTCCCCCATGGCATTTTAAAAAGTTATATTTCTCTTTGACGGTTTATTTAAAATTAATAGTTTATGGTGTTTTTGCAGGCTATAGAAAAATTGATAATCTTCTGTTATCAATTTTTATAAAATCGTTTTATTTTATTTTTCAATTTAATTGAACCGATAGCTAACGTCCTTATCAGTCTGTTGGGTCAATTTTTTGTTTTGTTATTTCATCCGTATTGACGATACGGATAGGTTAGGTTCAAATAAACAAAATTAAATAAACAATTATAGATATACGTACCAAAAGTACCTGAAAAGCCCTATTTATCCCCTTAGGTGTTAAATTTTCTAATTATTGTCTATACTAACTTTTAAGTTGGACCAAATCATACACAATGTTAGCGTTATCTTATCGGTTGAGAAGTTGCAGAGTGCATCGCACCTAAACTCGTTGTACGCGTGATTTTTATGCAAAGTATAAGATATTGTGTTTCGTGAAGTATCAAGTGTAAACTCGTTTTTTATATTTTATTTGTATAATTTTTAATTATTAAAATATTTCATACGAGTCAATATAAAAAAATATATTACGAATTTCAAACATATTGTGTAAAAAAATATAAAACGATTTTTACTGTATTTAAATCGGGTCGTTTTTTTGGGCGCGAGGCGTGGGCACTACTCGGCTGGCTGCAATGCATATATCCCACCCCCCTCCCCGAATGAAAATTCCTGTTTACGGCACTGGACGTTCTGCCCACGAGCTCTTCCCGTTTCTCGTCCGATTTCGACTTTTGCCCGCGGTAACACACATACGTATTGTAACGTAATGAAAATCGACGTATCCATCGTCCGTCGTCCCGTCCGCGTACGCCGCGGTCGATAACACGCGTTACGCGATTATTATATTATTATTACCACATCAGAAGCGGAAAATCGGTATTCGCGATACAGGTATATTATTATACAATATGAAATGTATTCGCTGTAGTCGGGGTACGTCGGATACAGTATATCATGCCGGGGCGGACGGAAAAGGGTTACCGGTGGCGGCTGCGGCGGGTGGACGGGTTTGGAGGGAGGGAGGGGAGGGGACAGCGGTAGCGGCGAGACCGCGACCACATGCGTTCTGCGGCGCCGGTGACCTGGTGGGGGCGGTTCGAGCCCCGAGTTCCGGGCCGCTAAACGCGGAGAGCCGACAGAGGACGGTCGGAGGTCGCGTGCGGGTGTTCTAGTGTAACGACATCCCCGGGGGTAGCCCAGCGTATTGTTACATAGTGTGTGTCTAACGGACATTTTTGTGTTTTTTTTTTTTGAATTCCCCCGCGTTTCTGCACATCAGTCGTTTTCGAAACGTTTCGGCTCGTTCGTTATTTCCTCCTCCCGCCCCTCCCGCCCAGTTTCGCTACGTAAAAACAACGAAACATACTGTTAATAAAATAGTAATAATATCGTCTTTTGCGATCGTGTCCCGGCAGTCCGTCGTCGACGATTCGTGTGGTCCCGGCGCAGCAGTAAGCGAGTGCGGCCCCGAAAACACGCGCGTTTCTCGTGCTTTACGGAAATAAATGATCGGTTTCATTTCGGTAAGTATATAATATACTATGCTAGTAATAATATAACGCACGCAGTACAATAGTGCGGTACAGAGCCCGAGTGCTTACAGATTTTCGGAATCTGCAGGGAAACCAACCGGGGATTAATAATAATGTTGCCGAGAAAAAAAAAAAAACCGAGACCACGTAAAAATCCGTAAATAATCCGTTGTTTTACGTTTCGAATTATTTTGTAAAGTATACCGAATCGCCGTGTCTAAATACCGTATACGTAATTATACACTGTACGAGTTATCCGTAATGCATATTAAACAATTCGCTTAAATCAGCCTCTGATCGTATAACATCGTCTATATTTTATATGTGTACTAAAAATATAATACTCCGAACGATTACAAAATTTATTAAATACTATAGTCAAGTTTGTTGGACGATCGCGGCGGCTGTGACTTGTGGATGTCCGAATTTCGTTTCATAACGGCAGATGATTGCTATGTCATCATCGCGGGTTTTTTTTTTTTTTTAACCTATTCTTTACAATATGAACAATAAAATACAGCAACGGGTTTCGAATAGAGATATAAATATTGTTAAATGTAATCAATATATTTTTATTAATTTTATAAATTCAAAAATATTTCAGGAATACTGCTGAAATATTACTATACTACTTTTTTTTTTTTTATATTTTTTTATATTAAGACATTATTATTTAAATTAAATGTTTTCGGGTAATTTTGTGCACGGTTTTTTTTTTTTTTTTAGAGTGAGAAAATACATCAAACTCCATGTTATTATTTATTATATACACCTAAGCAGTGGCGGCGTAAACTCACATCATGAGTGAATCTTACGAAATTATTTGACTAAACTGTATATACCTATAAATGATTCAACGCCAGCCCATTTTATGTAAAAAGTAATATGTATAATGTATATATTATAATATAACTTTGTTATTATTAAATAAATTACCTTTTTCAAAAACAATTAAGTTTAAGCCAACTGATTCTACTTCAAGTAGTAAGTAAAAAGAAGAAAGTTATCTAATGTCCACCCAGTTAATCAAACCCACCTATTAAAAAACCTATATGGTTCTCCAAGCCTACAGAACTACCATCGCGACGCCACTGTCCCTAGATATTATGTATTTGATAAATAAATTATTATATCGAATTTATTAGCTTTATCTTGTTACGCGAATAGCATTACTCGTATATTATATGGGCAGTGACAGATGGAGATTTATGAACAAGGTAACTGATGGAGAAAAAGACGAAAGAAAAAAAAGTAGAATATTATTATAAGATGCTTTATAACAATATAATAATTTAGGCATATAAGTGCTGTCGTGTTTTTCGGACGTTCGGATAATTTAAAACACTAGATTTTATTTTTTCGAGGTGCTTTGCCAACTTTATATAATTTTCAAAATTGATGATTATGAAAATTATAAAAAAATTACTTCGTATCAAGTGCATCAGTACTAAAATTACGATACCTTATTCATTTTCATTATTAAAAAGGTTAGTTTTACAAAGCTTTACAATAATTAGTATTTAACATGCAGGGACGGAGTGGGTGGTCTGGAAATGAGAATTTTCCAAATGGTCTGGATTGTGTTAAGGCTTGGAGGTCTGATATTTCTGTATAATACTTTACTTGCTTATATTATGTAAAAATTTAGTAAAAATTAATTTCCCAACCAAAACACGTGTTGTTTCTGCTGTGATTTTATTCCATTCCTTTTCTAGAACGTTTTTAGAGTTTCCTTACTTGAAATATTGTGATCTCGAATTTTTCTATCCAAATTCTCAATAGGATTAATGTCTGGAGACTGTAGTGGCGTCACGAGATATTCAATTACATTTTTCGACAACCAAGCCTTAATTTTTTTTGCAGTATGCTTGGGATCATTATCCTGTGTAAATATGAAATCATCTTTGATGCCCTTTTTTTCAGCACTGGCTACAAGATTTATCTTCAAAATATTTAAATAAATATCTTGGTATATAATTCCATTAATAAAGTGCAAGTTTTCAACACACTGAGCACTCATACATCCCCAAACCATTACAGAATCACCTCCGTATTTCACTGTAGGCTGTAAATTCTTTGGTACCATTTCTGTATTCGCTTTTCTCCATCAGAGCCAAAAATATTAAATTTACTTTCGTCTTTAAATATAACTTTGTTCCAAAAGTTATCAGAGTGATGTAAGTTGTTTCTGACAAAAGCAAATCTCTTTTGTCTATTTTTTTTTTATTTACAAAATATTTTCGACGAGCTTCCTGTCCATGGTAATCACTATTTTTTAAAAAATTTCAAATTGTACTTACACAAACACGCACTCTAGAAAAATTCTTAATATCTTGTGCTATTTTAGGAGCGCTTATTTTTGGATCCAACTTGACTTTTCGTATAACTATACGTTTATCATTGTCAGATAGTTTTTTTGGACGACTAAATCGCTGCTTATTTTCTTGACTTTTCCGCCCACTGTATCGATCTATCACGTCTTTCACAGTGATATGAGCTCTGTTGACAATTTTTAATATTTGACGTAATGATTGGCATTGATTATGTACATTTAAAATTACCGCGTAATGCGGTACCCAATTTTAACAATAATTATATGTCCGTACGTTTTTTGGCATTTATTAACAAAACGGTATCAAATAAACTAAATGTTTTTATTTTCGATTTGTCTAATACTCCGCACGCTAATAATGTTGTTCTAAAATGCATCTTACTCGGGTCACATGTGACGTACCTATACGTACCTATACTATATACCTACCTAAATATAATTTATTTAATTGATTATTATACTATTAAGTTGAAACGATTAAACTGCACTGAAACCAGAATCGCCCATAGTTAAATAATAATAATAATAATAATAATAAAAAATTAGCATATTATTCTAGAATTCTTAAAACGATTAGGTGCATACATTATATTATGGGCCAGGCCCCGGTGGCGAAAAGTATAATATTATGCACTTTAAAATGTATACCGTGTATAATATTATGTATTCTAGTATGTATTGGTTTATAAATTGATGTTATAACCCGTTCGTCGTATCCTATAGAATATAATAACTTGTATCCTTGAATGTAATCAATAGTTCCCGAAGTTTTTAATGGCGCGTTTACGCTTCATTCGACTGTAGATCGGGGTAATATTATTATCATTAAAATAAAATAATAATAATATGATTGATGATAATAATATGTATTTTTGAGCTACGGTGTTCACGTTATAATATACGAACAACGAACTCGCGGTTAATGTAGAAAATAGATTTCGGAATAATGTTTACGAAATAATTAATTATTTTGCGATTCAGTCGAATTTATCCGTTTGGGACGATTCCCAGCAGTCGTATACTAAGAGTTTGGCGAGATATTAAAAAAAAAAAAAATTATCACTAATTCACTTCATACACTATATAATATCAAAGATACATAAACTATTCAAGATACTATCGATTTGTTTGATTTTCATGTTTCAACATCAACGTGGTGAATATTTTACTATAGCAACCTACGATTTTTAAGAATAAATGCACTAAAGAAAATAAAACAACAATTACTAATGAATATAATAAATATAAGTAAACGTTTTTTATTTAATATTAATAACAATTAATGTACATAATGTTTAGATGTTTATTAAATGAAATTTAAACTTTAGTCATTTTATTGATCAATTCTGGATTAGCCGTTTAGGCGCCTTTTAAAAAAAAAAATCTTTCAAATAATTTATTGTACATCACGTTTGTACCTTTTTAAATTTTTTATTCGACCAAAAAATATTTATCATATTCTTTAGCACAAAAAGATAAATGATGCTGTAATAAAAAGTATCTTGATACAAAAGAAAATTGTATCTATAATTATATACTGTTCAACCCTGCATATACTGTGGTGACAATAATACTAAAAATTGCAAACAGCCAGTCCATGATTTGTTTTTCGAATAATCCACCCTTAACACAAGACCGCTATAACTCAAAATTTGGCACTTCTGACCGATTTGTATCAGTAGAATTGCAATAATTTTTTTTTAAAAAATGATAAACTGCCATAACAATAGCGTAGCAAGGAGGGTGGGGTGTTTAAACAAGTATATGTTATGTGTGTTTTTGTTATATTCACACAGTACATTTACAAAGTTACATTTAACACAAAATGAAAATACTCCTTAAAAAAACCCTGGCTACGCCACTGCACCATAATCTATTAAAATATTATTCTTGGTGTCAGTATGGGATTTTTTTTTCACTTTAATGAAAACAAGACTGCTAAATTATAAAATATCGATGTATTGCTTTGTGATAAATTGTATTTCAATAATATCCTGAAAAGTTTAAACTACCGTAATTGTATTGATGGTGGTTTATAATTATTTTTTTTAGAAAATACCGGTGTTAGTTGAGACGAAATTTAAGATTATTGTTTTTATGTTCATGATTGTTTTTATTGTTATGGCTATCATTTTTTTTTACAAGTGTACCTAATAGAATACTGGCTACTATTCAAAATCAAAATATGGTAGTATTTCACTAGAATTTAAAAACTGTTTTATAATTATAAATTCTCAGAAACGGAAGATATCTTAACATTATGTTATGTATAATTTGAATAAGGTATGTAAAACGCAAAAAAAAAACAACGTGTGAGTTTCATTGATAAAACTAAAAAATCGACATCCTGGTTGGTGTTTAAAATTCAAAGTCTTGCTCCGAGAGCGCGTTATTATTGCAGAGCCTATAGGCGCTGGATGGATGTGCGTGCGTGTGTATTTATTTTTTATTGTTCGAAATTGGCCGGCGGTATATGAAAATTACTTGGTATATTTGTGCGCATCGTATGTATATGCGTGCGTGTATCTGTAAATATTATATAAACCTGAAAAATAGATTAAAATCTGTTAATTTCGACGGCTACATTAGCGAAAAAAAAAAACCTCGAGGTAAATCGGCGGTCTCTGCGGCGACGGCTGTCGCGTATAATGGGTGCGTATCGATCGTATGTATAGGTGGTCAGTTTATGAAAGGGTCACGAAGGGGGTACACACCTACCTGGTGTAGATATTGTGTAGCCCCCCAGAGGCGGCGGTGGCGGTGTAGGAGACGGTGGCGGCGGCGGCGGTGGACGGTGGTCAGCAGTGCGGAGGTCGATGTCCATTCAAACGGACCAGCGGCGGCCATTTGCCACTGAATATTACATAAGAAGCGAAATAAAAAAAACAGCACGCATTAGTAGTCTAAACCGCGGTTAGGGTTTGTACAGCGCCTACCCACACCTACCTTTATAATAACGGTTCGAGCACACGGCGAAATTCGACCGTCGCAAACGTTTTATTTGCATTTTTCTTTTCTCTACGTAATACGTACATATTATAGGTTCCTGCCAACGAAATAAAATTATTTTTCAAACACGCTTGATACGTCATCGCAGTGACGTCAGAGGTTATACCACTTCTACCCCCACCCCTGCTTGGAAATATAGTAGCCGTTATGCGAATGTATTCGATAATTGTATCGTGAAATCATTGTTACATATCAGTCAAGTTGCAAGGGGAAGAAAAAAAAGATTTATATTTATTATTGAATAAAAATTCGTTTTTTTTTTTTTGATCCGGCTTGCTAAGTTCTCATTGTCGAATTACCATTTATAGTTAGGCGTGCAAAAGGAAGATTCTACGATTTATTCACGAATCACGGTTATTATTCACATTCACTATACGTCCCCTCCTATTGAATATTCTTAGGCACGCCACTGGGCTCACGCAGTTACATTTCATATTGATGATTTTAATAATTATATATTTTTACATTCATATGGCCTGCATTTTCGTATAGACTGCGTGAGTATTCAAAATCGTGTAAACTTTAAGAAGACATTATATCGTCTGTATTTTCGCATTATTTTCATCCGTGATAGACGGATAGAACATTCCATGAAATACTGCAATCAAATATAATATCGTGTTTAAAAAAAAAAAAAAAAACGACTTAAACACTAATTAATTTTTAACATACTAAATTACTAAATTATTTTGTACGAACTATACATAGTCAATGTAATATAATTGGCCCTTAATACAATATAATAAATTTAGAGTTTTAGGTAGGTACACATCATAACTTTTTGATTGTTATCTATCTAAATAATTACACTTTTTATTCGCAGTATCATCGCAGTCCACCGAAGTTTGAATATTTGTCTATTCTGCACGAATAAATTTAAAAAATCAATACAATACCTGTGAATTCATTTTAATAGGATACTATTATTTGTGATGAGTTTCAGACAATTTTTTTTAACATTATTCTATGAGTTCTATAACGTTCTATGAGTTACCGAAACACAATTTAATTTGTATTAGTAATCATTTGAAAGTTATACGTTTTAAACAGTATACTGTTTAAAATGTAATATAATATACATTTTATTTCATAGGTACGAATATTGCAATATAGCATAGATTATACAAAACATTGTGTGATCTGTAATAGTATAATATAACATAAAAGAAGAATTAGTATAATATAACATATTCTTATTTTGTATTAAATTAATAGTATTATTATTATCAATGCATTTTGTTTATAATATTATCTATTAATATATAAAACAATTGAATTAGGTTAGAGATAATATATGAAAAAATAAACTGTTTGTTAGTGTATCTAATATAAGTGCAATGTAGATACGTACTTCGAAAACGTTAATTTTAACGCAATTTGCATAAGTAAGCATAAGTATTTTCTGTATTTTTAATTATTGAACAATACAAATAAAAAAAATAAACGATCCCATAGCACCTACATTTGAAAATTAAAATCAAATACAAGTAGGTATTATATATTATACCAGTGGTGGACATCGGGGAGGACGATTGGTTGTTCGATCAACACCAGATTCCACCAGTGAGGATTTCGTCATCGCTGTACATTATTACTTATAAATTAATACTTAAGAAATCGTATCCCAATATCCATGTAGATTTGAAATTTGATCCCACTTCAGAACTAGGATATATCCGTTACTGTACTATTTAAGCAGATAAGTACCCAATCAATATTGAAGTCCATAGTTTAGGTAAAATATTATTAAATTAAATTTGTTATTTTTGTAAAACTTCATCTCCAATACTAACAACGATTATAGGAGAGGTTAGGTTAATATATCAATAAGCTATATTTAATCGCAATATCGCATTTATAATTTTTATTGAATGTAAAAGTGTGATTTAAAATTAGTTATATTAAATTGGTGTTTGGTTTGTAACAAATGTATGCTTTCCTTTAAATTTTAACTTTTCAACGTCATTTTTTCTTTATTACTAATTTTTTAAATAGGCTTGTACCTATTTTGCGCTTTACATATTTTATTGTGTTAATTTCTTACTTTTATAATATATTTGAACAATATGAATAGTCTTCTTTTAACTATGTATAAGAAAAAAAAAACCAACAATAATACGATTTTATAAATACACACAAGTAAATATCGTACAATTACTTTAAAGTTCAGTGAATTTTTCGTTTGATATTCTATGATTTATTTCGAATAATAAAACTTTAGGTAATTAAAATAAAATAATGATGTATACACGGATACATGTTATGTAAATGGATGGATGGTTGTCTGATGAGTGACGATAAAATTATTTGTTTAATGTTCGTGCTGGCCAACTAATGGATGCATTATTTTCTGGGGATAGATACCTAAACGTTATAGAATATAGATAGGTATTAGTGTGTGTACAAGTCACACATAATAATAGACAAGCTCAAGTTCAAAACGTAAAGCGAATGTATAATGTAAAACGCAATAAAAATAAATATATATGAGTCACTGCAGCGATGATACACTTAAATTTGTCGATTTTAATTCCTTAAAAATTGTGCCAAAGCTGCGTAATAATTGTAATAATTCCGAATTCGAGTGTACTCGATTGCAGACAGGGCAGTGTTTAACGGGTGTGACGGGAGGAGGACAAATTTTACGGTATTTCGAATGTGGCAAACTACGGTGAACATAAAACCAATAATAACTCGAATAACCGACATTTATTGGGTGGTAAAGTTCGTTTTGGCTACGAGCCGCAGTTTAGAGCTTAATACAGCTTAACAATATTATATAACATCGCTCGCGGGATGACTTTTTGCATTCGCTTATTATTTTCAATCAAATATTATTTTCAAACACAAATACAGTTCGTCTTGTAAAGAATCTAATTCCTAAACTTTGAATATTTTACGCATAATTTCATATTTTATAGTTTGTGATTATTTTTAGATCATATTTTAGCAGTACTTAGCTTTTGAATGCTATAAAAGGACATACACTAAAATCTTATCTTATATTTATATTGTTCTATTTTATGCATGCACTGATGCGCGATAGCATCAATTCAGTCGGATAAACTATCGTAAAATAGTTATACTTAAGTTATTAAAAACAATCATTATTGAGTTGAAAATACAAGTGTACCATTTCAATAAAAAAAAAAAAAAAAAAAACATCTTATAGAGCATATTTTTAGTGCGTATTTACGCGGTTTTTTCGGCGCTAAAAGTCCCTAAGCCTAATTGTAACGAACGTTTTTAAATATAATATTACAGTAAAACGTCCATATTTACGGTCACCGAAGGGACGACCGGAAATAATGACCGTTATTTATAGGCGGGCTACAGAGGCGTAGCACTTGACGGGCCCGAAAAATATCACCGATACATAGAGGTGACCGTCTTCTAGAGGTGACGGTTAACGGAAGTTTTACTCTGTGTATGCGTCTACAGAACGTACAACCGCGCCGGGAGATTTAAAACACCCCCCTCTATAATATGATATTTCAATGTAACCGCACTCGTATGTATGCGAAAATATCTCGCGCGCCCTCACCCACCTCCGCTCCCCCCGCCCCACCCGGTCGTATAGGTACACGCGCGGCTATAGCGCCGAGCCGAAAGAATACAGCGGTTTTAGATTATCGACGAAAAACCGGGCGCCTGCGCGAAAAGCCCCTTTTCTCCGTCCCGCGGCGACACGCCTCCATACGCCACCGCCGTCCAATCCGTTCCGCGCGCCGGACACGGGGTCTGACGGCGGAATAACCCCTGAATTATTTATCCCCCAAGCTAACAATTTTCAACCCGCGCCGCGCGCGCAGCAGACGCGGGCGGTTGTTTTCATATAATATGTACGCTATGTTGTAGCCGTGCACGTATACGCACACGTTCGGCTCGATGACAGTTTTCCCACGCGCGCGCGCGCGCGCGTTTCGATATTATTTTTCTGTCCATCTTTGTGTTCCGAACGGGAGTGTATGTTTTTTTTTTTTTTTTTTTCTCTGTTAAATCGATACTAAAAACCGCCGTCTGACTAATCTATTGTTTACCGCGCAGGTGATTATGAAAAATGAATAATATCATTCGTTCGTGAATCACGCGACCGATTGTTGTACAGCAGTCGTAGACGCGGTTCGGTCGGCATGTACATCAGTATAATCATCATATCAGTATAATACATACATATCATACATCAGTATAATATACCGGCGGTACATGTCTGATTAAAACACGACGGCCAAACATTATTCATCGATGCTCAAACCGTGTTATAACCCCGATCCGTCATACCGCCGCGTTCATAGGCGCGACTAAGAGTGGGGTGGGTCCTTAGCGGCCCCGAAAAACCCACCAAGTTTTTCGTACAGTAGCGGTTAAATATTTTATTCGCGTGTTTCTCATAATTAACGAACAGAACAAACTACAGATGATTTCCTGCGCAGTAAATGTGCGTATGTGCGTACGTTTAAATGGTTATGATAAATTTGCATTTCAAATGAAACGGGCAGTTGCTTATTTTAAGAGCCGTGCAAAGGGGATTGTGGGGGCACGGTATAGATTAGTAAGTAAATAACCGCCACGGGTAGTCTTTGATGAGATCTTCCGTAATTTCAGCTTCCCCAGAGTTGGCGGTCTAGTCACGTCTATGGTCGCGTCGTCTCCGCGGCAGAATCTCTCCAGCAGCTCGGAATTCGGTTAATTCCATTTTAAACGTCGTTAGGATAGATAACCTTTTGTTTTTCTTTTGTATAGATAACGAAGTATTCCAAACATTCCTAGTCGAACCTATCATTGTCTATCTAGAAACAATAAAACAAAAACACCCATTTCTATAATAATAGGATATTCCAAACGCTCCTATCCAGAAATGATAAAAGAACCACACTAAAGTTTTTTTTTTCCTCCTGAACAATTTCCCAAAATCGACTTGCGTGATCGCGTACCTACATACAGAAATCGAAGAATAAAATACACGTCAGTAAACATTTTTCGTACTTAATAATACGCGAATAATAGCGAGTTCTATGTATCATTATAACATAATATATTATATACGCATGAGTCATTCATCATTATAAAATATGATCTATATAATATTATTATATTGTACGTGTTGTTTATTCAGGTCTTATACTTAGCGCATTTTGGATATTTATTCGTAGTATTGGTATAGTTATTTTTACTTCAAACGAATATGTAATGAATTATACAGATACTATCTATATCTACGACCTACCATTGTGTATTATATAGTATTAAAGCTTTGTTAAACTAAGTTAAGGTCATTTTTTCAGTTTATACACATACGTGAACTGATCGTTTTTAATTGGGTAGGTATATTTCGAGGTTATGGATATTGTGGAATAATGGTGTTTTATAATTCGATTCGGTATTGATATTGAGTTTGGTTAAAATTGAAAATCATCGTGGACATTGAACAAATATCATTTAAAATTATTTACCTATTTGTAATCAAAATGAAATTAAAAAAAAAAAAAACTTACTCTTATTATAATATTATTATAGACATTTGTTATATTTCCTATACCTATAAGGCTATAATGTAAATGATTTCGAAAATAAACACACGCGTACAATGCGACGAGTTGTGCAATAGAGGTTGATAAGTCCCCACATCACAACGGTTAAAGGGCTCGTGACGCTTCCTATTCATAGGAAAATGATTTTCGAAAAGCTAATAATACGAGCTGAGTATACAATACAATCGTTTCTCCCCTTCGGAACTACAGGCACCTTTACGACGACGCATAATAATAACAATATGTAAACCATTATCGGAGTGTGTCAAGTGATTAATAATCCAACAACACTCAGGTAAACGAACCCCTTTGCCTGTATAGAAGGGGGAGAATCGAGAATGAACCTGCCCCGATATCCTGCACGCATGTGCCCGGAAGTCGGTTGTTAATCGGTCGGAAACGATCTCGGGGGAACCCGATGATCACCCCCTAAATAAATACGCACCCCTGGGGAGAAATTAACGATTTTTTAAATCTCCAGCGGATCAACTAATATACAATTGTATAAAAAAAAAACCCTAAGTAAACGAGAATGAATACTAAGTATTTTTCGTTTTCAGTAAAAAATGTTGGACGTGAAGAGATCAATTTCGATGCTACCAGCACCAGTAAATTCGGAACCGGACACGGACTTGACCAGCTTGAATTGGTTGCATAGTTTAACAAATATACTTTCAGTGCCATCTCTTCCTACGCCTCCCGATTCTCCTAATTCACCTGCAGTGCGTACAGCAGATCAAAACCCCAAAAAGCTTCCGCACAAAATCCGCTTCCAGATGAGTGAGTGTAGTCAGATTATTTGACAGTTCACGATGTATTCATTATTGATATTTCTTCTTAGGTTTGGAAAGTGCTGAACAGTATAAAAAAAACGGAGACACAAAACCACCATTCTCATACTCAACATTGATTTGCATGGCTATGAAAGCTAAAGGAAATAAAGTCACATTAAGTTCTATTTATGCTTGGATCAGAGAAAATTTTTTATACTACCGAAACGCTGATCCAAGTTGGAAGGTATACAATCGTTTAAATATTTAGACGAAAGCAAAATAAATGGAATACTATAATGATTTTATTTATTTTTAGAATTCCATTAGACACAATTTGTCGTTGAACAAATTCTTCGTAAAAGTCCCACGGTCCAAAGACGAACCGGGCAAAGGAGGATTTTGGAAGTTTGATGTTGATTGTTTAGAAGGTGGTGCTCGACGTAAACGAACAAGTAAATATGACTTACTGAATCACAAAATGTTGATACAAATTGAAGTTATGTTAGGGTTAGTGTTCAATATCCTGTCTGGGTATTGGACACTTTTACTTTACTTATATCTGAATCTTTGTAAAAGTGTTTTATTTTTTTAAGAAGCCAAGAAGCTATAGCAAAATGTTTGTTATATTTTGCCTTAAATTATTTATTTCCCTTATATACGTAATTTCGAAATAATGTATTACAAATAAAAATATAAATGTATAATCCTGTTTATATTTTTCGGGTAGGTTTTTTATACTAAAATTTATTCAAGTTTCGATTTATTGATTAATTTTAAAAGATTGCTTAAAGTTTACTAAATATTTTTTCAAAATCTAACTAAAATCAAATCAAAATAAAATTATAGTTTTGCTATTATTTATACTTTTGATATTTTTTTAATTTTTCAAAATTAAATTAGACATATTATATTTTCTGAATAAATGATATATCTTTAAAACATTCAGAAGACTATTGAATTAGTGAATAGATTAAGATTATATAAACCTATTAAATTGTTATGATTTGAAGTTATAAACATCGATTACTTTACATAGGTAGCCGCAGACGGGCAAGCCGGATGCAGCAAAAGAACAACAAGAATAAAGTCCAAGAAGAGCTGATCATTGACGATGAAAAAGCACTGGAGTTGGCCGTTCTATCTCTGGAAGAGGAACAGCGGCATATGGACAGTTTAGACGATTTTAACCAGCAGCCAATGATGCTTCCTGTCGACGAGTCAATGGGTGAAAACGAGTTGATCTACAGCTGTTCGATAAACGCAGCCACCGTGGATCCGTTTATGTCTTCTGTGGTCGATTACACAATAATTGACATACCCAACGACCATCATCAGCAAATCGCTACGGACGAAGAGCTAACCATGCTCAACAACTTGACGTGGGACGATTCGCAAATGGATTTACTCGATTCATTGCTAGACTCTTTGTAGAGACGATATTGTGGTATGCGTTGATTCCTATTATGTAACGAATCCATTCTATAACATTCCGTTTCGAGTGTTTTGAAGTGTCAAAGTGAAACTAGTCTTTTTTTTTTAAATTTGTATTATTACTATTATTATTTAACATTAATTACGTAGAACAATATCATTATGGAGAGGTAAAAAGTTTGATAGGTAATTACTGTTTGGATTTAAATAATTTAGTATTTATTTAGATTTGATTACTTTTAACTGTAGAGGTCTCCATAATGTATCTTATCTGCAGTTTAGTATAAACTTTCTGTGGTTCACTGTGTATATATGAAAGAAAATAACGTATTTACAGAAAAGTTACTAAGTAAATTCGAGAAATTCGGTTATCTTTTATTCTTTTATTTTAATATACTCGTATTATCTACATTGTATTTCTTTATTTCTCTCTTGTAAAACTTTATTAATATTCCTTGTTTAACGTGTAAACAATATAGCGATTTAAATGTTGTATTAATTTTTTAAATAAGCACGAAACTATCTAATGTTTTACGTACAAAAAAATAATTTAAAAAATAAATAAATATATGAAATAACTTATAACACTATATGAGCATTAAACTATAATTATATTAATATTATTATAAACAAAAAGCCTATATCATGTATAACTACAATATAATACATATAATAATGGTATATTATATTCTTATATTAAATATTGATGAAAAAATAAATGTGCTATTAATGTCAACCAAGTAGTTGTACAATAATAACCATTGTAACCACCGTTGTTTAGAACTGAACTTAGTAATTTTCCTGTTCCTTGGATAGCTTTAATCTGTTCGCGATTTAATGACGATCGTTGGGCATACGTAAGTGCGTCTATGGCAGACAACGATAAATGTGACAGTTGCTCTATCGACATGGCCTACGAAACGGTTAAAGATACGTATTTTTAAATTATATTTAACATCGTAAACTACTTAATAAGAAATAATAATTACTTGTAGTGTATCGCTAGACAAACATTGCATATTGGATGCGCCTAATCCTTCAAACGCGTCGGGCTGAATATCCCTGACAGAATTCATACCGGATATTATACAACCAATAAGAGCTACCTAAAAGTAAATTGTATGCGGTATAAACGATTATGTTGAAATTGCATGTACAATTTCAATTTCACCTGAATAGCCGTCCATTCGGAAGGGTCGCCGAATGCGTCTTTGTTGGTAGCAAGCGTGGCAAATTCTTTTATAATATCTTCGGGACAATTAATGAGATTTGATATGTCCACAGCTGCAGCCCTTTTTTTTTTTAATAATATTAATTGGTTTTTTTTTTTTACTATACTATTGTCATCGTTGACATTAACGTTGAAAAAAAACGTTACTTAAATGCTAATGGTTTAATAGCGGCTATCTGTGTTGTGTTGAACGCACATAGAACTTGACCCAAAGCAGCTAAATCAAAACCACTCAAATCGGAAGGTCCTTTGTAACTCCATTGGTATTCAATAGCTTGTTTTAAAGATACGAGCTTGGAAAAAATTGACATAAATGAATAAAACGTGTTTTTGATAGTAAACATTATATTTTTCTTGGTTTTACAATGATTAAAAGTTCAATAAAATTATTATTATTATTATTTTAAAAAAATGCATTTTTTTCTTTAAAACGGAACATTAATCTTTTTAAGGCGTACGGAATTTTATTAGAAAAATAATTTGATTTATTATTTTAAATATAACTAATTAAGTACAGTTTTATACATATTATTTTAAAATTAAATTACTGAAATAAATCGCGACCATTAGATTGAATCCTTTTTTGCTGAAAAATATTATTTACACATATATAAGCACGTTTGACAAAGTGTTCATAATATACAATAACAACACTATAATATACTTGTTTTTACATGAGACATTATGATAAAACTATATTACTTTTTAAAGTTAAATCATTCTAATTCAGAAAAAAAAATTAAAATATAATTTGATACGAGGAGTTTTCTTTCAATGTGTTTCAAAACAATATTTAGGCGTAATGGTATGAAGGTCAAATTTTCGGAACAACAGTTACAATTTATTAAGAGGACACCATACCTATATGCGTTCTCTGTCATATAATTACGGACATACCAAATTTTCGTTCATCGCAGCGGCAATTTTGTGTCGTTAGTTTTAATAACAGAGTGAGTTGATCCATTATCAAACTTAAATATAAAAATAATATCTGTGCCGTCGTTTTTTTTATAATAAGTTTAATTTTTAAGCGAGATATGAGTGTGTAAAATATCACAATATAAAAAAATCTATAACTTATTTAATTTTTAAACGAGCTAAAAACAAAAAAAAACCAACGCGACAGCATAGATCTTAACTTTAAGTTTGATAATTCACTCTAATCTTAAAACTAACAGCACACAGTTTTCTCTCCTGAATAACAATTGTCTGTGTGCACGCGGTTGTATGGCTGATATGGCGGCCACTTAAGTAGCAATAAATCACAATTGTACGTTAATATTAATTATACTTAATTGTTATAATCGTATATTGTATAGTTCCCACTACAATTTGAGTTATTATCATGTTAAATTGTTATAGCGTACCTAGTTGTTAGTACCCACTATTGTTAGTCCACAGTGTTCACACTATAATTGAACATAAATATTAAAAAATGTTGACTGAAAAAAATGTATGGGTATTAACACAGTTTGTAAATTCAAGGATACTACAATATTTTAGTGTAGTTTTGTTTAAATTTAAAATACGGAAGTTCAAGAAATGCAAACGTTTACACTTATATATTATTTAATATTATAGTGAGTATCCATTACACATATCATATCCACAATGTGATTAGTATAACCTATGGACACTTTTGTACATACCGATATTATTTTAAATTGTTTTAATTGTGAATTACGGGTAAAGCATGTGTGATTGACAAACCTGCTCGTTCGACAAGTTTCTCCATTTGCCGAATGCTGCGATCGTATCGATATCGGACAACGACAAATTCATGAAATCTCGAGCAGGTATTCCCTTAGCTATCCACCCCAACAACTTTAACTCATCCTCCGGGACGTCGTCAGCGGTTTTGTAAACCTAATCATGTAACATAGATTTAATATTGTTGTTTTTTTTTTTTTTTACTTAGCAGTTTAAACTCTCAAGATAATTTTGCTAACGCATTCTGAACAAAGCGAGAAATGTATTCATTTTACAATGATGGTTATTTTTTACACTGTGTACAAAAATTTTACCAAACATTTTGTTCCGATTTTCAAGTGCAATATTTTTCTGAAATTAAATTTTATTTAGTTGGGAAAAACCGAGAAAATGTATGAAAATAATACTTTTATTATTTTCAATTTTGTTTTATTGTTGTGATTCAGTTAAAAATATTGGTAGAGACTTGAAATTTGGATAGTAAACTTATATTTATTTTTTCTAGACGTGATAAAAATTTTAAAATATTTTAGTCATTTTTAAGCTATTTATAGAAATTTTAATTTTTTGAGTTTTACGTAATTTTTATTTGGTAGGTACTCTGTGAATGAAATTGTTAAACCAAACAGAAATAATTGACAATTGAACAGGAGGTCATTATAATTCATAGTCATACTTTGTGATTAAAAAAAAAAGTTTAAAAAAGTACAATGTAGAATTTTTTTTATTAGAATTTTTATATCAAAATATGACGAGAATCGTAAATATTACGGCTTTTCAAAACATGTAAAACCGAACTTCCTTCTGAATCGTTTTTCATTAGCAATGATTAATTATTACGTACATCTGTACGTAATAATTAATATACATTAAATTCTCCTCTATATCCTAGCTTCCTAAGTTCTCACCTATACAAGTAGCCCACCTATCATGTGAAGTATGTCCGTCTTTTATTTTTCTTACTTTCACTAAATCTCTCCATAACAGTTCAGCGATTCCCGTATCCAGTGGTTCTTTTCCGAGTATAGCTAAGCACATTTTAATTTGCGCTTGATTATCGTTAGATATTAAATCACTAACATCAGCTTTAGAAAACTTTCCGTTCGTACTCAGCAAAGATTTGTCACACGATTGTCTCGCTGCTTTTTTATGCGTTACCAATAAAAATAAAACTAGCAATAGTAATTGTTCGTGAGTCATTTTTACAACTAAACAGCAAATAAAATAACAAACAAATACATTGTTCAATGTTGCTTATCAAATATGTATAGAACAATTTACTTTGAAAAGTATATTACCTATATCTACCTAACCTAAATGCTAAGATAATTTACATAATAAATTAACTTATTCGTAAATTTTGATATACTGAGTGTCCCTCTATTGTCAGTGGGTAGGTTTTTAATTTATTTTATACCTGATACACACATTTTATTATGTTTTAAAATTGATTTTTCTTACTGTATTTAGGTCCTATGTACAATATTGAATAAACATTGATTAAACTATGCATACATAATATTTTTCAGATCTAAGGTATAATGACCACGTTCTTTCATCCATTTTAGATTCTTTACAACGGGTAATAATAATAATACATAGTAAATTTTATATTTTATAATAGCTTTACATAAGTTGACGATTAACTTTTATACATATTTTCATATTCTTTTATTTCTTTAGAAAATATTAGTTGTTTAAATTAAAATTGTTTCGTGTATTATTCCTGTTAATAATATACCTACGTCTTACCAGTCTTGTATTGAGTACTTTTATTTTGTATTCAGAATATGTGTTCGAATTAATTAGTAAAAAAGTATTCAAAATAGTATTCGAATACAAAGTATTAAAATATATTTATTCGAATATTTTACAACACTACGTGTTTACAAGCGCTTAGAACATACATTTTTAAATATATAATATATATATATGTACTGTTAAAATATTATATTAAAACAAGTCTTGGCGGTGTTTATTAGGAACTGACGTCTGATAAAAGTAGATAAAAGTAGAAATACTCGTATTATTGAATAAGTATATTGTATTCCATAAAGTTGTGTTCTATTTAAATGCACCTATACATGTAAAATTATAAACCGAAAACTAAGACACTGCCCGATTATGATCGTTGTAATATTGGAGTAAGATTATAATAATTTGTTCAAAGTTGCAGGCCGTTGTCAATCAGCCAACGTCATAATAATATAATTCCCCCAGCACAAGTGCACACTACTACAGTTGTTTACTTGCACTTGTACGTATTATGCGTTTTCTATCATTTTATTTACCGGTTCACAGTATTTGGTAAAAAAACGCATACAAGGTACTATGAGCTTGGAATTATAGTGGGAGACCAGTTTAGTAGGTATACTGCAGTATTATATACACACTACGACCAGCTGTAAGGACATAGTGCAGTGAACTCGCGTCCAACCGGTAGTAGGGGATCTCGGACCATGAGCGAAGACATAGGTACCCGCTGCAGAACCAGTCTCGTTCTATACGCATTCATCTCACCATGGCCGAAGATATGTAGTGAACACTAAACCAAAGTTCAATAATAATTATTATTATTAATCTATCTTGAAAATGTTCGTATAAAACATCGTAATATTATCATAATATAAATAATACAATATACCGCCGACGTAAGGTAAAAATGATTTATCGTATTATATAGTGTAGATAATGTGCTGTTATTTATTACCACGAGACGTGACAGAATAATTTCATTAAATACTATTTATTGGCTCGAAAAGTGCGAGGCTTATTCAGAGTACATGTTAATTGTTTGACTTAATTTAACGTACCCTAATTACTGTGACCGTATTACACTGATCAATCAATTAAGGTAGGTACGTGATGTATTAAAAATTAAATGAAAGATATGTACGATGCATTTAATTGCGCGCAGTTTATTAAAAGCTTAATAGATATTAAGATAAAAATATATTCATAGATACAATTTTAAAGCAAAAAAATGCATTTTTCAGAATAAAAATAAATTGATCTAATTGATTTGTTTATCGGTAGTTTTGTTTGTAATTTTTTTTATACCAATTGTAAATTTGATATTATAATGAAAAAGAAAAAAATAATATACTTAGGGACTTACATAATTATTAATAACTATTAATAATAACCAGATACCGGTGTTGACCTTGCAAATGTATACATGCCTAACCGTACATTTGAATACATTGCTTATGCACATAATTGTGTTAACAATAATTTTTATAAATCATAACTGGTATGAAAATAATTCGAAATAAGCATAATATCCATATGCATAGGTATGGTTGTGTACATACAAGTATAAATATATTATTGTTTTTATTATTCGAAAAAATGTGTTTCATATAGGTAATGTAAAAATGAAAACACCGTATTCATTTGTTAGTTCTCATTGTAAATTGTACGTAGATAAGTATACAATATATACATACCTACCAACATTTCGTAATGCTTTTATTTTGTAGAGCAAGACGTTTTACTGACCACAAAAAATTCCTTCAGCTATACGATTGTCATTCATATTTAGGTTAAATTAATACAAACAGTTTATTTAGCTTATATTTCGTATTGTTGCTGACATTAGACTGAGAGATGATGGGAATCGAACAATAGAAAGTTTCTTCAACATTTTCCGCATTATCGCCATTGAATTCATTTTTATTTCCTATTCAATTTACAGTTAGTTGTAACAATATATGATACTGCAATCATTTTTAAATTACAATCACTAACAATTTACCTGTATATATAGGTATACTCTATATACTAGTATTATTTAGTGTACCGAATTTAAAAAAAAAAAAAAATACATTTTTACGTTTAATCTAAAGTAAAAAAAAGTTTTATTTATAAATACAATTGTATTTTATCTGTATTAATCAGTTGATCGGTGTATTTTCCATATATTTTATGTATATTTACAGACAGAACCCAAAATTACAGTAGTAGCGATTGTACAATAATACTTAAAATTAATTGATTAGAATCGTAATGACTAGATTCAATATATATAGGAGAGTTCAGAAGAGGGATCGTGGTTTATAGTGCATACGAGTCGAAGAAAGAGACAAAATATAAAAGGAGTTTAATTAATTCATGCCAATTTATCGTCGTGTAAAAATGTATGAATAGTTACATTTTTTTTTAAATGTTTTGCGTTATTTTTACTGTTGGTACAGTGGAACTATTTATTCGTTAACCAGTATTCTGGTAATAACTTGAATATAAAGCACTCGTAAATTGAATACATTATGTTAAAAATTTAATTTATCAATCGTTAGTTTATCTTTACATAAATATTTAATACTAAATTTATCAATAGATAACAACAAGTTTTGGTGCAATCGGGCATAGGAGAATTAGTTTTACCTGTTAGGTTATTTGAGAAAAAAAGAATTATGGGCTCGTCTGCGATCAGCCAGAGCTGTAGAAGACTTTGAATTTGGGAGTAGCTTATTTATCTAAAATATATGTATTGCAATAGATTTACTTTTGAAACAAAAAAATTAATTCGATAAGTAGGCATCTAGGCTTTTATAGTTCATATCTTCGAATTTTTATTTTTATTTGGAATTGTATGTTTTAGATTCAGAGTGGAGTGAAGAAGCTTTTGGTTTTACAAAGATGTTTATTTTTTTCTGTGGTCAACTTTTCTACCAGAACTCTAGCTTAAGTGTAGCACCTTTTTTTGAAAGAAAATCGGACTGGGGAGGTACCTTAAAGAGGTCATTTTTTGATTTTCCCAGGAGTTTTACAAATAAATTGTAAAACCAGAAAAACAATGGGGAAATGTGTTAAATTTTGGTTATAGTTAAAAAAAAATGACATTTTTTTTCTGTCAACAAATTTTCTACCAGTAATATTACTCTGATCTACAATGATAGCGCTATTAATATTACATTTTTTGATTCTTATTTTTTTAAAACAGTTTATCTTCGAGGGGGACAACGATTTGGAGAAAAATTAAATTTTTATTTTCATCCCTTAAACACAAAAAATTAACTATTTATTCACTTTAGAAAATTTTCAAAATAGCCAGCCATTTTGTAAAAAATTTTATTCATACAATTTGAATGTATCATAGCTGTTTTAATTTCTAGAAAATAGGCGTGAAAACAATAAATATTCAACTGGAGATAAAGAATTACCGCGATGGTTGTGATTCCTTATCGCATAACGTGTTATTTTATTGAATATTAATTATTTTCACACCTATTTTCTCGAAATTAAAACGGCTGTAAGTAAGAAATTATTCATTAGATAAGAATGCGTGATAAATTAAAATTATTTGAATACATTTTTTATACAAAATGACTATTTTGAAAATTTTCAAAAAAGAATAAATAAAGTTTTTTTTTTTGTATTTAGGGGATGAAAATAAAAATTTAATTTTTCTCCAAATCGATGTTCCCTTCAAAGATAAACCAACTAAAATAAAGAAATCGAAAAAGAATTAATATATAACAGTGCTACAAAAATCCGTCAACACGGTGGGACACATTGAATGGTATGTACTTTTGGTTTTTCGTTCATTTAAATATTTACATTTATCGAAGTTAAGTATAAATTTTTTGTTCTTTTATTGTTTATAATAATTGTGTAAAAATATTACATTTTCATGTTTTCTTAGTTTTTTTTCGTCAAATGTCTATAAAATAATTTCGCCTAATTAGAAAATCTTCGCAATTTATAACAACGTTTCTCATACATTTCTCTACCCAGTGGCGTACGCAGGAGGGGGAGGTTAGGGGTTATATCCTCCTCCATCGGCTTAAAATTACATCAAAATATGAGTAATCTAATATCGAGACATACATTTCAGCCGATTTCCGAGGAGAAGCATGATGTATTGATTGGAAATTTGCATTTTTTTACGATCCGGCTTTTAAATTATCGATTCCCATAGTCGAGTTTGGTAGAGAAGATGATTTTACTCTTTATTCACTATTTTTATTTGTTACATCATCTCCCATTGAAAATGTGACGATTTACCGCAATCTATAAAAGCACATATTTTTTATTAAAACAAAAACCAAATTATAATTAGAATATTTTAGAATAATAGAAAGAAGTAAGGCATAATTCTAGTTTATCAACCACATAATTTTTTGGGTTTTTTTTTTCCAAAAAGTGTATTTTTGCGTGTACATTAAGTATTTAAAAAAAAAAATGTCGGACGAACTTCGTTTAGAAGTGTTGGGGGAAAACTTCATGAAGTACGGGTTTTCTTTTTCGCGTATTTCTTAGTTAGAATTTAACATTTTTAAAATTTTTTTTGCCAAAATATTTGTTTTTAGACGTTTAATCTATTGATATAATCAAAACGTATTTATAATATTTATAAAAATTTTTAAAAAATTAAACTTTTTAACAAAAGTTTTAGAGTTATATATGTTCAAACGTGACGTGCTAATGAGAAGCGAGCGAGCGAGTGATCATATTGGGTCTCTAATTTCACCTATATGCTTTTCACTTTTCTTTGTTACCTATCCGACATGGCACAACAAATCGAGGGTTATTTTTGATTAAAATTGTCCGATTGAGTGCAACAAAATATGGTACGTTTGAATGTATGTAACTCTAATACTAAGCCAAATATACTTATTCTTCAATAAAAAAAATGTTTAATCTAAATAATAAAAATGTTTATTTTGACCACATTCTGGATTAATTTCAAAAATGCTTTTTTTTAAGGTTTTTATAAAAAAAACTTTAAAAGTAAGTATGATGGGTACGTTTTGATTACACCAATAGATTTGCGTCTATAAACACACATTTTGGAAAAAAAAAAAAAATTCAAAACTGTTAAATTCTAACTATGAAATACGCGAAAAAGAAAACCCGTTTTTCATGAAGTTTTCCCCCATAATTTCCAAACGAAGTTCGCCCGATATTTTTTTACATTCTTAATGTACACTCAAAAATACACATTTTGGAAAAAAAAAACCGAAATATCGTGTGTTTGCTAAACTAGAATCGTTCCAGAAGTAAGAACAGTTTGTATAGTTGAAACTGTCGAATCGGTTAAATGAAATATTATCATTTATCACTTATCAAAACTGTTATAAACACTGAAACAAAATCAAACCAGCACCATAATCATGGTTAACGAAAACTACTCTAGCGCTCTCTGATTTCAGCGTACCACACTATTATTCTTGGGCTCCCATTACATCAATGATTATCTAATGATTTCTTATTAACAGTTTTTAACGTTGCGTGAGATATCTATGTATATTTAATGAATGGTATTAGTTAAAATATATTATGGCCTTCTTTTTTCCTGTGAACAACTTTTCTCCCAGCAATTTTGCTTTAATTTATAATGATAGCAATATTTCTAAAAGAAAATCTGACTGGGGGGGGGGTATTTTAGAGAGGTAATTTTTCGATTTTCCAGGCAAATTTGAAAAACCTGGATAAAACATGGGAAAACCGAAAAAGTTTAGGTGTAAAATCGATACAACATTAAACAAATATTATTGACAAAAATATAGAAAGCCTATTTAGTTATTTTACTATATAATGATATATATATATTGTTAACAAAGCATCATTATCAACTGAACTCCGCTCAGAATCGTTTTTTCGTAATAAATGGTTTATCGTTGCCTATAGGTATACATTAAATTACCTAAAACAGTGGCTGCACCCGTCTCTATTATTCTAGGATGTCTTTTTAAAGAATCATTGTTTTGTTTATAGAAATTTAAGAAATATTTAATATCACTAAATCAAATTATTCCCTCGATATACTGACCGTTTGTCTTTAAAATTGATGAAAGAAGCATATTGAAACAAAATTGTGTCTATGAATTTAATGCGCAATATAATTAATATTTCATGTTAGGTACTTCCGATGACCTGTGTCTGTGAGCATGGTACATTAAAAATGTACTGACAATAATAATTATTCACAATAGCTCTTAATTATTGTTCATAAACTTAATATGTAGGTTCGTTTATTAGTTTTGATCTGTGTATAAATGCAAATATGAAGTATCTAACATTCTACTGCGTAATTATTGGTCCGTGCCATTTTAACTAGACAGTCTTAGTTTTACAAGACTAATAAATATTATTTTTATTTTCTAGTTTCTACATTATTGTAATGATAATCGCTTAAATTTAAACTTTATATCACGTACTTGCAATAGCGCATTGTCGTAGGTTAGTATAGGCAACTAAATAATCTCTATTTTATATGGACATAAGTATACATCTATGTATAAATTTCGACGTGTCTTTGTTCGGTAAATAAATAGGCTTTGGCTAATCTGGAACCTCTGCAAATATTAACACAATGAAATTGATGAAACGTGAAACTATATAATATGTATATGTCTCGTCTAGAATTTCATTTTAAAGAGTTGAAAATATATTCTCTAGTTCACCGACCTGTAGACAATGAAGGGTCAGCTATCAAGATTACTACTGTTACTCGCGTTCCTGTCTTCAACGTCTTCTACGTGCTACGAGCCGACCGACTCCGATCCGTACTTGTATTTTTCGCACAAGACTGCGTATCAGCTTATATACAACTCCAAGTTCAAACCGGTGCCTTGTAAGTTTCTATAATTATAACATACAGATTATTTATATTAGCAAAACTCAGAAAGTCAATATGGTTACACAGTTAATTATTGAGTTTGGTTTTTACCGTACAGTACTCAAACGTCTTATCTTTATCTCATTCATTATAATATGATATCATGATAACAGTCCGTTAAAAAATAACTCCAACACGATAATCTAGAGATTATTGTTCTTTTTTTTCATTTTCACGATTTCTTTTGATTCGTGTAAGGTTCATATTACCCCATTGGATCTATTTTAAAACCAGTAATATATATATGTAGATAGTAATATAGATATAAGTATTTTCCAATTATATCTTGATTTCCAATGACAATTATTTTCAAATGTACTAAACTCACAATCTGTAATCTAAAGTTAAAATAATCTCACAACTTTGGTATAAATCAACTAATATTTTATAGATTCTTGTATTTTATAGATTCAGTATTTATTAACTAAATACTAAAATGTAAATATTTTTTTTTTTTTTTTTGTATATTTAGAACCTATAAAATGTAATCACAATGTAACCAATGAAAAATATAAATAAATGTTAATAAAATTTGAATATTATTTAATTTAGACTGCCGCCCGACGTTCGTATGGATGTTTATTAGACACGGTACGAGTTATCCGAATTCCAATGAGTCTTTTGCCATCCGTCAACTGCACCAATTTAAAGAAAGGGTGATAAAAAATCACGAACAACGTGGAGGTCCATTTTTAGTTCTATACGTAATATTGCATAATTTAGAAATATTATTATGTTATTGGTATTTTGCAGATGGAATGTTATGTAGAAACGTACTTGATAGTCTAAGACGTTGGGAATTCGAAGTAAATCCTGCTTCAGAAGATGATATTTCACCTCAGGGTAAGATGGACATGCACTTAATGGCAAAGAGAATGAAAGACAAAATGAGTGAAGTTTTATTCAATGAAAACAACCAAAACACATATAAAGTAAATTATTTATACTATTACTGCATAAGTATTGGAAACAAACTGTTTACTATTGTTGCGTATTAGATTTATTCTAGTGAAGACAATAAAGTTATAAATAGTGCCGAAGAATTTGCTAAAACTATGTTCGGTGAAGACTATATAACTAATGTTCCAATCGAAATAGTTCCCAACAATTCAAGTTATATCGGGGTATATTATTTATTTACGTTAATTTTGAATGAAAGATTATATTTATTTGCACAATATTTTACTGAACCGGTCATTTACGATTTACAGTTAGAATCTTGTCCCAAGTGGACCGAAGAAATACAAAATTCTGAAGCTTCGATGTTTCTTAAATCGCCGGAGTATATGAACATGATTAGCCAGATAAGTAAAAGACTAGGGTTTTTAGACAATATAACCGATGGTGAGTATGGGCTGTTGCAGTTATTACGGTCATTATCTTTGAATGTCTGACCGGTTTCTATTGCAGAAATAATTCTCGCGATGTACGAATCATGCCGATACAATAAAGCGCTAGTGCTCGAATCTTATCCGGCTTGGTGTGGTTTGTTCACTAGACAAGAACTACAAGTAAGTTTTACCAGACTCGTATAGGTATCAAATTGCAGTTTTTTTTTATATACTACCTAGTTTAATTCTCACATATTTTAGCTTTTAGAGTATTACGAAGATTTGGACTATTACTACAAGTATGGATATGGATCTGAAATAAACGAAAAAGTTGGATGCCCAATTGCTCAAGAGTTATTGGGATATTTAAAGTAAGATTGTAAAAATAAATTAAAATTCATCATACGAATAATTAATTGATTCGACGTATTTTATTAAAACATTTTTTTTTTTTTTAGTGCTGTTGCAAAAGACGACCCCGAAATACCTTCGGCGGTATTCAGATTTGGTTCCTCAGCCGGACTTATGACTACATTATTGGCTTTGGGTATAGTAAAAGATTCAGTTCCTTTGACCCACACTAATTACCATGACCAGAATCGTCGTCAATGGAAAATGTCACAGGTGGATCCATTTTCCGGTAATTTAGCTGCAGTATTTTACAAGTGAGTGTGTGTTCATTTTATATTTACACAAAAATATTTTTTTTATAAGTTCTAAAACACAACTGAAACAAAATTTAAATAATTATTATTACATTTACACATTACACTAATGAGATACTAATATTATGTGACAACTGACGCCTCTCACTGGTTTCACGAATACTCAAATAGCCCATGCATGCAGCTGTTCAAAATGCGTCATAACCATTTTTGCACCATCGAGTAAAACCAAAACCGAATTATTATTGAAATCTAACTTTTTTCCTGGTAAATATGATTTTAAACAGATATTAGACAGTATGTTCCAGATATTATATCGCACACTAAACTTAATTTTGAGTTTTCCTAACCACAACAATATATTATGTTTACACGTACAATTATGACGTCTTGCAGTATTATAATCGATATTCGATGCGTATGGACTACCTTGTAGTCTACCCATGTTACCTGCAATTAACTAAACGAACTATATGAAATTAATTAATATCGTGTGATATACCATACACAATAGCCTGCAGTATTACTCATACTATATACTTATAATGATACTATAAACTCATTGTGTACGCGTGTACGGCGTGTAAAATATTTGATCGTGATAATTCAATAGATTGTGTACAGAGTGAGTCTTTTATCAGCGATTACGACGTATCCAAGACGGTTTTAAGTAAATTTTATTTTGCTTTTCAATTATTAATTATTTATGATCGAATCGATTGATTATCTTATTGGCGTATACAACAATATTTTCAAAATCGTACCCTTATCCCGGATGATAAGAGATATATGATATGCCATACAATTACATCGTCTAAACCAGCATTTCTCAACCTTTTTAATGTCACGATCACCAAAATAGGTAAAAATAAATTCGGTTACCTCATGATCCCCACCCCCTATATAATAAAAACTAATAAATTATAAATTACAGTTTTATCAAATTTATAATATAATATTGTTCTTGTATTAAAATTCTTCATTTTTCTAATTATGGAATAAGATTAGTAATTCTATAATATATATATATATATATGTATATATTCCTATATGTAACACCTCATAAGTGAATTTGTCTAATTCATAAAACGCCAAATGGGCAATTTTTTGTCCGTTCCAAAAATGGTCAAGTGAATTGCCGATTTCGTAAATAAGGCTTCAAAAATGCTGTTCGTTTCATAAACTGACTACTGGCATTCTTAGAAATAAAACTCAATACTAAACATGCCCGTCGAACATGTACAAGTAAAGACAACGAAAATTAATGTTTTTAGATACAAATTAATGGTTTTTCAAATTTATTTATTTTTGTGTTCAACGCATATAGTATTATTAATATTAAATCTTTTCTTTTTTTTTTCATTCAATTCGCTTTCAAAAGTATAAAAGTAATTAATAATAGTACAAAATGTATGTAACAATCCATAGTTTGCTCGATTCACAAAGTGGGCAAATTATTCGCCGTGGTTTTTTTTTTTTTTGGCTATTTCAACAATCCGCAATCGAATGTTTCTCGAAACCGTCTTCGACACGTGCCTGTCTACTGTATACGACGCACAATCGCCCTGTATAATCGTGATTTACGCGAATTATAAAAAAACAATTTCTATTCCGTCCGCGTGGCTACTATTTATTAAACAATAATATTATACATGTACACGTTACAGGTGTGACCAGGGCGGCGAAGAGAACAAAGTAATGTTCTATTTGAACGAAGGCGTGTACGATTACCCGGGGTGTAACGTCGGTTTGTGCTCTTGGAGATTCATCGAGAACAATTTCAAAGAGTATCTCGAGCCGAACGGCTGCCACGAAGTGTGTCACGACGAAAGTCGAGCGTCCGGCGTACGGCTCTCCGCCGTTATTTTGGTGACCGCGTTGCTTTCGGCCGCGCTCGCTCTTCCGCGCGTTTAAAAAAAATATCCAAGACGTGTGTGATTTTTTTTTTTTTTTTTCTAAATTTATTTGGCTGTGTCATAATATCGGTAATGTTTTCTGGCGATTAACGTACCGTGAAAAAAAAAAAAAAATTAGGTTTATCCGAAATAACAAATAAAACGACATGATATTATTATCTATTATTTAATCGCCCCGTGTAATACGAGTGCGTATTATTTAACGGTGTGTCCCCCGTGTACACCGTGCCGTTATACAATACCGTCCGAACTCTCGTGTACGCATATTTGTTTTTTTGAAAATACAAAAGAAAAACACTCCTATCCGGTATAAAAAAAAAAAAAAAAAAAAACACGCCGGTTATTATAATGTAAATGACTGCTGTCTACTAAATTGTTTTTATTTTCTTGTATGTGTTTTTCGTCGCGGGTTTCGAAGACACAGTCCTATATGTACTCGCGTATACTTTGTTTTTGAATTCATCACTTTTTATTTTTTTGTTTTCAATATATAAACCAGGTATATGTAATGATATTCGTTTACTTGAACTATTCGAAACGTTTTAAGACTTATTTAAAATATTATTACACACGGATTTTTAGTTTATATACTTATACAGTTTTTCGTATTACTATTTTATACGTTTATGTAATAATAATATTATTTTGTTATGTTTGTAAAAGTGATTTTACATAGGTACCTGTAAAGACTATTGAACGCGTCGTATGAGTCCACTTAGTTTTGTTTATTTTTATATTTATTATTTAATAAAAACACGCAGGACTTGTTTTTTAATAACGATTATATTATATTATCTATTGCGTCGTGCGTTTGTAATATTTTATTTACAATTTCACAAACCGTAAACACTAGACACCTCTATATGCTGGAATTTAAAGATGGTCGATTTCAGTTATATGTATAAAAATAACAGCGATAAAATTACTTGGTACATTCTACCTATACCTCTGGGCGTTTATTATAAAACGCTAAATTATGTATTTCCATGAAAAAGCCGCAGATACTTCGCACCCGTGCTCACGAGTAATGGGTAGGCCACTGTTGTTGGTGGCAAATGATGGGATGCACATTGGATTCATGGGATTCCTGAAATCAGGAATGTAGGATATTATACATAGAGTACGTATATGATTTATCTGATTTAGGATATAACACTGTAAACACTAGAAGTGGACTGCAATTGCAAGGAGGTAACGCTGGCCAGAGGATAATATTGAAGGCGTGATATCGTTTCATACGTAAAACGATTCTGAGTAGTGTTCGGTTACACGTATTTTGATAAATTTAAATATAAAAATGTATTGATTTGTTACTACAAAATAAATTATAATTGTCTGTGAGTTTTTCCAATTTAAATTTTTGAGCATTTTAATGAAGCTTAAAAAGTCGGTTTTCATAAATTAAAACACATACGTGTACTACGTAAAATGAAGTGAACGATTTTTATCAAAATTTAAACTTAAAACGTTTTTTTAAAAAAAACAACTTTATTACGATCAATTTTATTTTTAACCGTAAGTACGTTGTATGATGAATTTTATATAAAATTTACGAGCACCAGTATTGGCTATTACTCACTATGACTCATAAAACTCCAGAATGTTATGATAATTGTACCACGTTTAGAAAGTGCTAATACAAGTATTAGGTTTTGGTGAAAGTTTCAGATCTCTATGATAACTAAAATGAAAAAAAAAATAAAATAAAAACCGTTATCGCGTACATATTCCTGTATTTTTTTGTTTTAGATTCTGAATGTAGCGAAAAATGTATTGGTTACATGCTAAGCAAGTGTGGACAACAGCCTTATCATTCGGATAATACCGGAACGGTCACGACACTACTGTGTGTAAATAAACCGAGGCTATTATGGGTACTCGTACATACCTACACCAAACGCATCACGATACGACAACAATAAAATACGAACAAATTTGATTACCATAAAAAAGGTTATAGTGAGTCAACCTTAAAAGATAGACATGTGCTGTCGCGGACTTTTTTTTTAGAACTTTTAAAGGAGAACAATTCCGTAATACACGATTTTTCCATTACTTTAACCGTTTACGCAGAGCACGCAACGGAAGCTCACAAAAAAAATAACTTTTCTCGTTTTTGCAACAGTTTTCATTGGTGTTCCGTTCCTATTGGTCGTAGCGTGATGTTATATAGCTTTCCTCGATAAATGGACTATACAAAACAAAAATAATTTTTCAATTCGAACCAGTAGTTCCTGAGATTAGCGTTTTCAACCAAACAAATTTTTCAGCTGTACAATATTATATAGTAAGTACTTATAGATAAGCTATTAAGTCAATTTCAAAATATTGTATTATACATATTCACTATACAGTGACATCTCGATATTGCCGTACGGGGACTTTAACCTTCTCTAAAGAGCGGAGACCAGTGCCAGGGGGGAACGTGTCCCTTCCTCCCACCATTTTTTTGTTTATTGGGTATTTCGGTCTACTTTATCGTACGTACAGCACGCCAACCAAGAGAAGAATAAGCATATAGGTAACTATAAGTTCGTTAGATACTAGTTAAAGTTAGACACCTATTTAACGTATTTCACCTTTTGTGGGTAGTTAAATTATATTACGGCCTTCTTTTTTCCCGTGAACAATTTTTTTTAACAGCAACTTTACTCCGATTTACAATGATAGCACTTTTTCTAAAATTAAATCTGAGTAGGAAGGTCATTTTTCGATTTTCCCGAGAGTTTTCACAGCAAATTTCAAAAATCGGGAAAGAATATGGGAAAACTGGGAAAAACTTAGAAAAAACGGGAAAATCGGTACAATATTAAACAAATATTATTAAAGAAAATAATAATGTCTATTTGATTATTTTATCATAATATGACATACATATTGTTGACAAAGCATCACTATCTAATATTACCTGAACTCTGCTCAGAATCGTTTTTAGTAAGCAATGGTTTATCGCTGCTAACAAATACAAATTAATTTCCCTTCTATATCCTACTTTCTCAACTTCTCACTACCAACGGTGGCTGCAGCACCCATCGTGCGATGTAAGTCTGTCTTTTTTTTCTCGACTTTTCCTCATTTAAGAACACTTATAACTATCTGTAACTAGGGGAGGGGAAAACGGGGATTTATCCCCTGGCGTAACATTTTCCGGGTTATATTCTCGTATTTTCGTTACACATATTTGTATTAGCGTGTGTATTTGTATATAAGATGTATACTATATAACCTTAATGAAGATTAGGTGTCAAATAATTTTATTATGGAGTTGGAACATAAGAATATAGAATACCATTTTATGCTTTACCACTCTACGACAAGTTGTAGTAATCATAATGTAAAATGTACTTTATTGTCCTTACCATTTATGTTACGGACCATTCTACTCCGTTAGCAACACGCCAATACGGTATTTGTGAACTTTGTTAAATCGATAAGCATACCCGATGGAAATAGGGGAATGCAATAGCAGTGAAGTTATAATAGTTTGATTTCAAAAAGTATTTGAACAAATTTAATAATGTTTCGTAAACGGTTACTGAGGTATTCACGGAGTAGCTATGCATTTTTTCAAAAGCAACGATAAACCATTGCTAACGAAAAAACGATTTTGAGCGGAGTTCAGTTGATAGTGATGCTTTGTCAACAATATATATATGACGAATTATGGTAAAATTATTACAACAATATTGGTTTCCACAACAACAATGATTGTTTAAAAAAATTAAAATCATAAAAACTTAATAATAACGAAAAATAAATAAAAACAGTTGTCAATGACAACCGCTTTTTAATCTTTCAATCTATTTAACCTAAAGAATCAGATTTTCCTCATTATCTTGAATATTAATGAGAGTTTTAAAACACGATCTCTTCAAAGTACCACCCAAAGAACATTTTCTTTCGGAAAAAGTGCTATACTTAAAAATCGAAGTAAGCTTTCTAGTAAAAAAAAATGTTCATATAAAAAAATAATAATAATAATAATAAATATCATTATAAAACCAATTAGTAGATCCCGAGTGAAGTGATGAATCTAAAAATACTCATGAATCATTTAAACGGCGGATAACGTGACACGTAATATTTCTGTATGTAGCGTGAACGTTTGAAATCCTTTTGATAACGAGAAATAGTATAACGTGTGCATTTGACAATTTTAAATTTTAAAAACTCAATGAACAGAGCTACCCAGGAACCTGTTGAGCACTCAATTAATACATATCATAAACTTCCTGTTGGAAAGCATTTGAACATTCCCAGCCACTGTCCCAGTCGAACTGGGCCCCGATCAGTTAAAGTATCGACCAGTAAATTATGGTTATTGGGACACTTGATTTATGACCCATTAGTTATTATTATTAATTTTTTATTAGGTATTTTTTTAAATCGTATTTAAAAATTAGAGCGAAATTCCTAGAAGAAAAGTTGTTTGCAGGAAAAAAGAAAGCTGTAATATTTTTTAACCAATATTTACATTTCTTATATTTTCTCGTTTTTCCTCCGTTTTTTTTTTCAGTTTTTTACATTTGATAAGAAAACTCCTGAAAAATCGAAAAATGACCTCCATAAAATACCATATAATACCTTACTGCTTTCGAAATCTTTAAGTTTTTAGACATTTATAGACTTTTAGCTTTTTGTTTAAGTTTTTTGGGGGGTGAGAATGTAAACTTCGTCCACCCCACATACGTGAACATTAATTACATCTGCCACTGTGACTCAGTAGTCTAAATGTGCAAGTTTTGGGGGTTGTTAAATCTCCTCGTGTAGCCCCTTTATCTTCGGTTATGGTTACATAATTCTTTGAAGTCCATCTCTCCAATGTAATATTCTAAGTTAAAATTATTTTAACGACATCACGGCGAACACGTAGATATTGCATTTTAAAGTTCCTCGACCATCTAAATATTATTATCGAATTGGTACGATGATCGTATTATAAAAGTATGTGTACAGACTATAATATACTATAATGATACCTTACAAATAAATAATGTGGTGTTTACCGTTCCCGAGAGACGCGGGCTAATGGTCGGAAGAAGTCTACAGTGCCGATATACAACAATGAGCGCCACGCAATATTATTCTAGATTCTGAGTGGAGCAAAGAAGATTATGGTTTTATAAAGATGTTTATATTTTTTTCTGTTGTCTGTGGACAACTTTTCTACCAGAGATCTCACTCCGATATTTAAATAGCACCTTTTCTAAAAGAAATTCGGTTTGGAGAGGTACTTTGAAGAGGTCACTTTTTGATTTTCCCAAAACTTTCCTCAGCAAATGCAAAACACCCGAGAAAACTGGGAAAAACGCAAGAAAATCGGGAAAATCGGTAAAATAAAAAAATATTATTAAAGAAAATAAATGATGTCTATTTAATTATTTTACCATAATATGACATATACCACATATTGCATTGTCGACAAAGCAACATTATCAACTGAATTCCACTCAGAATCGTTTTTTCATTAGTGATTGTTTAACGTTGCCTACAGATATACATTGAATTCCCTTTTGTATCATACCTTCCCAACTTCTCACTTACAACAGTGGCTGCACCCGTGTGCGAAGTATATCCGTTTTTTTTTTTATTATTATTATATCAAATAAATAAATATAAATAGATATATAATGTATTAACAGCCCTATACATATATATATTTATTTATAATAATAGTTAAAGTTTTACTTTACCAGTTTTTAAATTCGATATTATTGTTTTTTTTTTTTTTAGAAAAAAAGGTTAAATTTCGTTATTCATAAATATGTACAGCGTAACCTGTCGGTACCAGAAAATTGTCTTTTAGACAGGTTTCCGTTGTATACATGTAATATGACATTTAAATTGGGAAAAATCATTATTTTTATTATGACGGTATATAGCTAAGAATATTATATACGAGTTTGTACTTTGATATCCGCTATCGAATATTTCCGCCATTGATTCGAACGGTACTCGTACAATAATATAAAACAATACATTTTCATTTTTCACATACAATTTCGGATCATTTTCTTTTCAGCAAATAAATATGTTCGCTAATGACATAAAAACTGTATTCTGGAAAGGTAGTAAAGCCCTTTAGATTTACGGCTCTAATGCAACCGCATTCCCAGTATTTTTCTATTTACGCCACGAACGCAACAATAATGTTGTTTGTAAATTATAATAGATACCAACACCTAAATATTTTAAACTTTTAATATTTATGTCTAGAAAGTTTGTTTTTGTTAGTCAACACTTCGTTAGTGTTATTTCTAAAAAACACTATCGTTTATTAATTCACAACACCAGAATTGGAAAAAATACATTACGCATATATCTTCAATATTAATAAATTGTTGCACAAAACTTTATCGAGTCGGTGAATCCGTTATCCGTCCAATAAATTGAGTTATTGAATAATGAAAATTCAAAAGTGTTGCACAAAGCTTCAATGTCTCATTGAGCCGATAAAATATCGGTCAAAAGTGACTATTGGTTCAATAGTTTACATGTTCGAATTCGGCTCAATAAGTTATATTGATTCGAGAATATGAAATTTATCAAAGTAAAAAGTTGATAAAAATATGGAATTTTTAATTTTTATTTTAAGTACATATTGTTTTATTATAATTTTATTATAATGAACGTAATTAAGTTTTTTTCGTCTGAAGTTGTGTCCATGGTTGATGTGTTAGAAATTCTACCAAATAAAACGTAGGTATAACATATCGAATAAGATATTTAGTTGATTTGTTATCCATTTCTCTCATTGAGTCACAAATTATAATTTAAAAATAAATATATGCATAAATTAACAACTTACAAACAAATCAATTTCATTTTATCGATTATCTGTTCATTTTGATCAACCACGGCTTTTGATTATTAAACCATTATGTTATGTAGTTAAATTTATATTTTATAGAAATATTTTGTGAAACGCTTTTTAATATTTATCCATCATAAAAATACTTTATGAAACCAATAAAACTTATAGTGCCATTAAATTATCGGATCAAGAACATGTTTATAAGACGTTTTTTGTGCAACTGGGCGTGATGTTAGAGAGACGAAGGATATTTTGTCATCACGGCGTTGTGTAAATTGATTTGTCTATACAATGAAAATTTAAGGAGTAATGATGTAAATTAATTAATTTTAATCAATTTATTTTTTTTTTACGTAATTTTAATTTGGTGCGTACTTTGTAAGTAAAATTGTTTGACTAAACAGAAATGCTTGAAAATTCAACAAAATATCCATTATAGGTCGAATGTTGTGGTTAAGAAAAAAAATTGTAGTGTTTTTTTTTTTCATACAATTTTTAAAAACAAATTTTAATGGAAATCGTAAATATTATGACCTGTCAAAACATGTATACCTGAACTTTGTTCTGAATTGTTTTTCATTAACAATGGTGTATTGTAGCTTACAGGTTTAAATTAAATAATTTCAAGTATCATAACCTTCCTTGCATCTACGACAGTGGTCTCCAGTATCAGCTCCTATGTATTTATTGTATCCCGAAAAATATTTATAGATACAAAATAAGGAGCGGGGGGGGGGGAATTTTGACTTTTTGTAATGGAGCTCTGTTGCTTCCAATTGTTTTTTATTTCGTTTAATTAAATATTTATAAATTAAAGTATTGAAAAATGGAAAATAAGTGGGTTAAATAAATAAAGTTCACCCTGGTGTGTTCGTTATGTTTGGTTGTTTTGCTAATGACATTTTGAACTTGCATCTTTCCCATACCACTTTTATTTCTGTGAATTTTCTAAATCACTGTGTGCAGTGTGATTAATTAAAATTTTATTTGTTATAAATCAATTGGATTTGAAATACTTAATAAATTTAAAAACAGTTAAATAAGAATAGAAATTGTATGATAAGGAACGAGATAAATCATGCCAATTTAGATGGATATATTAAAGAGTGAAAAGAGTGATAAGATTGCGGAACTTTAATATTCAATGAATGAGATTAAAAATACACGATGTATATGTAATAAAAACCTTTTTTGATAAAATAGTATCACAATTAAAATTAAAATAAAAACAAAATATTGTTAACCAAAAGAAATAGCCATAACCCTTTAAACATTAATTTTTTATGTACACGTTATTTGTGTTCGTTTTTGTAAAATAACTAATAATTATAATGAATAATAATAATAGTATATATACATTACAATAATAACATAAGAAATAACGGAATAACTATAAATCATTTAACATAAACATAAATACTATACGGCATTAAATAATAATAATAAATAATAATGTCGACTAAAAATACATTAAACATTTTCACTTATTTAGAGTAATGTGTATTAATTATAAACATTAAACAATAGTCAATACTTAATACTAAACAAATTTTTACTACCTGTATAGGTATTACATTTAAGGAAATGGATAGGTACCTAGGTAGTAAGTTAATTTAATTTTTGAAAATAATATCCATGTGTATCAAAGTTCCAATAATAATAATAATGATAATAATAATAATAATAATAACCTATTCTATGTCTGTTTATAAAATCATCATATGTATTATGCATACATAATGAATCGTCGTAATTGCCCGTATTATTATAGTAATTATATTATATAAATTCATATACCTGTTTATATTATTAAAAAAAAAATAATAATAATAATAACTACTAACAATAATAATAATAATAATATTACCAAAACGGTACACTTATTTGCTAATAATATGTGTGTATGAATAATACATAATATTATTGCATACAAATTTTAATATCACGGCAGTGGGGGAACAATAGTGCATTCGTCAATGAGTGGCAGTTACATCGTTTTCCGCACGCGATTTTACTTCGATACGATTGTTAACTCCCACGTCAATTAGCTCTTCGTCATCGTCGTCGTCATGGTGTTCTTTTTCATGTTTTTCCGTCTTGATGGTCACCTGTTCGTGCTGATTCTCCACCTTGATCGGTTTTTCAGAGTCCCCTGCATCATCCACCTCATTATCCTTTGCCACATCACCGTTCACTGGTTCAATGCAGGCTACTATCTCCTCTTGCTTCACACCTTCTTTGTTCTCAGACACCGACGATGATTCCCTCTGCATCTGATGGTGGTGCTCGTACATGTGACACTGTAAATCTGTCTGCGTCAAGAAACTCTGGTAGCACTCTGTACACTTGAATGGAATTTTATCGCAGATGGACATCAGCTTGTTTTGATACTTGTAAAAGTTCATCTAAAATAAGCGAACATAATGGAATATTATTGATTTGGTTCAGGATGAAACCAATCTGAAAACATGTAGTTATAATATATTTAGGACCTCTTCAGGGTGATTATTGAAAAACACATCTTATCTTGGAATGTATTAACTTTGTTCGGTATTTGGTTTATAAAAAATTTAAGAAACAAGTGGCTCTAAATGTTACAATACTGTTGTTTTTTGTCTCGCCTATGTTCAGGGGTGACACCAACACTAAATATTAATTTTCATATAACAATCTAAATTAAAAATTCCTAAAAATAGATAAGGTTTTATTGTGAATATTTTAATTATAAGGTTGCTATTTAAAAATCAAAAGTGAGTAATGGTTTCAACCCCAAAAATAGGGGTGACAAAGGAAAAAAAAACCAATACCGCATTTTAAAGCGCCTGAAACCTAATCAACATCTCTACCATTTAATCACAATCTATTCCCTCTTATTTTTTCTGCTTTATTCGTTACTTCTAGATATTATTTAGTATTTATAATCTGATTCTTTGCACACTGAAGGTGAGAAACTCGTATTATTATTCCTAAACATTTCCCAATGCATCCCCCTTAATCGTACAAAGTCTCCTATTATCCCTGATAACCTCTAATGTGTTCTAAATACGTCCAAATGGTGACTTACATTGGCGAGCACGTCTTGTCCTTGATGTTCGAGTGTATGGCGGTCCAGTTCGGCCGTGAAAAAGAACTTTGCCTGACAGCTGGGTCTAGGACAGTCATACGGTGGCGTCTCTGTGGAATGGTCAACGCTCATGTGAGCCTGAAGTCCTGTTGGCGCTGTAAATATCGCTGAGCACAAGTAGCATGTGAACGCCTTACAGCCGGCAAACGTATGCTCGATCAAGTGTGTCTGCAGACTGTTGGCTGTGGGCAACACGCATGGGCAGAGGCCGCATTCAATACCATCCACGCAGCCATTTAATGTGGCCAGGTGTGTGCCGAGATGGATTGTAGCTTCTTGTTGTAATTCAAATCCGATCTGAAAATCAAAAACGGAATTAAACTCCAGAAAATTTCACCTTGTTTTTCCTTTCCTAAAAATTATTATAATTATCGCACAGTGGGTGAATGATTCACTGTGAATCTAACAAATTATTTAAACGTGTGGCACTTATACAAGTATTAGTAATAATATTACCAAATAGACAGTCTGAAAGAGTAAAAATAAAAATTGGTTGGCGGTTTAAACTATCAGAGCAGTATGTTAGACATTTTTTTTTATTTGGTGATTTTCTGTACTATTCATTACCTTGCATTTAAAACAATGGAAAGGTTTTCTGTGGACGTTGGTCAGATGGTGCTGTAGCGAAATGAAAGTTTCGAACGTCATACCACAATCTGGACACCTTTCAGTGGCATTTCTGACAGGATTACAACCGGTGCATGGAGACGATGGACTTGATTTGTACCTGTTACAATTGCTACACATGGCTGGTGGTTCTTTGAGCCGTGAGAGGTGATAGTGCACGTGCACTTTGACCTCAATGTCTGAGACTAACGTTTGTCTGCATATGATGCACGAAGTGGGAAAAGTCACTTGACTGCCGTTCACATTGACCGGGTTGCAGTGCTTTTGGAGATGTTGATAGAATTGGTCCTCGTTGTCGATAATCATTTTACAGTGACTGCACACGGTACTTGTCGCCACCTATTAAAAAAGAAAATAAAACTTAACAACGACCCTAGTGATTTAGCCAATACGATAAGTCGTCTTCAGTGTATTTACCTTGCAGTGAGTGAGTTTGTGTTCGGCCAAGCTAATAGCGGACTGATAGATTTCATCGCAAATATTACATTTGTGTTTTCCAACATTCGAACCGTGTTGTGAATGGGTTTTCATGTGGTTTTCCAGTTCTGTTCTCGATTTGCAATTTTCGTTACAATACGCACAGTGCAAGCTCACCTGAAAAACATTTTAGAAATAAACAATTACATTTTATATTTAAATTTAATAAGCTATAAAAAAAAAAAAATTACTTTTGTTGAAAGATTCGTGGGTTTGACCTGATGCTGCGTTCTTTTGTGTGTAATCAAATCTAGTTCGTTACGAAAATCATTTTTTTCGCATATATCGCACGCGTTAATTCCGTTTTCTGTCGGGTGTTTGCCGGAATCGGTCAACCTGGACATGTACGTTGGCGAAGCGCAAATGGAATTTGGAGATTCCCTGTGATTTCGGTTAAGATGGCTTAAAATCTGTAAATAATAAACATGTAAAGGCATTTATTAGGTATGCACCGAACTATTTTATGCGTTAAAAAAAGTTACAGTAGTAACTTAATGGACATTTACCGCAGAGCTGTGATGCGTTTGTATGTGTCTGTCCAACAAGAACTCAATATGGAATGCTTCCGAACAAAACTGGCATTGGAATTGTTTGGAATGACTAGCTAGATGTTGTTCCATATCAGATTGCGAGTTGAACGTGGCGTGGCATACTAAACATCTTAACATCTAAAGGAAATAATAATAAAAGATTTCGATCATCGGAACACATAGTGCAGGAGTCAAACAGACTAACGGTTAACTTTAATGACTTACAAGACTCGTTTGGACCGGTGGCGGAGATCTCGCGGAGTAATGCGCGTTTCTCAGATGGTCGATAAATTCGATTTCCGTGTGAAACAGAGGTCTCGATCCCCCGGTACAGTTGTTGCATCGGAACATCCGGTTCTCGCTACCGTGGTTCATGCTGAAGTGTACCTTCAGGGCCGCTTTGGTCGGGAACACTTCTTTGCACAACATGCATCGATAGAAGTTTTGCGCGTGAGTTTCCATCAGGTGTTTTTGGACGTGCTCGGACGTGCTGAACGAGGTGGAACACTCTTGGCACGAGTACTCGGCGGCGGCCATCAGGAAGTGACCGATGACGTGTTGCTGGTAGTCTTCGAAGTGCGTGAACGTCAGATGACAGTGCGGACACGGTAATTGGATCTTGTTGCCCATGAGACCCGCGACCCCGGTCGGCCTGACCGAGGGTTGCTGGGGCTGTTGCTTGCCGCCGTCATACCCGCAGCGTTCCTGTTTTATGGGACGCTGGTCGACCACGTGTTGGGCGGCGAGCAACTCGCTCCCGTGCGACGAACGGGACCTTTTGCTGCTCCCGTGATTCCGCGGATCGTCCGCCGACTTGTGCTTGCCCGAGGACGAATGATTGTGCTTACCGCCGCCGCCGCCGCCGGCGTTGTGTTTGTTGGACGACGAGACGGACAAGTCGGTGGGACCGGTTTGGACGGTTTCCTCGGGCAAGAAACTTGCACCGGCGCTGACACCGGCTGGCGGCGGGTGATGATTGTTGTTGTTGTTGTTGTGGTATCCGTTCGTCATTGTCGGCCAATTGAACAGCGGTACCATGCCGACGTTTTTACACCCGTTGTTGTTGTTGTTGTTGTTGGTGTTTTGAATGTTGTTGTTGAGGACGGAGTTTAGATAGTGGGCGGTCGTAAAGTGTTTTTGCAAAGAACTGACCGACGGGAATTGGCTCATGCACAGCCGACACGAGTAGGGCGGCAAAGCCAGAGCCGGCGAATCGGCGAAGTTCAGCCACGGGAACGCGGCCGCCGCCGACGGTATGGCCGAGAAGACGTCTTCTTGGGATTTGCCGTTGACGATGGCGGCTGTAAACGGCGAAATTCGGTTAAAACCGTTATTCGTATAACTAAAACAATCGTAAGACTCACAGTGTTTGGTCTGGAAGTGTTGTTGCAGGGCGTCCATGCTCGGCATTTCTTTGGTGCAATACATGCATATGTATTGGTTGGGCGTTTTCGGCGGTGTCGAACGTTTTGAGCTTCGGGAATTCGACGACAGCTGTTCTCCGAGATGGTGCGTCGCGGTGTGATTCTGCGGTATTAAAAGAATCCGGTTAACGGCCGTAAAAACGTGTAAACAAGTTTCGTTGTGTGATTTTATCTAATGCGCATTTGTTTATTTTTTTTTTTTTCGCAGACTTAGTTTTTACCATCGGGCACCGATTTTATACAGGAACAACACGAATGTGGAAACCGAGGGTCCGACAATAATTATTATTATAATAGTTTATAGTATATCGATCTACAAGATACGGCGGCGTGCGGCGTTTGTTTTTAACGAGTAAAAACCAACAGCCACACGATTTCGTAAAAAAAAAAAAAAACGTATTTACATATTTGTGTCCCGTACCGACAGTACCATCTAGCGGCCAATGCCGTGGACTAAAACATAACAAACTAAAAAACGCTAAACGTAAAAAACTTTCTAGCGGTTCAACTTTCATTCGAGGTGTTGGTTTCTATTGCGAAAATGGTGTTAGATGTGTATAATACAAAAATAAAAACCGCGTAAAATGTGACAGTAATAAGTGCGGGTAATAATGATGTAGCATCCGATATAAATTATTGTAGCCGTCCCGTTTTCAATGGTAAACTTACCAATAAAAATAATCATTGTATTTTCAAGTCGATCGTTTCGAATTTATAATAAATCACTATAGGGACCTTTGCACAGTTGTACCGAACCCACCCCGTCTAAACGGGCGCGGCGCGGACGATTTTCGATTTCGTATATACGATTTAGGGGCGGGTTCAATACGAAAGCGATTAAAACATATCGGTAAAAACAATTGAACGCGGCGGGATACGTCGGGAAACATTGGACACCATTGGCGGGTTATAATAACAGGACGGTTTTCTGGGTTATTTCGGGGCCGTTTTTATTTTCGGCGTACCGGAAAAAAACATTCGAAAATCTGAAATCCGCATCTAACCTGTAACTCGTCGGGCTTGCGGAATATCTGCGTGCACTGCAGACACTTGTAGGACGGGCCCGTGATCTGCGGCGAGTTGGCCCGTTCCGCGGCCCGCTTGTGGTGGTTTTGCATGTGCGACGTGAGCGCGGCCGCGGTGCTGTACCCTCTGTTGCACACGGTGCACTGGAAAGGTTTTTGATTGTCGTGCGTTTTCATGTGAATCTTTAAGTGATCGCTGACGGAGAAAAAAAAACAAACGAAAAAACGTAAATTATCATCATCAATCATTGTATCGATATTTTTATTTTAGCGACGCGTAAATATTTAATACGCGGGTTTACAGCCGTTTACCGAATTACCGACAGTAACGTTTGAGGCGATCGCGCCTTTCGACGATCGGGGTTCGGGACTTCGACCGTTGAAAATCGTACGTTGTACGGTAACAGGATTCAGGGCCGTTTTCGCCGACGTAATCGCGGATTTTTAAGGGGATTGGAAACGACGAGTTTCTGTCTTACACACGTGAGATATAGGGATTTATGCGTGTTTTAATTCCAACGTTCCGATCGATCTAGTGAAGCGATCAGAATTCCGAAAGCAGATTTGAATTTTTCGTCAAGTCTTTCTACTTGAGATCGACTTTCCCACTTTTTTGATTTCTGATTTTAATTTATCAAGAAATTAAAATATTCGATTTTTTTTTTTTAATTACTCTTTTATTAATATGGTTTCTTTTAGACTTTAAGGAGCTAAATTTAAAAAATTGGAAAGTCGATAGTAGACAAGTAGACAGACTTGACGAAAAATTAAAATCCGCTTCCAGAATTCTGATCGTTTCATTAGATTTATCGGTACATGAAAACACGTCTACATCCCTACATCTCACGTGTGTAAAACAAGGTAAAAAAAACTCGTTGTTTCCAATCCCCTTAAACGGAATATGAAAATCGGATAAACAAAAGCGTTCGTGTCGGTGATAACGGCCCCCATAATATACATAGATACAGACCGGGTGCCTATCGCGTAAATACCTATACAGCCGCGTATAGACGAACGGGAACGGAGGCGAAAACCCGAGCGGAGAGAAAAACCGCCGCGGAGATAATATAATAATAATTTAAAAAAAAAAAAAAAAAAAGTAAATACTCGGAAGTTTCGAAGTCGCTGTATAGTAGCGTTCATACCGCAACGCAAAAACACGTCGCCGGCACTCTTGTCGTACAGATTAGCGTCGGAGTTAGAGAAAATCCGCCGAAACCCCGCGGGGATACCCCGGCAGTTTTTTCCTTAGTAATTATTATGTTTTTTTTTTTTTTTTTTTTTGTTTTTTTTTTTCTGTTTTCAAATTTCGTCTCTCGCTTCTAACTCGTATATGTGTGCCGCGAGGACACGCGTCTCCTTGGTTCAACGTACTTGCGGCCGCACGTCCATTCGGCGGCCGCACACAATAGTTTGTTAGCACATACCATAGGCGCGCGCGCGCGCGCTCGGAGACGCGCGAGCGCCGACGATAATATTCTTTAGCATTGTATTCGGGAGCACGTCTGCATGACATTTTTTGGGTGGGCGTGCTTGCGTATACGCGTGTGCATTTTGTCCGTCTGTTTGACAAGTTCACGACCGTATATTTGTGTACATATATATATATATACAAGTGCGTATAGTACGTATGCGCGTGTATATACGTCACTACACTTGTATAATATTGTATTATACATATAATATATATATACACACAGATAGCGTATATTGTATATATATATATATACGGATAGATGGATACGTGTGTCTCTCCCCGTGGATAATCGTCTCTCGGACGCGTGGCCATCGGTAATTACGTGAAATAAAAAAATGTAGAAAAATAATAAAGAAAATAACCTATTGAATTCGGCGCGTATATTATAAGTCAACTAGGTACCAAATATCTTTATACGATACGTACGTGACTATGAATTTCACAATGGAAAACCGTGCGTCGTCGCCGGTCGATACGGTGAAATCCCAATGATATAGTCATTATTATTACGTTCGGAATATACACCTAATACGTATAACTCTCTGTATACATATATATTTATACGTAGATACGTATATATGCGTATTATATACGCGCGCGCGCGCTCACACACACACACACACACACACGCAACACCGGGTACTTACCTCCTTGAAAAAGCATGGTCGCACTGAGTGCACTTGTACTTCTTGTCCCCCGTGTGTAATTTGACGTGCCGGTCTCGGCTGCGTTTGTGTTTGAACAGCCTCCGGCAGAATTGACACTTGAACGGCATTGATTCTCCGTGAGTCTGAAAATCGAAAAACACCGTCACTCTATGCACACAGTATATAATAATAATAATATGGTAGAAATATAATAATAATATTATTGTTGTCGGCGCGTGTACCGTTAACATTATCGCACGGCGATTAAACGACGGGGTAATAATAATATTACAGTCACCGGCGGCAGTCGGTATTCATAAATGAGCGGGTAAGGGAACTGGAGGTTTGGGCGGGTTTAGTGTTTTACAACCTCCCTGACCATAACTATAGTCGAAAAAAAAACAATTGGGGGGGGGGGAGAAGTTGGTTATCACACACAAAACACGCCGTCGGCGCACCCGGAGTTTGACTAGTCCGAGATTATACTATATACGTATAATCTGCGGTAGGTAAATTTCGTCCCTCGTACCTTGCTCGGGTTCGGGGGAGTACCTGACTTTTTAGTTTTTACACGACTCATTCGGTTCGTCTCGGATTAACTAAGGATTCATTAAGGTACGTTTATTATTCGCTTATCGAATTTCACTTAATCGTTACAAAAACGACGTATATAGACAAGGACAATATCATTTCGAGCTTTAAAAAGGGCTGACACTGGAGATGGACCAGACTTAATTTGAAATTTCGTAATTTTTTTGCGATTTTCGTTTAAATTTGATTTTAAAAATAAGTCGTCCGATAATTTTAGAAATTTTACCACGGCTAGGTAAGTCCAATATAAGTATTATTACCAAATTCCAAGTATCTACGTTTATTAATAATCGAATTACAGCGAAAACTCTCAAAAATTAAAATTCCTTAAAGGCTTAAAAGTGGCACAAAAGTTTTGGAGATGATACCGTAAGAAAATAAACCAAAATAGAAAAAAGGTATCTTGTGATTTTTCGATTAAACCATTTTTTCTGGTAGAAAACGTCGTCCGTGTTTTATACAATTATGGAATTGTGAAATTGTACGTTTTCCTAAGTTTTTTTCCCCCTTAAGTGCTTTTATTTAAAAAATGGCGTGGAAAATCAAAAAATTACCTTCTTATCATCTAGTAGCTTCTAGACAATTTGAACTTACAGAAAAGTTGCAACACGTAAAAATCGGAGTAAGTTTACTAGGAAAAAACGTGTCCACAGACTAGAGGAAAGAAGAAAAAAAAATATCTTAGTAAAACTAATAGCTCCCTCGCTACGCTCGGAATCTGAAATTATTATATATGGGCGATTGTAACCCGGCGGGAAAATAATATTTGAGCTGCCACGCAAGTTATACCGGTGTTTTTTTGTTCGGGAGGGGGAGGAGGAAGGAAAAAATTCGACGGTAGGTTGTTTTCCCCGTCACCGCCGAAGACGATGTGTGAGCCCACCCCTGACTAGGGAGTCACGCCACTGGATATGTTATCGTATATACAGGCGGTATGACTTTCCCGTGCGAGAGTGTCCGCAATATTCGACGACGATACCATAGCCGACCTAGCGGTTGTACACGGTCCAGTACGCGCGTCGTGCGTTGAATATGATTTTTGAAATTTAAATTTCACGACGAAATTTACGCGCAAAAGTTTTTATTATTTTCTTACCCTCTGTGACCTTGTCGTGTCGCAACCGTTTGGAGATTACGATCGTCGGCGATCTCTTATTCTCACACGCCGCGCACGACAGACAATGTGTTGTCATAATAATTTTTATGTGACGGGCGGGAACGGCGAAAACTCAAAGACCGCGATGGTATTTTATTATTTTTTTTTAAATTTCGAAACGTAGGTAAGTAAGTTATCGGGCTTTATCGTTGTTCGTCGCATTCGTCTCGTTTAGGAAACGATGCCGACCGAGTGATTACTCAATCTGTCGACTACATTCGCCGACTAAATTCATCGAAGTTTACCGAAAACCGTATTCGACACACACGCACACACACACACACACACATCGATACATATTATAATAACATACGTAGGCGCCTGTTTTTATTTTTCGTACAACACACAAATTTCCAGAACAAGCAGACACGAACCCGTGTGGAGAGGTGGCTACGATCCCCGCATCATCCATCTACCCCAAAATACAATGAACTTTTTAAACGATTAAGCAGTAAACATGAATAACACGATCATATTTATTTTAGTATAAAAAATTAAAGTAAACTTGTTGGAAATTATTACTCTTTTAAAATTTAAATTGGCGTTAGGAGGATTTTTTTTTTTTAATTTTGAGTTACATACATTTTTTTCGTATTGCACAAAACTCTCAATATTGTAATGATATACGATGGAAAATCAATTGAGACGCGATAAAATGAGAAACACGAGAAATAAAATCGTGCCGGCACCCGTGGTACAGACGATATGTTTAAACAGGACAACGGTATGTACAAACGCAACGCGGCTAAAAAAAAGTCTGCACATACAAGCATATTATAAATGAGTGTACAATTATATTTACGACGTAGGTGATAGCGGTCGTCGAGAAAGGAGAAAAAATAAAATATATAAATCATATTTTTAAAAAAAGCGTGAAACATTGACACATCTCTTGACATGTCCGTGCGTAAGGAGGCGGTTGTGAGTTGAACCCCTCTCTCATTATGTTTTTTTTTTTTTTTTACATCTAGGTCAATGACAGTTATTGATTGTATTGAGAGAGTTTACTTCTGCGAGACTCCTGAACATTAATGTGTTAATTAATGTGCAAAACTATAATTTGCGTTTTCGATCATATACTAATAACCGATGAATTTATTTTATAAATTGTTTTTCTTTTGTTTTCGTAATCTCCTCCCCGCGCACTTGCTTGTCTCACGAAATTAGCCTGCGACGACGAAATAAGACAAATTGAATACAATAATACGGAAAAATCGTTAAAAATCAAGTTTAGTATAAAAAAAAAAAAAATTATAATAATAAACGTAATTTATTATCATCGATTTATTCGTATAATAGTGAATTATAAAAACGATATTTGGCACAATTATGTAATATGAATTATTTCCGTTCATCTTTGGCGCCCATGTCGTTAATATATTATTATGTTGGATAATACAACGTATATAATTTTATCTTTGGCACATTGTATTGTATTGCGTCACACTATAGTTTTGGCACAAATTTAGCACTTATAAAAAAAAAAAATTGTATACTTATCTTTGGCGCTTAAACGATAAGCTCGGGTGCGCTCGTTGCTAAGGTTTTTTTTTTTTTTTTTTTTTGTATACGCGCGACACGAGAACACCCGGAATTTCGAAAAAAAAAACAATCCTCTTCCCAGTCCCGTATACGTCCAACGATTAAAACGCAATAAACGATAATATTTGTTTAGATACCGGGTGTTCTTTTACTTTTTTTTTCGGCTTTTTAAACGGGGCTGTTCGATCCGGGCGATTGCAAACTCCGTCAGAATTTCGGCTGGATGAAAATGTTATGAAAAGGTCTAATGTAAACTCCTCTAGTTTTATTTTCTTACCCTGTTACGGCCGTTACGGGTAACGCTCGAAATTACTAAAATTGTCAATCGATATTATAATTTAATGCGCGTCGAATCGATTAATTACGATTTTACGATTGTATCAATTGTATACTGTTAAGTGAGTAACTTTTGTATTTTTAAGTTTTATATATTTTTCGGCATATTACTATTATATTTTAATGTGGACGATTATAAATATTATTATTATGCAAATTATGATACGCGTGCATTTGTTATTTCCGTCTTACAAACGCACGTTATAGTTGACACATGCTTATGCGGACCGCACAAAACTTAATTTCGGTTTTAGAATGAAAACACCTATTAAAAAATCGAAAGAGAACAATATTCCGGAAGGCGAAACGTTGCGTCTTTTTTCATTTATCCGAATATAATAGCCAATTTACCGTTTATAAATAACGACTTTTTCTACAGTTTTTTAATTTCCTTAAAACTTTAGAAAAAAAAAGGCAACGTCTTCCGCTCTTCGCAATATTGTTCTCTATTAATTTCCATAATGGGCGCTTATAATTTAAAACCGAAACCAAGCGAGCTCTATGTGGTCTGCGCAAGCGTTTTTTTTTCCCCATAAATACTCTCGCGTGGTTGTAAGACGGGAACAACAAACGCATATTATCGTATAACCGTCCTCCTCTTAAATTAATTTTTTACCGTTACTCGATTTTCTTCTCCGGCGGAGTTTACACGAACTCGCTCGATTTTACCCGATTACTTTTCATGGCGGACATCATATTAAAGATAGAAAAAAAAAAGTACTCGTAGCGGAGTTTAGACGCGCCCGTTCGATCGCGTTATATACCTAATAAATATTATTGTTATTCAACCCGCACACGGTCGTAGGTCGTCGATTTGGGTCGCGCGATGGAAAAAAAAGCGCGAGGAGCCACCTGTCGCCGTCACAGCAGGTGCGACACGGTCTGCGGCGGCTACGGCGTCGTACTTTATTTTTTTATTATTATTATTATTATTTTTTTTTTGTTGTTGTTTTCGGTCGGCGCGGCGGCGGCGGTCACCGCCGCGGATTCTGGGCACGCGTCTCTCCGGTGAACCGCGTCCGGCGAGGGGGAAAACGACTTTTAAAACACGATGTACACGGACGTACCGGGTGTATTTTATGTTGTCGCACGCGATGGTTACTTTTTTTTTTTTTTTTTTTTTTTCATAACAGACTTGTCCGGAACGATAAATGTGATAATTTCGATCGAATCAATTTTTCGGTAGGTATACCTCGGCAAATAATTAATGCTATCAGAGGAAAATTGTTTAAACGGTAATAAACCATAGCTACCGTAAAACCGAGAATTAATTAATACAATAGGTTTTTTTTACTCTATACGGTAATAATAGTTCTGTTAACGGAAAAGCGGTAGTAATTCTGATAACTGATACGAGATGATTAATAAAGCTGTGATTATTATTTACCGGTTTCGCGGTGATGTACAATAGCGCCAAGTTTCAGTAACCCGCACTTGTATGACGTAATATTATAAACTAACACGCGGTTCCTGAGTAATATTTGTTTCTAATATATATTATAAAAAATGTCTGTCTGTCTGTATGTCCTTTATAGACTCAAAAACTACGGTCCGGTTTTAACGGTGTTTTTTTGCAAAACGTTCCGCGTGATTCGGAGAAGGTTTATATAGCTATTGAAATTTCTAAAATTCCACCCTTAAAGGATGGCCGACACAATAATTTCGGTATTTTATGGTATAACTTTTGTTGGTTGGGTTACCTTAGAACAAAGTAAATACAATTGTTATTTTTGTTGTTTATGTGATATCTATGGTATCTACTGAATATTGTTTGTTAATTTCATTGTAATTTTGAAATTTAATACCAACGCCATTTTTGTAATAATAAGAATAATACGAATGATAATAAAACGTAAAACGATTCAAAAATATCTTTTTCAACTAAAAAAGATTTACTATAGTAATATAGGGTATATATTTATATTTCAATATTTCTTCGATAAGAATTATCTATTATAATTTGTGTTAGAAGTACTAAAATATGTAATTTTCCTGGTTGTTACAATACACGGGCAACGCCGAGTCGATACATCTAAATACAACCTATAACCGTAATATAAAAACTGATAAATAAAAATTGTAGGCAACACAAAAAAACTGCGCACGGGCGAGGCCGGGTTATTCAGCTAGTTTATATTACAAATAAAATACATTTGTTAATTTTTACAAAATGTACCATGCAATATTAATAAATATTAAGAAAATATTAAATTGTAAATTTAAAAATACTATAATATAATATTTTAATGTTTTTATGTTGAACTTCAGAAAAATTAAAAGAAAACCAAATACATAATTAAAAACGTTTTCCATACTTGCTAATGATACGCAATTTAATATCAACTATGTTTTGTTTAAAAATGTAAACTGTTATATTAATTTTGTAAATTATTATAATTCGTTTTATTACAAAAATGTTAATAATATTATTAAACATTTTGTTATAATAATATAAATTGTATTATTTTTGTACATTTGCCGGCAGTATTACATTTGTAATTTTCTTTTAATTGACAAAAACCTAATAATAAACACAATTACCCGTAATAAAATTCTATTATTAGTATTTACAATCATAGTAGTGTTGTAAATCAACGACTTTAATAATAGATATACCCACTACCTGTTTTTGTGTTCCCACATAAAACGTCTGGGTCGATTTTGGAAAATAAACGCAATTAATATTGCTTCACGTATGGCCTGCGTGGACTAATATTATTCCTGCGATGCTATTTTGAGTGTTTATATTGTTACGATAATTTGGTATAGAACAACAACTATGCCAATATTATAGTTATTGACGACCGAAACGACATATTATTGAAAACAAGACGAGAGACTAAATTATTGTTATTATTATTGCATACCTTGTTTTCAATGATTATTAATTTATCATCGAAATGTGGTTCAAGTGTGAGGATTCTTTGTTTTCTGAAAATGTTTTTTTTTTCTTTTTGTGGGGGGGGGGATATTGAAACAAAATACAAATGTGCAAGACTGCAGTAGTTGGTCTTGTCGCAAGACCCGGACTTGAAATAATTATGCTCGTCACCAATGTTAAAAGTTAATATCGTCGGCAGTTGTTCGCTAATACGTTTGTTTTAATTTCAAGGAATTTAAAAAAAACTACCCCTTCTACCGTCACCACCAGCTAAAGATTAAAAAAATTCCATCAGAAACTCCGCCACTCGAAGCCGAGGGGCGCTGTAGTCTCCGTCCGCTACAGGCCCGCGACCGAGTGATTCGACGTTACAATCAGGAGGACGCACGTGTGCTATCTCTTAGTCCAACAAACGGGCAATGCAACAAAATCGACTTTAAAAAAGACTGCGTAGAACTCGCTTCGCGCTTGATTTCGGTTTTATGCTAAGAAAAAAAAAAATCGCCTATTATAAAATTAAATAAAAAGCCAATATTGCCGGCGGGCAAGACGATGCGTTTTGCCTATTATTTTAATCATTATTCCGGATATGTCAACTGAACATCGTTTAAAAATAAAAACTAATTGGTTTTTAAACGACTCAAAACGTTTAATGAAAGAAACGCATTGTCTGGGCTTCTTTTAATTTTACGAACGGGCGCTTTTACACAAAAAAGGAGATTATGCGAGTTCTGTGCGATCTGCCGAACGTCGATTTTGCTGTATTGACAGTTCTTTGGACCGAGAGACGGCAGCGTGCGTGCGGATAAAGCGTCCTCTTACAAAATATCATAGTATAATATTTTTCGTGTCGGACGGTAATACGAAAAAACAGAGAAACAAAACGAGAAAACTAACGCACCCTGTATACACGCCTCTGTATCTATACAATATTATCTATGCACGTTTCTATACGATGATATAATATTGTAATATAAGAGTATTAGAAAAAAAAAAAACCACCGCGGAGACCCGCGACCGTGTTTGTGGTCCGCAGTCGTCGCCGCCGCCGGTGTCCCGCCACCAGCACCACCTGTCGGCGGCAGATGGGTATCTACAATTAGAGTAGTCGAAGGTGTCTTTGACGGCGACGACGTGTTTTATTTTCTACTCTTTACGACAATGATGATAATAATAATAATAATAATAATAATAATAATATTATTATTATCATCTTATTATTATTACTACGATACACTACCGCGACGTGGTGGCGCGCGTAGAAAAAGCGGCCGAACACAGCGACCGCGCATCGAGATAGCCGTCCGGCGGGCTTTTTTTTTTGTCCCCCCCTCCCCCGAGACCGTGTGACCGAAACACGGTTTTACACGCGTCATAATGCGATAATATTATACCGTTTATATTATAACGCGACGCGTATACGTTGTTATTATATTATTACTACCGCCAGCCGCGACTGTTTACGGGTAATTTTTTATATTCCCCCCCCCCCCCCGTTGTCGTTGATACGTTTATCTCGAGAACCGACGTTTTGATCCGCGCCGCGATTTTCGGTCCGTGCACCGGCGAGCGACCGCGTCCCACCGGAACGTGACCGCGCTCGGGAGCCCGACGACAAAGCGCACCGCGGGCGCGCGAGGCTTCACGTCCGCACGCGATACCGTCGCCGCGGTACGCCGTCGGTTCGGCCGGGCCCGAGTATTTTCCGCGGGGGCCCGAATTCGGGGGACGGGTTTCGAAATTCCGTCCGCCACAACTCGCGTTACGGGTCACAGACAGAATAGAAAAAAAAAAAACAAAAACTGCCGTTTGGATTTTAACTGTTTTAAAGAACCGAAAACCTTCCGTTTCTTTCGGTACCGTTATTCGTCTCCTTGCTCGGCTCGACGGTCCTCCGAAGACCGTGTTTTGGTGTCGCGAAAACATATCCACCTCAAACGCGTTCTCTTCCTCCGTATCGCGGAACAATTACGTCCATCCAGTGGGACCTTACTGGATCTCCCTAATCCAACACGATCGTCTAAATGTTTATTTGATACCACTTTTATTAACTTGCCGTCAGCTCACAAAACACGTCCGAATCATTCTATAGACGTTTGCTTTGCATAAATTATAGAATATTGAACTTACGCAGGGAGCGAACGCCCGACGAAATAACAAACAATATCGTACGAAACAAGATTTGAATAATACCATTACGCGATACGTATTATATATAAGAATACGAATATGAGCATAAAGTTTATTCGATAAATAATCGAATTCACTTTTGGTGTAAACGATTGTGTACAAACGGTTTTCGCAAAACTTCAATCATATCCGAACCGAAAATTTTGTAAGATCGCTGCTTTTTGTACGATGTCATTTATTTCGCCTGTTGAAACATATAGCTTCTTTTCCCCTCTCTTAGAACAACTACACATATTTATATAAGAAAACCGATAGTGTGCTCACTGTTTTAGACGCGGGAACATGTAATGGTAAAACAGATACATCAAGTATAGATACCTATAATGTATATTATAGTTCAAGTTTCCACGATGAATCATTGCAAATGTATACAATACGATTCTACGGAGAAGAGAGCTCTAGGTAAAACGTTTTCCGTTAAATTTAACATTTTCGTACTTGGTTTTAACCGAGTAAAAAAAAATAATTTTTCAATCGTTCGTGTTTTGAACGAATTTTTTATTATAAATTTTAACGCCAAATACACCGGTCGTGCCATTCTCGGAAACTTGCGAGTCGGTGGCGGACCCAGCGATCGTACGTTACTGCGATTTTTTTTTTTTTTTTTTTCCGTACACGTTTATTTTCCAAAACTGCTGGTCGCACACGTCCGCGCGACATTGTAAACGATCCCCTCGACAAGATCGCAACACCCGATTAGAAAACCGAAAACTCCCATGATATATTTGTTATACACGTGCCGAGCGAACAAAAAATAATATACCTAGACAGCGAACGCAGTTGTATATTCTGTGATGAAGGGGTCGGCTGAACGCGGGGTCATATTTAAGGTGTCCTAGGGGGCTAAGCTCCGTCATTTATGATCGTAGAAAAATTTGTGGTTCTATAAGGTAAAAAAGTATTTCTATTAATTCGTTTAAAATTAAAACACGCATTTCTCGGGTCGCAGACAAAATAAAATTTGTTGTGAATTTTACGATGACCGTTATTAAAGTTTGGTTTCGTACAACTCGTCTTATAATATTTTATATTTATAAAGTTTTAAAAATTTGTTTGGGCTTTAGCCTGCACTCTAATTACACGTGCGCTGCCGGCTAAACAGCGATTTTAAAGTTTAATAGTATTTTCACCTCGTGATATCACACGCCCGGACAGAAGAAAACAGGGCGTTTTCAACTCCGGGAGGGGGGAAGGGATTATTTGCTATGACTATGATGATGGTTTACGAGTCGTCATTTTGAGATGAAAAGACAAACGGTTTAATGAGAAAATTTTCCAGGTGAACACACCTTATGATCCTAATATTTTCGGAGGTGCGGGGGGTCTATATCAAGGTATATATTGCGTGGCTTAACCCTTCACATTCTTCCGACATTTTTCGTCTATACTTTCACGAACACTGAAGTATTGCGCGTGAACTGGGTATCAAATAGCGTATAGTGTTAAAGGTTTTACCGTCATTGTGATAGACAGTCGGCGTAATATAAAAGGAACTTTGGGGAAGTCGTATGCTTTAAGCGAGGACAACGAAAAACCTTCGCCGGGGCCGTAGAAACGGGACTGTTTAATTCCAGGGTCTGAATCGTCGTATTTTTATATATTTTGAGCGAAACGAAGTGTTACATTGATGGGTTTTTTTTTTTTTTACTATGCAACATTATATTACGCGTACATAATGTTATGATAATATTATGTACTTAATCAGACCGTCGCCGATCAGAGAAAGGCACATCTCGCACATTACAATACGACCCATTGTTGTTGCGCGTCCGCGGCAGATTTTTACCGATTTCTGATATCTGCGGAAAATTTCCGCGCGATAAAAAATGTAGATCGCGACCACCACGACAACAGCCCGTACACAATGACGTTGGGTTTGATCGGTTCGCTTTCTAAGGAAAAACCGGAATGGAAAATTGGAGCGTGAACGCCACTTGTGTCGTTGGTGCGGTGAGAGGAGACGGCGGTTATCCGCGAGACTCGCGCGTCACTATATCGGATTTTAAAAACGCGTCGCAAAAACCTAAACGGGCGTGACAGTCGTTTCTAAACGCGAGCAATTTTCGTCTGCTTCTGTGTGCCTACCCGTAGGTCGTATAACGTCACGGCCGACCGAATTCATTTTCATCGGCGCGGATTTATTATTATAGGATCGACGACAAAATGAAAAAAATAAATAAATAGAAATTCAAGTAAAATAAGGCTTTTATAACAAATAGTTTTCGAACGTGGAAGCCGTCGAAGAAACGAGAGAGAGAAGAAGGTAAGGACCGAAAAGAAAGGACTGTGTCGGGTGAATCGAGCTTGGAAAACAAAGACGGAGGATAAGAAAAGGATTCTTTTTAAATGTTGCAGTTGTTTAACAAGTTTTCAAAAAGTTTGGATAGGCGCCACATTTTTCTTTAGAGTTCTGGGATCCCGGACTACAACAGACCTTTTAGAAATCTTACTCGCTCCCCCATTAATCAGCCTACGCACGTATGATCTATCCGCATTTTGACCTATATTAATTATTATAATAGGTACACGTATTATATTATAGAGATCCAAAACAATAGACATTCCGATTTTTGCCAGACTCTCGTAAGGTTAGCGTTTAACGATATTTTGGATCGTAAAAAAAAAGATCGTTTTAGATGTAGCGAGCTAATATTGGTATTGCTATAATGAACTTATTAACTGCTACCAGAAATATTCTTCTAATTTTCGACTATAGTGATTTTCTGAAATCAAATTCTGTCTAACTAGTAATTAGTAATTCGGGAGGTCCTGTTTTTGATTTTCCGCGCGGTTTTTCTTAATAATTGGGAAAAAAGGGTATAGGAAAACCAGACAAACATATCTCGGCTATAACGGTTTCGTTATTTTAGATTTTTTCGATTTGGTTTTTCTACCAGAAAAATGGCTCGGAATTTAAAATGTAGAATATTCTTTTCCGAATGCAAATATTGTTTAGTCTAACGTAAAGTGCAGTAGTTTTATTTATATGCTTTTTAAGTTCAAATGTTAACGAAAATCACGGCCTTTCAAATCATGTTGAAAATCCTACGTTCTCGATTTCAACCTACAACGCAGTGTTTCCTCTTTAAAAAAAAAAAACACATATCGGTTTAAAAATCATAACATCGCGATACTGCTTTAAAAAAAAAATCGCCCGATAATTACGCGGAGAGTATCGAATGGTTTTTTTTTTTTCATCGATTGTGTTCATTCAATAGGCGCTCGATATTACCGACACATAATAATGCGGGCCGAATATATTATATTATTGATTTTGTCACAATTTTTCGAAAATTTCCATTAGCTTTTACGATATCGTATTACCTAAAACCCGTTCGGACGTTCAACAGAAAACTATATTATCGTGCGTGCTACAACACCACGGTCGGTTTTGCGTTTGTCGTAAACGAATAACAAAAACAAAAAACAAAAAAAAAAACGTTCACAACTCGCGTGCGCCATACACACTACATTATATTGCGTTAGATAACACGAACACGATCTTTAACGCTCTTACGAGCGGCGCCGACAGAAGGGGTAGTCGTTGATTTTTTTTTTTATTACGATTCGCTTTCCGGCTTTTATTTATTAATATTATTATACGGCGAACGGCGATCGTCTCTCGCGATGGACATCAGTTCGTCTTGTATTCGCCGCCGCCGCGTTATGACGTACAGCGTGCACGCGGCGCACGCTCGTCTCTTGTCGCGCGCGCGATCTCTCGCATTATACTAATAAAACCGCGCGTATCTTGGCGGCGGCGAGCGGACCGCGTTAGGAGAAAAAAAACGAAACGAACACAGAAGAGAAGAGAAAAAAATTCATAAAACAATTCGTGTGAACCGCTCTTGTCCGGGGGGGTAAGTACACGCGATATGCATTACGCGAAGCGCGGGCGGCGCGGGAGGAACGTGATCTCGTCGGGTCCGGCAATATGTCACCGCCGCCGCGCGTCGACGGGCGACTACGTAATATTTCGTTTTTTTTTCCTCTCCATTCCTCCCTCTCACCGCCTCCCCCCACACACCACCACCGGTCGCATCGCCGAGGGCGCGTTCACGTGCGTGCGATAACGCCGAACGTTTACGACAGTATTATATTATACACGTATATATAAAATTATCCGTAAACAATACACGGACGGTCGGGGCCCCGGGCGGTAAACGCGGTGTATTAATAATATTATATACGCGCGCGCGCGAGAGAGAAAAACCCGTTTTCGAGTCCGAACGCGCGAGGACACCGGCCGCGCCGCGGCGACCGCCCGGGGGCGACGGCACCGTGACGACCATTTGGCGCGCGACGGACGGGAAGCTCCCGGGAGTCCACGTGCGAGCCAGAGAGAGCTCGAGGATCGGGCGCTTTTTACCATTTTGCGAAATTTTTCCGCGTGCAATAATAATAGGCGTATTTTGGCGATGCAAACTTTTCGGCAGCCGAAACGTGCATTCAGCTATCAAACAATTACCGTCGTAAACTATGTCGCCAAAACAGTTTGTTCACCGAACTAGTAACCAGGTGGCTCAAAACGGCATCGGCAAAACTCGCCTAATAATAACATTATGGTGACAATCGTTGTTTTCCCCCACCCCCTCCGTCCGAGAATTTACGTCCCGGAACGAACTATAATTGAACGGGCCTGCGGATCTTTTTGACATAAAGTGCGTAAATAACAATGCACGACGAGCGATTAAAAATTGAATAATACACTGCGTAATTAAAAGCGAAAGAAAAATTCGGATATAGAAAACGTCGGTCCTCGCATTGGCGTTCGCATTCGCACCTTCTTAATGATTAGTTGAGCCAAGGCGGTTGTTATATTATTAATGTCGCGATGATAACGACAAGAAACCTTACTGCCGAGTAGAGTTATATCTTTGTTTTTTTTTTTTTTTAATGCGATTTTCGAAATAATTAACAAATGAACAACGAGTCCAATAATAAAAAAACATTACGCGTTTAGCCAGTCAAATTAAAAATCGTTACTATTATATCTTCTCGGGTTTTTTTTTCTTCGATTTCGACATATCTAATTACAATGTTAATGAACGCTTAAGTAATCAAACCAAATCGTTTTCTTTATTTACCATTAAACTGCAAATGTTTAAATGGAAACTATTTAATTATGTCCTAAATCCTAAATATTGTCAACGTTGTCAACATTATCATTTAAATACGATATCACAGTGGTTTTCAAACTTTTTTTGACCATCACGACGCACTGTGACTTTTTTCTTTTTGGTCATTGTTTAATGTTTTGCACAAAATTAGAACTAATGATGAGTCATACTCAAACGAGTCATAATCAAAAGAGTTACGACTTCACGTAACCGGTGGGTCCGTTACAATTTAAGGAAAACAAATTTCAAAAGACCGCGATGAACCTAGTGAACGACGCTCGTGGCACCCAGTTTGAAAAAACCACTGCTATATTGTACAATTTTGTTAGGGCATATTATTATACACGCATATCGTCAATTTTTTTACAACATAATAATATTACGCTCTATGAGAGGAAGTACGCTACAATATTGATAACAACATAACGATAACGATGAAGCACCATGGTGCTTAACTCGATTGCATATAGACACAACTAATGATGGCGTGCTCAGAAGGAGGGCAAGTGTGTTTTAGTCTCCCCCACATTCACCTTGTCAAATACCAAACAAATGAAATAAACTATTCAGGCGTTGACAAATTATTACTAATAAAAATGACAGTAGTCATTGTATGTTTTCACAACTGTTCATTTAAGTACAAATAATTGTTCGGGATGACTTCGTAACAAATTATTATTATCAAACGTAGCAAAATGTACGGTTTTTTTTTTTTTTCAATCAACTATCACCAGTGATTGATAAGAGGTAGGAAAATAGCTTGGCGCGGTAAAATATAAATAATTTCGTTTTAACGGTTAGGGTGAAATCGGTAAAAATGCTACAACCTCCCCCGCACGGACGTGACAAAATATCCGCATACATGAACGCAATCGTATTGTACTACAATATATATATACCTATACCCATTATACAGGTGTATATGGTTTGTTTTTACGAAGTTTATTTTTTTTGTCCGTTTTGAAATCCAAGTGGTATTATATTATAATATATTGTACAGATTGTACATTGAAAAAAAAAAAAAAAACCCATATCGTTTCTTTTCTCTTTCGTTCGACATACCACAAGCCGATCAATAGTTTGTCTGTCCGAATAATAATAAACAATATGACGTATGTCGCATTATATTCAAGAATACGTACATAGCGTAGTGCGTCATAAAACACAAACACGAACAAGTTGCGTGTATATATAATAATTGTATTTATTTATTCTTATAAAAAAAAATACCACGTTTAAGGGCGATGGTATTCAGAAGAAAAAAAAACGAAAACACGGAAGTGTTTATAGCACAATGGTAACATTGTGCATACGAATCTCGTTTGGCCGCGTGCACCTACGCCGACGACATACTTATAAGTCATAATGTATATTGTGATAAACTTACAAAAAATACGACAACGGTGCACGACTAAATAAAAAATAACCTGCAGTATTATGTGTTTCCGATAAAAAGTCGACGCAAGAAAAAAAAAAATTTTAATTTAAACAAAATATATGCTTATGGTTTCTTCATGTATAGAATGTAACTTTTATGCTTCCATTATATTATGCGAAACGAATTTAAATATGTGTTATTTATATTACAAGTATTATGTTATTTTCAAAAAAAAAAAATTCGAAAAAATTTAATCATCCAAAAATTATAGAAACAGAGGATTGAAAATTGAAATCCTCTAAAAGCGCATCCTAGACACTGCGTCTCCGTGACGACTTCATTCACTCGGCTGTATAGGTGTACAAAGCAAAACACGAACACTTCATATTAATATTCAACGATACTTTTATCGCGCAAACTCGCGCAAACAAAACGAAACTCCAATTCTCGTTCGGTCCGGAGAGAGCTGCTATGAATGTCCGAAATTAGCGGGAAAAATATACACATACTGCAAACACAAAACAGTGCAATGGTCTTATTTTTCGGAAAACGCTGCATAACACGCAAAAATAACAACATTACAAGGATATTTGAATCCTCTTAATAATTTATTGTTAAATATCGTTACAAACCTAACCTAACCTAACCTCACCGTCATATACCCGGAGCACTAATACGATCGTATTTATAGATAAGCGAATAGATATAAATATGTACACTATAATATAGGTTCTGGCTTTGGGAAATTCACCTAAACTCGTTGCGAATGAGAATAATAAAAACATTACAAATTCTACACCGATATGATTTGTATTAATTATAATGAACTACTAACCGCGACTATTTTAATAGCTGCGAAATATTTACTTTCTATTCGACGATCGATTTCTACACCAAACGTACGTACTATGCCTATAACATTTTTTCACATAATTGAACAATTTGGTGTGAAAATGATAACATTGTGTTAACAAACAAATTTCTCCCTTTAAAACGTAATATTATTGTTTTATGTCCTGATCTTGAGGTTTTTTTATTTACATCGATAAGTAATTTGTAAATAATGGTTTATGATAGGAATTTTGTGTTTATAAATGTCAACATCGGACATTTCGAATGTGTATTGGGAAACGTGTCATTCCGTTAGTTTTCAATTCACAAAATAACGCATTAATGCTTAGTTAACAAAAAACGTTGTATTTTTTGCGTTACATACATTTTATTTTTCTTTGACCCCCAGACAAGACATATTAACGTAAGAAAGAAAAGAAAAACTAAATACTGAAATATTATGCTGTACTTTTGTTCAAGTAACTTTGAATACTAATATTTTAAGAAAACGAAGACGAAAAGTCTAATGAAAATCTGATACTTTACTATAACTAAACTTAATTTTTTTTTGTTTAGCGCAACAATGCATTCGATTTTACTATAGTTTGTTACTTTGTTTATTGAATCGACATCCGAAGTACAATACATACGAAGAAACATTATATTTTAATCGACGGATAATATTTGAATTATTTTAAAATTTTAAAATTGTTAAAAAGTCTTGTCAACAGAAAAATTGTAAAGTCACATTAAAAGAATTTCTAAGAAAAAAATATAACAAATTTACTATTTCTATATATTATAACAATGATGTAATAAAATAACAACTCTGTATACAAGATGATCCTCTTATCATGAGTCAGCGATTTTATCGGAGGATTTTAAGTGAATTTGATTTATATGTTTTTTTTTTCAATCATTATCAAATCATTTTAATTTAATTTGAGGAGGGGCGGGAGATTGCTATTTGAAAATCCATAGAACATGCTCGTTTGAGGTATAAGAAAATATTGGGCAAACAATTAAAAACGGTTTTAAAATACGCTAAAAATAAACAGAAATTCACTAAAAATCCTCGGAGAAAGTCGCCGATTTATAAGTGAATCACCCTGTATACACTTAATAATAAATCTATATGATATTATACGAATGATGACCGCGCGTGTGAACCGACGGAGGCGGTTACAATGACGGGCGGGGTTAAAAAAAAAATCGAAAAAAAAAAACCTCCAGAAATCTGCTCTCCTATAATCTGTTGGCTGAGACTGACACTAGGGGATCCCAGTGGCGATGATCGGACGGCGGCGAAGCAACAGCAGCAGATGCTTCGCAGACGGCGCAGCGATTTATAAGCATCGTATTATAAGATCATACAAGTATATTACACTCGTGTAACGACAACAACAATAATAATAATAATAATAATAATAATAACAATATTATAGACGCTTTTTGAGACGCACATGACGTTGTGACGGCGATTACGACGACGACGACGCACACTTGGTGTTTTAGGTCACACGCAAAGCCGTGTAAACGCCAATAATAATCATAATAATAATAATAATAATAAATACACACGACGAGAACAATAATATTATTATAGACGGTGGGTAATACAAGCGACACAGATTTTTTTTTTTTTTCGTATAGTGGAAATCTCCGGTCGATGAGTTGAGCACCTTCACGCCTTATCGGACGAGGCCGATCTCAGGCCTCGGTCCGCGCCGTCACCCCGTTTACCTTCCAATTCTTCTTATCCTTATTCTGCGACCGCGTCGTTTTTTATACATGTTGTATTATTATTATTACGATTAGTATGATTATTATTGTTGCGGTAACGACAAAGTACTGCAGTGGCAGATTTCGGAGACGCGTTGTCGATAATATAGTATTATATTGTCTATAAATGCAACTCTGTAGGTTAAACGTAATAATATTATGTGTATTATGATCCTTGTTTCCAGTTGCGAAATATCGATCATCAACTGCAGATAATACAATAGCGTTGAGTACCCACGTCTATGGAGTATATAATATACACGCACGGATTTTTATTTAGGTCTGTACTATAGACCTAAATAAAGAGATCTAATCCAGGACGTACAGTGTTATAATACCCCCGCTAAAATTTGTTCGCCCGTCTTTTTTAATTGATTTGTGTTTATTTTGTAAATCATATTTAAGGTACCCAACCTCCATAGAAATTTCTGGATAGGTACGTCACTGTGGGCACCAAAAGGTCTATGGTCAATATTGTGAGGACGATATTATGTCTGCTAATAACGGGAACGAAACATATTTTTACCAGAAAAATGGATTGATAACAGGAAGGCCAATATTTTTAGAATAGTATAATATACATAACGTAGGCCCCTCTACACCCATTAATATTGTTTAAGAGAGAGAGAGAGAGAGAGAGAGATAAACAAAGATAAAAAATATGTTTAGAAAAATATAGGTCCTATTTTATATTTAGAGATTTTGGCTGTCTATATTTTAAATAATATTGGTATACAGACAACCTAAGGTAACCTATGCTTCTATAGTATAAATAGTAAAAAGACGATCTCAACAGCGTAACCCGCAGGATTCATAGAGATTATAAATTTCGAAAAGTATTTGGCAGGATACGACGTGCTTGGGATGATAAACTATTAAATTAACAAAGTTCACGTACTGTTCTTGCTATAGGTACACCTAATACAACATTACAAGGAAATTTGTAATATTGTAGTGCAAATTATGACACTACAGGTACGTGTTACCTAGTATTCGTTACCTTGGTCTAATCAACTAAAGTCGCTATAGAAAAAAGCGCTCAACATTGGTTTCGTTAAGTTCAATAATCGCAATAAGGGACGCTAATTTGCTCTTGTTTTATAATCTATTTTATATTGTTTTTACAATTTTAGCACCGAGTATATTCGTAAAAACGTGTCGAGCACACCTCTATTTTTTGTACAGTTGTTTATTAACGCCAAAATTCACGATGTTATTTGTATAGTTATTAATGTTTAAACAAGATTCGAGTATAACATATATTTTAATATTTTAAAAAACCACAAGAGAGTATATAATATTGTCATTTGACGATTTTATACATGGTTTAAATTTGTAAAAGTTCTAATTCCAAAATCGCGATTTTGTGATTATAATATTTTAAACTAAAATAAACGATAACGCAACGTTTAAAAGTACTCGGACTGAAAAAAATTGTATTCTTCCATAAGAGTGCTCTTATAAATACATCGAAATTAAAGTAATATTATACGAATTACACAGACGATAAAAAGAATTTCTATATTAACGTTCATTCAAGTACCGTATAATAGATTGAACAGTTCGCACCGCTTACTTAAGGGCCCTTATATTAATAATAACCATCAAAAACCAAAATAGCATATTTAAGGTTAACTCGTAATTACCGAGTACAGGTTTTATCTGTGAAACACAACAATTTTTTAAAAGTTAATTACAACAAGCATTTTTTCTTATTTTGTGCGTCTTTAAACGTAATATCATGATTGATTGCTAGTAACGATAGGTAATTCAAGTTTTCTTGTATTGAATAAGAAGAACACACATGAGAGTTTTATGCGTTCAAGTACAGAAAATGAACGTTATTACTACTACAATAAATGCGTGCAATTCGCATTGATAAGTTTAGTACAATTGTAAGATATTAATATTTTGAATATATTTTTAAAAATAACAAGGATTTTAAAAAGACTTAATTTCAATAAATGATTCTTTAAAATCATAAAACTGTATTAAAATCGTTTTCAAAATATTATCAGAATAGAATTTATGTCATGCATATCAAAAGTATCTTTACGGAAAACTTTTTTTTTTCGTTGATATAGAGTGAGAAGGAGCGCTAATAATATGTGGGCGGTCTATGAACGTGCACCACGTTCACGTGAGTAAAAATCAGGGCCTGGCAGTTCGTTCGAAATTGTTTCATAATATTATTAACGAATATCAACTATTTTGCGGTTTAATTTTGGGGAGTTACCAGTTTTCGCCGAACTCGTACATCTGTACCTTTCACTTTTCCGCCGAACGAAAAAATTTAGTCTAATATTCGAATATTAATGGATGATTGTATCATAAATTATTGTTATTATTGTGTTAAAAAAAATATATATTTTACTGTTAACACGCGATTCGGTTCAAAGGTATCGAATAGGCTGCGTCGTAACGGTCGGTTTCGTACACATCGTTTAACTGTATCAACTGATATAACAAACAAGATTAGCAACATAATCGATAGCGATGGAAAAATAGGATAATAAGCGATAAATTTATCATTAGGCGAAATTACGGTACGTTATAGATATCTTACGACGGAAAAATAATAACAAAAATGAATTTGAACTTGTACTGTAATAAAAAAAAAAATTATTAGATTTTTTTAAATTTTTTGAGCAAAAAATTATGGTAAGAACAATCGTTGTTATGAGTGTTGACAACTATTTTTACCTTGTATTCTATAAATAATAAACACAATTTTTATCAGCCATAAATAGAAACAACTTACTAATTTGTAACTTATTTATTTGTCTAATTAAAATTTTGTTATTTATATACGATCGTCCATTAATATTCGAATATTAGACTAAATATTTTCATTCGGCGGACAAGTGAATTAGCGGAAAAGATAAAGGTACGATTTTGGAGGAAAAGGGAATCGACCAAATTTATTATTTGGCGAAAACTTGAATCGGCGGAAAATGGAAATGTCCCTTTTTGGGGGACACCGGCCATGTCCTTAATTTTGTACGTTAAACTACATACTCATGTACGAATAAAACACGACGAGGACCCGATGGCCGACGCGTAATTTCAATAACCGAAGGGATCTACGAAACTATATCGGCACGTGGTCTTAAAATGGCTCAATTTTCAAAATCCAAATACGACAAACATTATTGTGTGTATACATGTTATAGTATAGTGACTGCTGCTGGGATAGTAACAGGACAGTAACACACAATAATATTATTATGGCGTATTATTCACACGAACATAACATTAGTCCGTTTGTCAATATATGGAGAGCGGGTCGTTTTATTACTGCAGTCCCGTCATCGTCTGTTCGGGCACAGATAATAATACGGTTTTGAATCCGTTGGATTTTTACCTGCTGTATTATAATAATGAATACATAATATATATTTTATATTGTTCGTCCGACTGGTTTGTGATATCCTTGCCAAGTATATTATATTGCCGACAGAAATTTCATGGAGAAGAAAAAAAAAATCGAATTGAAGAATAATAATATACTCTCAAGCGCCGATCTATATTTATAATAGCGATTTTTATTATCGCCACGATACGTACACGGGTCCGATAAAACACAGTAGGCCTGTATACCTGCTACGAATGACGCAGGGTGGCCAACGATTTCTGTTCGGTACCCGATCCGACAGTGTACGCGATTTCTGTACAATACGACATTATTATCTTTGCACGGATAAAATGTGTAATTTTAAAATCTACGAACCGTATACTATTATTGGAATGGGCTTTTGACACATGGATATTTTTTTTTTTTTTTTTTAACGGTGTTGAACGGTTGAAAACGTGCGTGAAGACAATAACGCCCGTAAAACGCTCACGCGCACGCTACAACTTCCATCGCAAACGAGACGAATAATTTTCGAGAGTCACGGGGAAAAGTTCAAACAGATAGGTACATTATTATATTATTGTACAATATTATGTTGGCGCACAACGACGAAAACTTAAAATAAAAAAAAAAAAAAAAAAAAAAAAAAAACCGTAAAATTTCGACGCATTATTCGAATACACGGTGTATTGTTAACGTGTTTTTATTGTTGTCGCAGAGCCCGCCGATGCACAGGCACCAACCCCTCGAAGAGTCGCGTCCCTCCGCCGAAAAACAGGATACGTTTCGGCGGACTCTTCGGACTCTCGCCATGCATTCTATATGGCCGTCTCGCTACATCATTCGCCGATTAGCCGAATAAAATTGTATACAAATCTCCGCTGTTATATACCCGTGCCGACTTCTTAAAACCTTGTACATTCGTTTACACCCACTGCGTCGTCTCCGTCGCTAATCCGGATTAATAGTAAAACGTTATTACAAGATCCGTAGATAATATTTGCAGGCGGGCCGCGGGGGCTGATCCGGGACAAGATAACGGGAAATGGGAAGGTTTTGAAAATTCATGTGCGGCACACATTCGTGACCACGTCGATTTCCCGCATCGCCACACCCTGGATCCTCTAGTGTCGACAGAAAGTCAATTCGATTTCGTCACTCCAGGTTGACGGTATTTTTCGATTTGTTAGTCCGGAATATAAACGTACTGTGCAATATAATTGAGCCGAAAACAAAATATACAGATACTCACAAACGACATCGTCTCGCGTGAGAAAACTACACGCAAGTCCGTTAGTGTATAATTGAATAATTATATAACTCGTGTGCTTAGATTTTTTAACATCCTAATTTATACGTCGAAAAACATATAATACATTATATTTGTATATTACGCCGATTTATATCATAATTTTCACAAGAAATTTCGTTTCCAATACTAGAATCAATTATTTTAGATTCTGAGCGGAGCGATGTTTTATAATGATGTTTATGTTTTTATGTGTACACTTTTTCTACCAGAAAGCTTACTCCGGTTATCAATTACAGCACGTTTTCTGAAAGGAAATATTCTCTGGGCGGTACTTTAAAGAGGTCATTTTTTGAAATTCTCAAATTAAATTAAAAATTAATATTCGAGATAATGAGGAAAATCTGGTTTTTTAGGTAAAAAAATATTGAAAAATTAAAAAACAGTTGTCATTGGCAACAGTTTTTATTTATTTTTTGTTATTATTAAGTTTTAATTATTTTAATTTTTCTTAAACAATCATTGTCATGAAAACGCACAATAGTGTAATTACTTTTTATCATAATATGGCATTCAATATTGTTCACAAAACAACACTATCAACTGAACTCCGCTCAGAATCGTATTTTCGTTAACAGTGGTTTAAAGTTGCTAACAATTGCACATTAAATTTTCGTCTGTGTTCTACCTTCCCAACTTCTCACCTATAACAGTGGCTGTACCCACGTGCGAAGTATGTCTGTCTTTTTTATTTTTTATATATATTTTCAGTACGGTTATGGATGTATAGATAACTCTTCACAGAGTTGGCCGAATTTTGGGCAAATTGTTGGGGATGCCGCAGCTAACATAAATTTCGCGAGTGCAAGACACCCTCTGCGATCCTCCTGCCAATCGCGCCTATAGTTGTGAACAGTGTCGTGGTGATAGTGTTGTTCGGGTGTGTTTGGACGGTATTCGGTCCCGGTTTCCGGGCGAACGAAAAACTATTATAAATTGCGTTACAAAATAATTTTGAACAACGTATTAAGATTGGTTTTAATACCAACAATAATATCATCTGGCCGGCGAACAACAAGGGTGTATGGTGTATCGCATGAACAAAAATCGGTCCGGCCAATTAAAAAATAGTTCGCCACACCGTCGAGACACGTGAAAATACGATTAATACAATTAATAAATTAACAATGTATAGTGGCTATTAATTATTATAACGACAATATGACAATATTATCACGTTACAACGGTTATAATAATGGCTGTGTCGGTACCGTCTTAACTCGGGATAACGCGTCGTACACGTTTCACACCCCCTAACCGTATAGCAATACAGAGCGATTCTAAAGAGTTAGGCATCTATAAATACGGACACGCAATTAATTAGCCTTCCCCATAACGCTCGTCCGGTATAGATTTTAAACTGATATTATTCGTATAAAAAATCGTGTTGTGCGCATATCGAGAAAAGTTTAAAAATAAAAATGGGTTATTTGAAAACTGGCGGTTGATACATCGCGTTTACGTGTACATACGGACTGAGGGCGAAGGGTTTGTAAATAGGAATATGAAAGTAACCGGATTCTTTAGTGAAATCTCCGCGGGCAACCGTTGTCAGATACATAGCAAAATAATCTCCCCGGATCAGCCTGTACGACAACACAATGTACTTGCTATAATTAACTTAATATAATATTATAGTGACTCATAAATAGTCGATTGTTATAGAGTTAAATAATAATTATGAAAAAAAAAAAAAAAAAACACCCACCTGTTCGTGTTTTTTTAAGTAGCTGCCCCGGGGAAACGTCTTGTCGCAATACTGACACGCGTACGGGTTGGCGTCGTTCGGGTTGGCCGTGGCCGCGGCTGCGGTGGCCGCGGCCGCGGCCGCCGCCGTGTTGTACACGGACGACGGCCGGTGACGATGGTGATTGTGATTGTTGTGGTGATGTTCGACCGTGGAACCGGGCCCGCTGTTGGTCGTGGCGCAGCTGTCGGGCGACGTGTGGTCCTCGGACACGGCCGAGCTCCACGACGAAGCGGCCTCCTCGGTGCTCACCTCGCCGACGCCGCTCAGCGCTTCTGTAAAACCGACGCGTTATCAGTAACAAAATCACAACAACAACAACAACAACAAAAATACAAATGACGTCGTTACAATAACGACGGCCCTAACCCAACGCGCCCGACCGGGACGTTCCGTCCGTCTCGTCGGCGCCCGGGCCGGCCGTACGACCGCACTAGGTTCGCGATCGGCGCGGCGACGATGTTTATCGTTTTCGTTAAATTACGGGCGGCGTATTATTGCGTACGCACGTCATCGCCGTCGTCCGTCCCGTCACGCGACGATAAACTCCACCGACACCGCCGGGATCGGGTGCCCAGTGGGCGTCGGTTATTATATCGTTTACGGCGGCGGCGGCGGCGGATCGCTTGCCTACGCGCGTGCCACACGCACGCCCACGTGCATCGTTTTGCGCGCGCCACCGTCCGTCGCATGTGCTCCTCGCCTTAACCGGTACGTGTACACACACACACACACACACACAAGTAGGTACACGGCGGTTACGCGCGGTGTGTGCCGGGGCTACCGGCGTTTTCGTCTCCGCGTGTCGTACGGGCGGCGTACGTAATAATCACCGTGGTTCCGATTGTTAGACGCGTTTAATGACCGGACGCTATTCGTAAGAACAGAAATACAACAATTCCGTCGTTTCGAGCCGAATACGATGATGCCCCTCCGACCGTTTCGCATCCCTACCCGCAACCCCCCGCGACCCCGGTCCCCGCAAACGTCGTCGATCCACTACTCCCGCGCCGCCGCCGCCGCCGACGGTCGCCGAGTTGTGGCGCACCGTCAATCGCATTCTCCACGCGTGACGCGACGACCTCTTCTGTTTATGTCATTGTAATAACAACGGCGACTAACGCGTTTTTCGGCCATTAGGTTTTCACGCGGCGACGGGCTTATCTGTTTCAATTAACACGTTCGGCGGAACCGCGGTACCCACAAGCACACCGCGTTAATGTCGTCGCGCGTTCGGGAATCCGGCGACGGCGCTACGAAACACTGCGAATGGTGCGCCTCGTCACGAGTCGAACACGTCGTACTACCTCGGGGTCCCCGCGTCGACGGCCGGAGAGGTTATTTTTTTTATCACAATTTTACAATACAGTCGTGTTGAACTGCGGTTGCGAAATTCGGAAGAGAAAAAAAAAAACGACAAAATGCCATGTTCGGACGAAAAATATTCCGCGAAATGGCCGGCGCAAAACAATTTCCCGAACACACCGCCCAACACGAATTCCGTTGTTTCTATTCGATTCCCGTGCTGCAGTATATACTGTGAATCGCGTGGAGGTACTACGGTGGACGAATAGCGCGGAGAGTATTTATTTTATTTTTTTTTTTTTCATTTGCTTATTAAAAATTATCGGCTACGGGCGGCGCTATCAGAAATAATACTAAGCGCTGTTGCCACACACACCGTACGAATTATCCCGTTGCGTTCGGAAACGTCGGCGACTCCACTATACACGGATAACGAAAGAGTTACAAGTTTTATACGTTTCATGCCGGGTAAAACGGTTTTTTTTTTGCCTTTGCCAAGCGAGTGGAGCGTAGTATCACGTCCCCCGGAACGTCCAGGAATGCACTTATTAATAGGTCGGGTTCGCCCGCACGTGACGTCCCAGTCCAACCTCACCACGGACAACGTGGCAAAATTTAAAATAAGGCGGTTTGTGTATAATAACAGAAAAATGTGTTTGTTAAAATCGATTTTTCAAAAAAGTCGACGTTTTTGTTCGTGTCATCCGGGTATAACAACGATGTCGTCCGGATGATTCCGTGGGTCCTTCGAGGGCCGTTAACACGAGCCCGTTCTACCGTGTGCCGTATACAAGTCCGTTCGATACGTCGTCGGTATTTTACTGGGTGACGCGACTCGGTTTTATTACGGGATCGACGACGGGCCAGCCGCCGGATCACGACGACGCCCGTCGTGTCAAATGTTATCGCGGCGACGTTACCGACCCCGCGAATGATCCCGTCGCCGCGTAACCCCCGTGTCCGGTCCGTTCACAACGCCATTATCTGCCCGGCGCTCTCTCCGTGCGCGCGGGCGGATTCGAACCGGTTGAACGGATTATCGTTCGGTTTGTCGACGCGGCGCGCAAAGGTGTCGCGGGGAGGGGGGGCGGACGGACGGACGGAGCGGAGCGGAGTTGACGCGGGGTTCCGCCGGGCCGGACGACGGCGCCCGCGACTCTGCGGGGTTCGGCTTTGGATTTCCACCCACCCACCTCACGCCGCCGGTGCGTCACTCGGCGCGGCAAAAGCCGGAAATGGCCATTACGCCGCGCGTCATAACGCGACTGATAACCCCGCCGAGACCGGGGAACACAAACAACGTCGGGAAATGTCGATTATCGCCGGTGTAAATAGGCGCAATCGCGATAACGCTGCGTCATAAAAACGCATAAAGGCCTATAAAACTATAACCGAAAACGATCTACAAGCGTTTAAAATATTCGTTTGCCGTGCCCGCGCGCAGCGAGTCCACGCTTGTTCCGGAAACATCGCGTCGCAAATACTCGTTCCGACCTCCGAAAATTATTTACGAAGCGAAATTGCCGCGCACGGCGAAATAATAACACGGAGTCTTCGTTTCGGGGTGCGTTCGGTACCGACGGCGGGCGGGTCATTATAATATGCGTCACGGGACGAAACGACAGGAGCACACGCACGAAAACCGCAACGTTTAACGGAAAATCTCGGTTTTTTTTTTTTTATTCGTTTTCCTAAAATCAATACATTGTTATTGGAAACCTGTCAAAATATTACCGCGAAAAATACGGAAAGTCAAACGCACACACACACGTGTGTGACACTGTGAGCGGGACTTGCGGGCAACGCAAAAAAAATCGCAATATTTTAACGGTATATGCACAACGCGTACGGCGGCCGTTCGAACGTTTTAAACGTACGTTTAATAATGGGGAGAAAGAAAAAAAAAAACAAAAAATTCATATAATCTAACCTACAGAGATTTAAAAGTTGGTAACCGGTGTAAAACGGATGCAATTTTACCGGATTATGGGTTGGCGGTCAGACGATCGGATTTTGTAATCCAATATTGACGTAAAATATTCCCGCCAAATTACAAAACATTCCCCCCCACGTAAGGTTACGTTATAGTAATGTTACACGGAAATGTTTTGCTTTACACGCGTATATACTTATCATGTTGTATACATCATGCAATCGTTTTAGGTTCTTAGAGCGGAGCGAGGATTGTATTATGATGTTTATTTTTTTTGTCTTTATAACACTTTTTATACCAGGAAGCTTAATCCGATTATCAAGTATAGCACCATTTTTGAAAGGAAATGTTCTCTGGGTGGTACTTTCAATAGGTCATTTTTTGAAATTATCATTAATATTCGAGACACAATGAGAAAAAGCTGATTCTGTCGGTTGAAAAAGATTAAAAAACAGTTGTCATTGGCAACCATTTTATTTATTTTTTGTTATTATTAAGTTTATATTATTTTAATATTTCTTATACAATCATTGATGTCGTGGAAACGCACACTATTGTAATAATTTTACCATAATATGACTTATATATTTTTGATAAAACAACACTATCAACTAAACTCCGCTCAGAATCGTATTTTCGTTAGCAATAGTTTATCGTTGCTCACAGATGCACATTAAATTCTCGTCTATATCCTGCCTTCCTAACTTTCTACCTACAACAATAGTTTCACCTACGTGCGAAGTATGTCAGTCTTTTGCTTTTATTGTTTTGAAGTCTCTAGTTGCTTTGAATTAACACGAACAAAAGCAAACGAAAATCATGTGTTGAAAGCACAAGGTTTTTTTCGGATAACGTAAAATATCCAACAAACATTTAAATAAACATTTAAGTGATAAAAATATTTTATAAAGCGTTTGGCAACGATTATTTGATTGCAAGCATTGAACAAAACGGACGAATCACAGAGATATACATTAAATTCCAGTCTATATCTTACACTCCCAACTTCCCACCTACGACGTTCTCAATATCCTAGGACAGCTTTTTTTTTTGTTTTTTATATATATATATTCTGATATTCTCTTAGTTTTTATAATAAAAAAAATTGAACATGTATAAAAAAAAAAAAAAAAAAAAACACGAAGCGTAATTTTACTAACCCAATATTTAAGTACATTATTATACACCTTGATATTGCTCATCGTGTATACCGCGTGTAAGTTTTAATATCTTAAATAATAACAATTGAACTGTTGTTTCGAGGATAAGCGTCGTGTTATTTATCATTAACAATGTAGTTGAGTTTCGAACGATTTCGGGAACAAATAAAATATTGTTAAAACACATTTGTGAACCCGCGGATAAAACTGTCAACGTCATTTATGTAAATACGCATTATTATTATTAATAATTTGGAGCGAGTGTCGGTCGGGGCGAAACATACGGCGGTGGCGGCGGCGCTTAGAAAATATATTTTTCATTTGCGTATTGTGTTGTTGTCGTTTTCTCCAGCGAGTGAAATGACCGCGCGAATAACGGCCGATCCCTGATATGCAAATAACCCTTAACGAAAAAAAAAGCGCCATTATTTAATACTGGTAAATATCATAGAAATTATTTAAAAAAAAAAATTTAAAAAAAAGACTGTTGTAGGCGAGAAATTTGAACGGTACACGATGTACGGGTTAATTTTTAGATTTTTGTCCACAATCGTTGCAAACGAAAAACGATTCCGAGAGGAGTTCGGTAATACATGTTTTGACAATTGAATTAATTTGTAGCAAAACGGTTTAAATTCCAATTTGTTATCGCGTTTTAAACGAATTTTAACATGTATTTTCGATTTCGACACGCTGACAAAATCCAACTAAACCAAAAAAATACTCCACAATTTCAAATGGTTACAATCGACCAGGAAAACGTCAAAATATTTTGACAGTTGCACCACGTCTACATAATACTAATATTACACGAGTATTCGATGAATGTGTTTCGGTTGGATATTTTTCTCTGATGATTACTACAACAAGCAAGAAACAAAAAGGAATATAACTCTTAATTTTTCGCCTGTTATCAGAAAAACTCCGAAGAAAATTAAAACACGATCTCCCGACGCTGCACTATCAACTATACGGCATACAAGTACCACCTGCAGTACATCAAACCAGAAACTTATTTCAGCCCGGAAGTTGATCGGAGCGAGATTTCCGGTTAGAAAAGTGGTTCACGGACGATGGAAAAAAAATTCGCGCACCGCGATGAAACCAATAATGTTCGCACTACGCTCAGAACCTGGAATTACCATATTAGGTGCGATAATCCCTTCCTCTCAATCGTCTAAATTACTAAAAAAAAACGGTAAAAACTACTTAGGTCTGACAATTGACCGTCGTCTCATATGGTCGCAACACATTGAAATTAAAAGGCTTGCCATAAACGCGCGACTCCGCATCCTTAAAACTCTAATCTCCAACAACAAACACACTCCATTAAATACTAAACTGTTAATTTATAAATCCTTATTTAGGCCGATGTGGACCTATTGTCTTTAGCTCTGGGGCAATGTCAAAAAATCCAACACCAATAAAATTCAAACCTTCCAAAATAACATCCTTCGTAAAATCACGAATTCCCCCCCCTTACATCTCAAACCTAATCCTACACACCGATCTAAAAATTAAAACAGTCCACGGAGAAGCAATAACCATTTACAAACGATTCCACTCAAAACTCCCTGCTCATACCAACGCCCTCATTTTAAACCTTGCCACTTCCACAATTCCCCCAGGAGGCTCAAGAGGAAACGGTGTCGAGACCTCGTCAACGATTGATCTAAAGTACAACAATATACATTGAATAAAAAATAAAATTTCATCGAGTAATGTCGGTGTTACCCCGGTGGGCGACTCCTCTCATCAATTAATCGTGTATCTATTTTTCTTCGATCACCACATATTCTTATTGTTCCCTAAAGGAACAGTGATTGCGTACACCGTGTAAAAAATAAATAATAATAATAAAAAGATACGATAAGTTCTACGTTTCGTCAGCCTTTTTTTTTTTTTTTTTTTTGTCCAGAAGGCGCCGGTGTAAACAGAACGACCGGCACGACAAAATACGTTTATTATTATATCGCACACCGCGAACGCGCGCGCATCGCGAAATATGGCGCGCCCGTCGTTATTGTTTGTTCGAGAACCGCGGAGGCCCACCGAATTCGTCGGTTTTACCGCGTCGATTATTAATTCGGACCCGCCGCGAACGTGACGACCGGCAGCCCGTACGCGGGAAAAACAACACGGCACGGCCCGCCGTTGGACGCGCGAACGTCCCGACGACCACACGACGCGTAATATTACAATGTTTATAATGGACGCACCAGGCTGTTGCGAACGAAGTTTATCGAACACCGCGCGCGATATTCGCTGGTGCACACACCCGGTGTCGGAACGCCGCGATATTATTGTTTGTCACTATCGCGACGGCGGCATGATAAACCGGCGCCATCATCGCCGGGGGAATTATTTGCGATTTCGCGGATTTACGGGTATTCACCGGTTATGCGAACGTTGTTATCGTTTTGTTTGTTTTGTTGATTGCGGAATTTTTCGACGACCGATAACAACCCCGTTTGAGGGAACGGATTCAACGACTAGCGGGGGGAGGGGGGGTACGGTCGTTTTCACGGACGAATAAAATACGCGGACGTTTTGGACCGAAAAAAAAAACTGTAGGGATCTCCTCGTTTGACGGATTTCGATTTGGTGTATTATGCACGGTTCCGTTAGGTGCTCGACTACACGGGATACATTGGAATCGTTTTTTTTTTTTTTTAAATTTGAATTTTTTTTTATCGCGAACAAAAGGACAAATATTCCCCAGTAAATTTTCGAACATTTCCGACATATCCAACGTAGTAAAGCGATGTTCCGAATTAAAAATTCATAATACGTTTCCGTAAATTGAAATCCGTCACACAGTTTTGTCCGGTTTCGATCGACTAAAATATACGCCGTCACCGCGATTCCCCCAAGTCGAAATATCAAATAAAAAACGGATTTCGGAAAAGAAAAAAAAATCGTAAAAAACACCCCGCTTTGCACGATAGAAATAAAAACAGATGCAACACAAACCGTATTGAATTTCCGACGGCATATTCGTTGTAATTACATTGACGATTTTCCACGTGCCTGCATTACTATACGACAGTTTCACGAATATTACAGTAATATATCGAACGTTGAGAAATACCGAACGAAATGCTCTCCCGCGGCTCGAAAACGCTCGGATAACGGCGAAAAGAAATACTCTGAAATACGACGCAAACCGTAATCATAATAGTAGACCTAGAATGTTGAAACTTGCGAAAACAAATATCGTATTTCAATTACGTGCATAAAGGCGGATTTGCAATTCCGTTTCGATAATTTGCCGCGGATTCGACGGTAATCGGCAGAAAAAAGGGAAAAAGACATCGGTAACAAGTGTCGTTATTTATAACGGAGTTTCTCAACGAGGGATAAGGAAATTCCTCTCTCTATGGGAAAGCGCCTTTGGACACTGCGCGGGCGGAGGGTAATACATAGCGACGGGGACGAACACAGGAAATACGAAAATGTGCAGATTTACCATCGTGTCGAAAATTTAAAACAATTCATCTAGCATATGTTCGATTGATAGGGGGCGATTTTCGAAAATCTACCGAGGGGGGGGAAAGCGTGCAGGAAAAACAAAAATGCCGGGATACGCTCGGCGGCGCGACTGCCGCGGGGTGTAATCCCACTGCGACGGCGGGAAAGAAAATACGTTTTCGTCGACTGCGTTTCGACGAAATTACCGTAACGGTTGTCTCGCGACTTCGTCACGGAAAACAATAATATTCGACATTTTCGCGGACCGCGCAGAAAAATCCGCGAAATTAAACAACCGCCGCCGGCCCGAAAATTTTTACCCGGCCGCGTCACTCGAAACTGTATAAAATCCAACGACAATAACCATGCAGGTACTAGTAAAACGCGGAATCGTATCTCCGACCGCGGGTCGTTATAACCCATCCATACCTTCGATATCGTGTTCGTCGTTGGTGTCCTTGTTGTTGGACTGTATTTTTTCGATGAGCAACTGCAGACGGCTACTGTTCCCTTTGAACAGCATCGCTGTCGGCGGCTATTGCGGATGGGCGAACGGTAAGAGGTACGTGAGAAAAACAAATAAACACGCACATGCACGCGCACAAAACGTATACAAAAACGGCACGCGAAAACGGTGTTTTGGGAGAGCCGTCGCACCGAACTATACACGCGACGTACGCGCAGACTCGCTGTCGGCGACGGTGTGCGCGATCGCTGTTACAGAGCACGCGGCCAGAGACGTGTTCGGAGGCGGCGGTGGCACCCTCGGCGGCGGAGGTTACGAGCTCGACTATTACCGTGGGCCGCGGCGGCGGTGGATCGCTCGTACCGCGGCGCGCGAGGTGGACCGGTGGATTGGATGCTGGTGCCCGCCGGGTCCAGCCGATTGGACGGTCACCCAGCGGACCGGGCGTGGCGTGTTGCCCCACCGCCGCAACACGGCCGCGCTGCGGTACGGCGGCGCACGTTTTACCGTCGTCGCGCCGCCGCCGCCGCCGCCGCCGCAACGCGGACCGGTTCGGCGCGGGCACACCGCCTCGCCAGCCGACTCCCGCTCGTCGAGCGTAACCGCGATAGGTACCGCACCACCGCCGCCAAGGGTACGACGAACCGCTCCGGTGTACGTAATGTCATACGGCCTATACTGTGCAAACACGCGCGCGCGGCATCCGGGTAAATTATTATACCGGTATACCCGTCGACCGTCTTCCCGGCCGCGGCCGGGTTTCCTGGACCCTCAATTACGGAGTGTTCGCGCGCGTCGCGATTACCCGCCGCCGCCGCCGTCGTTTGTACCGCACATACGGCACGCGCGCGCGGTCCGTAATATCATTAGCGTCCGCGGTACGTCCCGCTCCCCGCCCGGGTTCACGGTCTCGGCGGCCGTAGAGCTTTGTGTCGCGCGCGCACCACCGCCGGGACGTGGCCGTAACGCAGCAGAAAAAAAAATAAAAAAAAAAACCTAACGAACGCCGCGGCACACTTTTACGACGGTCACGCGCTTTGTTAAACGACCGTGTACGCTGATCGCGGCGGCGATGTCCTTTGCGGGCGCGAAAACACCTGGCGCGAAAAATCGCCGCGTTTCTTCCGCGCGACCCAAAGACGCGCGCGCGCCACAACCTGACCCGGTGTCGTATAGTGTCATTACCGTTTCGCTACCGCCGGTCCAAGGTCTCCGACGCGCGTACCCGGCCAACGTCGAGTCGACGACGACGTGCCGGCACTCTACACGCGCGTTTCAGGATGTTATTATTACGCGTATGCGTAAATCGACGGGGAAGGTCGTGCGGTGGCGTACACGAAACGCGGTACCGCGCGGTAAATGCCACTGCGCGCACCGAGGTGTGATTAGACGGTCGAAATACCCCCGAAATGTCTTCCTTCACGACATTCGTATGAATCTGTTGTTTCACGTTCGACAGTATAATTTCATCGGCAAAATCGTTTATTCAGTAATGCAATCGTAACAATCGCATTTATTCGCTGGTAGCAGAAATGTTACAAAGTAGAATGGATTAATAATGCAATCGCCGGCTTTGCCCGACACTGAGGTGAAACCTCTTGTCGTAGAACAAGAATACTTATCGAGATCTCGAAAAATTATGAAAAAGAAATGCAATCGACCGAGCAATACGACAACAATAAACTGAAAAAATAAAATTAAACCGTTTTGGAGTACAGTGGGCACGCAATAAGAATAATAATAGTATAATAACTAATCAACAGAAATTTTCGAAATAAGACATATTTTTACTGACAATATCACGTGGGAAATTATTGTAAACAATACTCCGGCCGAGATAAATATCCCGCGTGCGCTATTGTGCGGGACCGTTTTGTTGTGCGTACCCGTTCAATACGTTCGTCATAATAATACGCGCGTTTTAAAGACGCACGGCGACTACGAGCGTCTCGCGCGGACAACGCTGAAGACGTTTGAAAACGTGTGCCGGAAATGAATAGGGCGCCGCCCGTTTCGCCCGAACACATTTTGCTAGTTTTAAAATCTAGTGGTTTTTGACAAATAGTCGAAACGCGCAGACAATTATTTAAAAACGCACGTCAAAAATTATTTATTTAAACGAATTTGGCACAGCATATTATGTACCTATTTGTCTGGACGATAATATCGCGTTACATACATTTAAAAAGTCCACGTTAAATTATACATTGTAAATAATTATAATACAAAGCATTACCAATCATTTTGGATTGTGAGCGGAGCGAGGAATGTATTGCAATGTTTTACAATGACGTTTATTTTATTTTTTTTTTTATATGAACACTTTTCCTACCGGAAAGCTTACTCCGATTTTCAAATATAGCACCTTTTCTGAAAGGAAATGTTCTCTGGGTGGTACTCTGAAGAGGTCATTTTTTTTTTTTTTTTTAAATTCTTATTAATGTTCGAGATAATGAGGAAAACCTGGTTCTTTAGATCAAACAAGATTGAATGATTAAAAATAAGGTTTCCGTTGGCAACTGCTTTTATTTATTTCTTGTTATTATTAAGTTTTTATTATTTTACGGTATATATTTTCGATCGGCATCCGGAAGGAAAAGAACCCAAGGTGGAACGGAAAGAGATTTTGAGGGATTCGGTAAGTTCTGATACGAAAAAAAAAAATACCTATATGTAAATTCCTAATTAAATAAACGAATTTTGCGATTGTTTAGCGATTAATTATATTGAGGTTGATAGTACGTTCCCCCCTAGTAGCTGGGCTGGTGATACTCCTGACAGAAGTCTTACAACAAATGCTTGTGAAAGTTTCCACTCCGAATTCAACTCAAATATTTACTATCATCATCTTAATATATTCAAAATAATCGAAATTTTAAAAATGTTTCAAACAAATACATAAATCAAAATAAGAACATCAAATTGCAATAGACCTCAAAAAATACGTAAAAAAGACGAAGACAAACAAAATTATGCGAGTAACAAAATATCAGATTACAAGTTAAAAAAATAACATAATATGACCATGTGAAGTATTTGAGCATTCGCAATAAGCCGCATAGAATTTAATGGTACATAACAATTAACATTTTATACAATTTCATGCATATCGAATTACCATGATGACTAGATTCAAAATTGAAAATTGAAAAATTGTTTAAAAATACTGTTTCAACAAAACATACAAAACGCAAAACCAAAAACATTTTAACCACGCCGATTGGGTTGTCAGTCCCATGTCCGAATAAAGTGGGAAGGAAACGTTTTATTTGTGTAGGGATTTAGATGTCGCCGGTCTACTACATCCGTGTCGGAACTTGCGCACTGATTTATTATTTTTCGTGTGGGAATTCGCGTATGCACACCCATGGCTGAGTTCTAACTGCTATATCACGTGTCGGAACTTACTATCGCCCGATTTCGAAGACCCGGGAGTGCGGAATCGGGGGAAAAAAAAAAATAGTACGTACGTATTACGGATCGTGACAGATGGGGACAGGCGGCAAAAAAACTGTCGGAGAACAATGGAAGCCAGAAGAAGTCGACGTGTATAAATACACGAGTATTATGCACGTATACAGGTATACGGCGTGCGGTTATCGGAAACCTTAAGGTCCTTAAGGACCTTACGGGTCGTCACCGTGCGTACATAATAGCCGCGTACGTATTATGATAATGGCACGGGGTGAATGTTTGCCCGGGTGTCGACGGGAAAAAAGGTGTGGAGGGTGGGGAGGGGGGGGAAATTCGTAGGTAGTCGGTTGACGAAAAAAAACACGGCGACAATAAATCTTAACACGTTATACGTTTGTTACACACGCATATGGTAGGTACCTATGCACGGATACGTCTTCATTCGCTTATTAAATACGCGTTGTACAATGTAAAAATCGCACGGACACAATAATATCGTCGCCGTCAACAATATTCACGATAATATTATTATTGTTATTATTGTACAGCGGCGTCCACCCCGGCGTACCCCGGGGCCGCTATTGTCCGCATACCACCGCGTGTTTCGCCTATCCGGCCGGATAGGTATTGGTTATCCACACCACAAACGATTGCACGTGTATAATTATTACAATAATATCGTACCGTACGGGTCGGCTGGAAAACCGGATCTCCCGGGCACTAATACACACGCGCGCGTACAATACAATATACAATAACAATTACGATAAACGCGAAATTCCGCAGGTTTTTTTTTTTTTTTTTTTCAGTAATGTTTTTTGTAATTTATCGTATTATAAACGTTGTTGTTGTCGCCGGTGTTGTTGTGCGAGCGCAGTACGGCCGAAACCTATCCCGCATATTTACCTACACCCGATCCCGTATTTCGTAAAAACGGCCCGGACGTTCAATTAAACGAATAATCGTACGTTGGCCCGGCGAAAAACGGTCGGATTTCCTGGCGCGCCGTATATAACAATTACCAATCCCGGTCCCCTCCTGTCCGGCCGCGCACAATGAACGAGGTGCTCGGCGCGTTCCGAATCCGGATTTGCAAATGATAACAAACATAATCGAGTGCCATACAATAACCCCGAGGGACCGAACGCCGCCGCCGTGGGTTTTTTTGTATCGGTGTAGGCACACACATTGTATGGGCAATAATAACATACAACGCGCGCGCTAACGACGCGAATCGCGAGAAACGGCGAACATAATAATGCGCTCGGAACGAAATAAATTCTACGCTGCAACGGTGTTATCCTCGACGAGATTAATGGCTTATTAATGGTTACGGTTTCTTCATTGTAATTATCGTTTTTTTTTTCTTTTTCGGTTCGGTTTCGTTATTGCCGCGTTTGCGCGTATACGCAGCGCGTATTCTACGGTATAGGTCGACGCCTATTGTATTTGGTAATATTATTTTTTTTTTTTTTCTCCTATACAAACGATATTTCAATGGATTGGCGGAAAAAAAGTCGACGTACGTTGACGAACGCCACCGTGTACCTATACGCACCGTATACACGATATTTAGACCGTCGGAATTACAATGTGGAGGCGAACCGGGTGCTTTTTTTTCCCTCTGTGGATATCTTTTCTACCAGAAATCTTGCGATGGCACTTTTTCTGAAAGAAAATCCGACTGCGGCGGTACTTAACGGAGGTCGTTTTTTTTTTAATTTCCCGGAAATTTGCCCAACACACGGGAAAAACCAGGAAAAACGGGAAAACAGGTACAACGCTCAACTACATATTATTAAAGAAAATTTGTAATACATATACGTGATTATTTTACCATAATATTACATATATATTTGCCGACGCTAACAACCGAACTCCGCTCAGAATTGTTTTTCCGTAAGTAACGGTTAATCGTTGATTACAGATACACATTGAATTGCCCAGAACAGTGGCTGCACCCGTCTCCACTATCCTAGGGCAGCTTTTTGTCCGTACACATATCCAACGATAGCCGATCCGATATTTGTTCGATACCATGAGCCGATATTCAAATTATCCGATATCCTAAAAGCAATCCGCGATATCCGATTTTTACCGATATCGTTTAAATATTATACATCTAAAACACTGTTTTCACTGCTAGAAAAATTAAAACGGAGCACCTTTTTTTTCGAAAAAAATCGGGTCTGATATCGGTTCAAAAAAAAAAAAATAAAATAAACCGATAACCGATTTTCCGACATTGCCGACATTGGCCTATATTCGATATCGGATAACGCCGATGCTCATCCCTAATGAGAATATACGAGTTATTTAGCGGCGTGCGCATTTTCGTCTATATGTTCTTTTGGAAGGGGCCCGTAATAGTTTTACACGGGAATATTATAAACTCGGTGGCGTAACTACGGTTGGAGTTTACGCCCGCTCTCCCGTAGAACTTTTACAATATCGTGGCGGGCTCGGCAGTCTAAACCCAAGCCCGGATTAAGACATTCTCTGCCCGGGGGCCAAACTTTTCGACGAAAGATCAATATAATGTACGTTATTAAAAAATGTTTGCTAATCAATATGTTTTAACGAAAAGAAAAATAGTATAGGTCTCGATTTTTGAATTTCAGCTACGAATATTATTGAAATAAATGATCCAAAGCCACTAGTAGTTTTACTATACAATAATACGAATCAGTCATCATCAGGCAACGAAAAAATACCAAAATATCACAGTACAATGTTAATGAATAGGTTAATGCATACATAAAGAACATACTGTGGCAAACACTGAGGCCCTAGAAGTCTAGTGGCTCGGGGACCATGGCCCTCCCTGGATCCCCCTTAATCTGGGATTGTCTATGTCCCGTGTTAATGCACTCCCTCATTCGCAAAAAAAAAACAGTAGCCAGTTACCAGCTAGAGATATGCGTTCTTTGGTGGGAGTTCGATTAAATATATATAATAATAATATGTTATATTTATAATATTTCGCTATAAATTAAATTTACTTTATGAAATGCTGCTAAGGTTTTTTTTTAAATTCTTTTTTGTAGAAAACTGGTGAATATTTTGATACCGTAAGTCGGAGTTCGAATACTATGGAAATATAGTGACTGTATAACGTAGTTATAAATTATAGTTGCAAAATAATCGAAATACGGAAAACGCTACATGCTTGATTCGACGTGTCTGTATTATAACTTTTGAACGGTTATTAACTATACAAAGGAAATGAACGATAAAGACCTGCTGTATAGTGTTTTACTATATTGTAGGCTATTTGCTAATATTTTATGGTAAAAAAGCACTGTGCAATCGCGAACGCGCTAGTAAATTAGCATAATATTTTGCTGACGAGAATGCGAGATGATGAGATTCCATTTTACTACAGCAGATTAGATATTAGCTGCTATAATATCATTAGTATAGCTGCAGCTACTATAGTTGCTATATAGGTAGTAAAAAAAAAAAAAGCACCGTGTAAAAGTAAACGACCCTTAACTGTTGTTTTTTTTTAAAATAACAAATGACCTTTCTCGAACTACATTAGAAATCGTTAATGTATAAGTAAAAAAAAATAAGGCGAACGTACTTCATACGATGGATGGGCCACTGTTGTAGGTGAGAAGTTGAGAAGTAATTATACACAATATAGTGGTGAATTTAATTTATATCTGTACGCAACGATAAATCATTGCTAACGAAAAACGATTCGGAGCGAAGTTTGGTTTATTGAAACGTACGTACATTTTCCCGTTTTTCCTACTTTTTCCCCAATTATCATAGAAACCGCTCAGAAAATCAAAAAATTGACCTCTTTAAAGTATTAACTAGATAAAATATCATTTTGGAAAAGGTGATACACTTGATTGGTCAGAGCAAGATTTCTGATAGAAAAGTTGTTCACAGGATAGGAAAAAAAACAATAATACAATACGTCATTGTAAAACCAATACATTCCTCGCTACGCTCCGAATCCAATACGGTAATATTATAAGCGAGGAGTCGGTTCAAAAGGTATTGGATACACTTGTTTGGGAGCTTATTTTTCGTCGATTTCAATTTTTTTTTTTTTTTTTTTGTGCGAATTTGTCGATCGTCGATTCGTTATAATTTGCGAACAAATTTTGTGCGCCACTTAAAAAATCCGATGTCGTATCGGATATTAAAAATACATTTAATGATATTATATTTTACCAATGCTATGAGGCAAAGCGTTTTCTTCAAACGTTAACATTTTTTTCTTCTTCTTTGTTTTCTTATCGGTTTTTTTTTTCTGCGTTTATGAGGTTCTCGCACCAAGGTTAGCGTCCACATAGGCGGTATTATATATATATATATATATATATAGTAATACGTGGAATAGAATACGATATTATTACATTTTTTTTTTTTTCCCACTATCTTCGCAGTGCCCATAATCGCCTTCAGGGTTGAAGGGTTATGTACTTTTCCTATATGTGTATGTGCACTGCTGCAGTATATAATTTCATTAACCCGGTAGGTTTTTATGTCCGTACGTTTAGTACACGCTGCAGTGGCGACGGCGGCGAACCAGTATTTTTACCTACACGCACACGAGTATATACGACGCACACGTGATGCGCGTGTTAATATAACAACAAAACTCGTCCGACGACGTTTAATTCACAATATTGTTTTTCCATTGACGGCGAGAGAGAGAGAGAGAGACAGAGAGAGAGAGAGAGAGAAACGCGTTCTACATCGCATATATGTACAAATAGCGCGTACACACGCGTACAATAATAATGGAAAGGAAAAAAAAAAAATTAAAATCCAATAACGACGATAAAACGAATTTTTTTTTTTTTTTTTTTTGTTTTTTCCGTAATAAACGAATGGAAAACTACCCTCCCGACATTATATCGTGAAACGTAATAATAATATGCACACTGCAGTCGGTGACGGTGCCGCGTGTACATAATGGATTATTATTGTTATTCCTGTGTAATAATATTCGCGTCGGAGGGAATACTCGCGTTTCTCAGCTTTGTCGGCGATTTTTTCGCCTACGATTATTCTATGGATATTGCCCCGGACGGTATTTTTATTATTTTTTTTTCGCTCGAACCCGCAGACGTATTACATCTAATTATACGTGATAACGGCGAACCCGGCGCGGAGGAGATCGTCGCGGTAAGAGAAAAAAAAAAAACGAAAAATATTCCGTTATAACGAATGAAAAATAAAACGTATACGTATATAGAGGTATATTTCGTCGACACCGGATCGCGTTATGTTGCAGTTTTTCGCGCCGATAGCGAATTAATTTGTTGCGTTACGATTATAATACGGATCGGGTATACGACGCGGTTAATACCGATCTCAACCGTAGCGGTATAATATCCCGTACCTATAGCATATATATATATATACATAATTATATTTCGTTTTTATATCGTACGGACATGTAGGAACAGGAGGAGTAGGATACGTAAATAATTATTGTTTCCGATTTTCAAACGTGCGTCCCATACACACGGCCGCGCGCGGGTTTTTCGTGCGTTCGTCAAAACAACCGTTCGTCGACGCGCGCGCACTGCGTATAATTTTGGTACCATTTTTTTTTTTTTTTTTCCTTCTGTTTTTCCTCTATAGCGTCTTCTTCTTATTATTATTATTACTTTTTTTTTTTCGCCGCACCGTGTATACATATATTTCCATTTTCCACAGTCGTTCGTGCGTGCGGTGTTTTTCGCATCGTCGAAAAACGCCTCCGCCTCTCCGAGCGCGAGAAAATGGCGGCGGTGAAAAAAAAAACCGAACCGTATCCGCCGCGCGGTCTTCTGCATTTTATCGCGGGCATATAATATACATGTACTCTATAGGTGATGACAGCAGCAGTAAATTAAAAATGCATTTTTACACGTATACTGCAGTATATATAGTATTATATATACACGACTCGGTCGTTCTGTTTTTTAAATTCTGATCGCGGCGAGAAACGCATATAATATTGGTTTGGCTGTATTATGACGTCGGTTTTTTTTTTTTTTTATCTTTTATATCTGCGAACGACTTTTCTTCCAAATATACCTATATATATATATATATATATTGTTCCGATTTGTCGAAGTGTAGCATCTTTGAAACGTATATACACGTACCCATGCTGTAGTTAGCCTTGGAAAAGGAGGTGAAAGATATACCAGACCTCGAAGAAATGGAAATAATAGGACCCTATTGCAGGGACCTATGGACCTATTAAGAGAATTTAGACACGATGTTGAGAAGAGTGCAAGAAAGCTAATCAAATTCGGCAATAATATTATATACTACAGGAATGCAACCTTGAAGGATAATCTCTACATCGAAGGGTTCACTTTAGAGCAGGTAGGAGACTTCCAGTTATTGCAGGGAGTTGACACAAACGAAAAAATAATATGCATAGTGAAATTAGGATGTAACAGTAACATGTGTTACTTTACAATGAAAGGAATTTTCTTCTTCAAGTTATTGTTCAGACGCACAAAAGAGCGCCTAAACATGCATGTGACCCATATTGACGTACGCATGCAACACATGGTCTAGCGCCCAGGATGATGAAGATAAACTGCAGGGTTTCGAGAGCAAAATATTAAGGAAAATATATGGAACGTTACACAATAATGACTTGGAACGATTTGAAAGAAAAACTAATGAAAACCTGAATCAGCTGTTCAATAAGCCGAGTCTACGTCATTTCTTAGTCAAAAAGAGGTTAGAATGGGCTGCAGGACACATCTGGCGAGCCGAGGGCTCGCTCATTAAAAAAGTTGCGGAAGACAAGCTAACGGGAAAAAGACCAAGAGGCAGGCCTTGGCAGAAACGGTATGACAGGAGAAAAAGATCTAAAAAAGTCAATCCATTGCTGGATATGAGACCGGCATTGGATAGAGAGAGGTGGAAAAGCATTTTAGAAGCGCCGATGTCCTAAATGGACCACTATATAAGCCTAAGAAGAAAAACGAAAACTTTTCTACCGGATATATACATATATATACATATATATTGTTCCGATTTACCGAAGTGTAGCATCTTTAAAACGTATATATATATATACATTCAGGGGCGCTAAGTAGAGGGAAGGGGAACGGAACCGTAAAACTGTATAATATATGAGTATCTAAAAAAGTGAGCTTCAAGTGACGTTTGAAAAACCTGGTGCCTATATTTTGTGTATATCTGGGCATAGGTACATCATTTGCGCATCACTATTGTTCTTTTCCATAAGACATTTTCGCATCAAAATGTTTAACAATAGAATGGCTGAGAGGAATTAGGAGTAACTAAAACCGCAAATAATTATTTCCCTACTTTCAGCTTAATATCCAGTATTAATAATTTTTAAATTTATCGATTACAACAAAAAACATATTTTCAAATGTAATTTTATAGACAGATATAATATATATTACAGAAGGTATTTTTGCTTTAAAATTATACGAAATTTACCTAATACGACGATAACCGTGATGAATGAGTTGTAACAACGATCCAATCCATTCAGATATTAGCAAATAATTTAACTAGACATATCTATAGTTGATGTAACTACGAGTATTTAAACGATATAAGGTCAGTTAAAATTTATCGATTTAAATCGCTGAAAAGCTGCTGTAATATTTCGAAAATATCCGTGTACGGAAAAGAAAACGCTGAAAAATATTTAAGATTTTTTTTTTACCTATTATTCGATGTATCGATACGCAAATGATTACTACCGATGCATCTGTATTCAACATACGGACGTCTTGTTTTTATTGACCTTTAATGAGAACCTATAATGTGCCTAACTTTCACAACATAATTATTCAACAGAACGTACTATAATACTAGCGTATACGTACGATAATACAATAGTTATAATACTTATTTAAAATAATCGTTTTAAGATTCCGAGCGAAATGAGTAGTTCATTAGTTTTACTCTTATGATGTGCGCTTATTATTTTATTATTATTTTTTTTTATGTCTGGGTACAACTTTTTTGTCGGAAAAATTACAAGAGATCTTTATTTGTTGCATTTCAAATCTATATAGTTGGTGCATGGACAAGGTCAATTTTAAATTTATTTTGCCGTTTTCTTAAATAACCGGAAAAAACCGAAAGAAATTGTGGTTTCATTATTTTATTTTATTCATCGTTTTTATGTTTATTATTTATTTTTAAATTACAATTTATTTTGCAGTCGCAAATTAATACGACGTTCAATTCAAATCTATCGGCTCAGAATCGTTTTTCTTTTGCAAACATCGCCTAAACTAAATTCTCTTATTCATATTTATACCTTTTTAACGTTGGCCTTCTTCGAGGTTTACTTTTTTTTTTTTAATTCTATTTTATCTTTTTTTTTTTTTGTATAGTGGTTTCTTTCGGTTAAACGAGGGAAAATAACGTCATTAATAATTCAATAATTAGTTAAACGAACTCTTCACTCGGAATCTTTTGTTTTTTTTTTTTTTTTACATTTCTATAAAGTTTCAAGTCATTATCGTTTTTGTTTATTTTTCACCTCTCTCCGATGTCACAATACGCGTGATCTTATTCTTATCCGAACGCCTCTCTCGCGTTCTCGGTTATTTACTCGTGTTGTATACGTATACCTAATACCATTTCGATTAATACTGTCACGAACTCGCACATCCACGATTTACCTATACACGCGTATTAATGTTTCCTCGTTTTCGGGGCGCGTCTCGAGGGGATTCATTTCTACAGGTAGACGATTATTGTTATCGAATGACAGTGTTGTACGCGTGTTTATACGTATTAGGTATACAATAATAATAATAATAATATCGTGTTTAGCGGATGATGGCGGGTGACGGTGTATGATGGGTCACGGTGTCATCACTGGGGAACTACTGCTCCGTCGAAATGGTGTACAATAAGAGAGCGATAAACGATGTTATTCACGAAAATCCGTATCCTGCACTAGTTTAAAATCGCGTCCTACGACCAGACGAATATATTATATTTCTCGAGACGTAAATTGTGAGAGAAATTATGTACAAACTTTTCGCGCGATTATTATACAGTGTCATCCGGAGCGTTTATTCGTTTAATTCGCTCCTGGGAATTGAAAAATGCTCATATTTTTTTTTTTATATGTAGTTTCGATTAAATAAATAATAATCGATATTAATAATAATACGTTATTATTATCGTACGGTATATTGCGGTATATTATGCAAGAATTTGCATTACATATAGATTTTTGTTCCAAAATGAAAGATAATATAATAAAATATTGTAAAATTAGTGATTATTAAAAATTAAACAACATGAATATAGATGTGGTTTACGGTAACTGTAAGATGATTTGGAAGTTTGTACGGTACTTTCTTCTTTATAGTTAAATGTCAAGAGCTTTTATCCAATTAATAGCTTCATCAGTGATATAATCGTCGAATTAGCACATTGACCCTTCGATGATCGGATTGGGCAGTCCTTAAGTATATGGAGGATAGTCTGGGAAGAATGTCCGCAGTCACAGTCTGGGGAGTCTATTATTTTCCAACCTTTAAGCATTAAGTCATAATAATACATTAAATCCCGTACGCGAAGTCAGCATCAGTTATACAGGTATAATATAGGTACTAAAAGAGGTTGACAGCAGGGGTATAGTAACGTTAGCACAGAACCGCCAATGCTGTCAGTTAACCGGGAAAAAAATGATACTAAAGAGACAGCAATTTGTATTTGAAACATTTTGTTACGCCCGGTGAATTACGAGACGATATTATAGAAACAACGTGCGATTAATTTTTTTTGGTTATTCATATTTTTATCACGCAATCTATAAACAATGTTTACAATAAGCGTAAGTGAGGAGTTGGTAATATGGTCGTTGAGTGAACTGTGAAGACACCAGCCATTGGTGGTACTTCGTGTCATTAATTTCAAACGTATTTTTCATATTATCACGATATAATTCGTGCGGCATTAACGAAATAATACACAATCTCATCGGTTGATCGATAAAATGTGCTCTCTCAGTACCTATATGCACATGGTAGCTGGCAGCTAACTTTATCCCTCTTTTGGGACTCTCGTCGTACGCGGTCAGCTATCTATAGTTTTTTTTTTACATAATACGCGTGAGCTACAGTACAATAATATTAAAGCTTCGCACTCTTTTTGTCGATAATGCAATTTTCTCGGAAACAATTCGAATTCTATTCGAACAATTACAACTATACCGGATGCAGTGTACAAACGTTAAACATCTAAACAACATTTTTTCCCCCTAATATGTACAGAGACGGGAATTCAATAAAATGTCTTTTGTGTCACATTTTATATGGAATTTCTATTTTGAATGTTAACAAACATACTATACCTACATAATTACTAATGGTATTAAACGTATTAGTATTAAATGTTTTAAATAATCACTTAGTACATTTTTTCTTTTTTAGTAAGAATTATAAACTATTTGTATAAAAGGTAAATACAATAAATATATTGTGTATGAATAGCAAAAAAAAAAAAAAACAATGTATAAATATCACTTATTTATTTAAAACGACGTGTATTTTATCATTGAGTTTTTAAATTTATTGTAGGTAAAAACTGTTACGGAAATCCAAAAAAATGTTTCGAATAAAGCACTTGAATGAAAAAAGGGTTTTCTTTAGACACAAGAAAAAAAAAACAAACAAAAAGTCTTCGTACAACTAATAGTTCCTTCATCGCTCAGAGTCCGAAATAGAATTTCATATACGCGAAAACAATAACGTAGTTATTTAATTTAACAGCTTGGAAATATTATAAAATATATGCGTATTGCATTTTATAAACAAAATCAACGAAATCGATGACTGATGAATGGTGAATAATTTCGAAACGGTTTTTCGATAGCAATTATGATGTATAATATTTTAATACATTTTTACGGGTAGTAGATTTCGCGTGGATTTTGAATGTATACTAGGTAAATCCGGAAACGTTTAACCGGTTGGACCCATATCGCCACTGTGGTAGGTGAGAAGTTAAGAAGGAAGAATATATAGAAGGTAAATTAATTAATTTCTGTACGCGATGATAAACCATGGATACAACGAAAAACGATTCGGAGCAAAATTCGATAATACATGTTTTGAAAAAATGTCAACATTTTACAATAAAATTTGTACAATTAAAAATAATATATTAAACAAAAAAAAAAAAATTGAAAATAATATATTTCGTAAATTTGCGGGTTTTTTTCTAATTATTATGAAAACCACTTGGAAAATCAAAAAAATAACTTCACTAAAGTACTAAGTAAATAAAATTTCCCTTTAGAAAAGGTGCTGCATTTAATAGATTGGAGTAAGATTTTTGGGAGAAAAATTTTTCACAGCATAAAAAAAAAAGAGAAAAAAGACGGACATACTTCGCACGTGCGTGCAGCCACTGTTATATATAGGAAGTAGGGAAGGTAGGATACAGACGGAAATTTAATGTATATCTGTAAGCAACGATAAACCAATGCTAATAAAAAAACGGTTATCAGCAGAGTTCAGTTGATAGTGTTGCTTTGTCAACAATATTATACGTCATATTATGATAAAAAATAATTACACTAATGTGCGTTTCCATGACAACAATGAATGTTTAAGAAAAATTAAAATAATAAAAACTTAATAATAATATTAAAGAAAAAGTGTTCACATAAAAAAAAAAAAATAAGAAAAATTATTGTAAAACTACCACAATACATTCCTTGCTATACGCTAAATCTAAAATGATGATCGAAATGCGTTTGAGTCGTTCGACTTGTAGGTACGTTTGGAAAGTCATTGTTTTCCAGCACTAAGTATACCATTCGATTATTATTTGAAATTTGGACAGATATTAAATTCGTTTTTTTTTTTTTTTTTTGTATAAATCAAAAAGACAATTTTTGTTAATAATTTTTATTTACTTTTACACACATTTAACGGCACA